TCTTCGCGCCTGATTATAAGATAACAACTTGATAATCGCAAATTCTTCCCCCAAAAATCTTCATTGCACGATAATCATAAAGCCATTTCTACGAAGATTGCCAGACTTTTCTTAAGCTTTGTTGGCAGCAAATCGTGATTCATCCCAAACGGAAAAGGTAATCTTAATCCTTACATGGTGAGCAGTGGAGTTAATTGTGATCTGTAAAACCTTTTTATACCCATTTTCCGCCCCAACCTTTCAAAGTAGTAACAAACCGTTTTAATAAAAACATAAGTTCAGCCCCCCTAGTGAGCTCCAAAATATAAATTAATTCCTTAATGACCTGAAGAAAGTTCACAATAAACAGAGGTTGTTTTACATGTGCATTCGTTACATAATTATATTATTATTTCTTCTTCATGCTAAATATTAGACGTGACATAATTTAATTCCCCTCTCGCTTCCTGCGAACCGGTATTTTACATAAAAAGGACCAATCACATGAAAATGCATTTTACATGACAGATAACCCGTAAGAGAGAGCGCTATATTTGACCGGATATGTACGTTATACGCAGTCCAATTTAGTTATTCACAAGCTCCAAGGGTCTTAGGATGCGAACCATTATGTTTAGGAGGCACTGGCTAATTGAAATACCAGTCGAATGCCAAGGGCGATTCGAGCTTCGACGAAGAATTTTCCTTGCGTGAGGAAATTTTCGATCTAAAACTGAATTTTGCAAGTTTGAAGCCCAACTCGGTAAGAAAATTTTGAAGCAGTTAATTTGTTATTTAAAGGTTGATTTTTAATTATTTGTGTCTTGCCTGAAGTTTCTATTTCGTCCTGCGAATACGTTTAATATTTCAATCTGACCAAAATCAGTTAGTTCTCTTTTAAGACAGCAAAACTAACTGATGAGGTGAGTATTCCAGCCTCTTTTTCATTAAACATTTTCAGCACTCTCGGTGTTATTTTTTTAACATTTCGTATCCCGTTCAAAAATTAGTTTCCCTTGGGAATAAACGCCTCCGAGAATTTCTGATATTCTCTACCTAAGATTGATGAAGGCAATTAATTTTTAGAGGTATCTATTTTTCGCAGGGCGACAATTTTGCCACCTACCTACAAATTATGTAGCGTCTGCAAAACATCAATTTGAATTTACTCTCTGATCAAAATGATTTTTGTATTTTGCATTTAACTCAGCTAAAATTTAAGATGCAAACACCTTCAAAAGCAACGGGAATACAGACTGGATGTCAATAAGCAAAAACGACCGGGACGGAACCCTTAGATTTTGCCGATCGAGCTTCAGTAGATATTTCTTCTTTCTAGAAAGGCTGGTTTATCAGTACTCAGCTGTATTCGTTCCCTAGCACCTGGTGTTTTGGGAGAAAAGTAAAGGCCATTCTGTTTACTTATTACACCACAATAAGTTGTGGTGACGGCGCGCTGAATTGTTAGTCATGCACTCTAAAATCGATGTGTAAAGTGAAAAAAAATTAAGTTGAACCCGAAAAGTTTCATTTTCGAAGCTTCATGCAGAAAAAAAGGAAACAGCACTAATTTGAGTTGTTTGAGCTTGTTTTAAATAACTGACTTGAAGCTTGCAATGTCTATTTTTGAATATTTAATCTTTACTGTCAACTTTAATTAATTTCAAAATTCGGTTATTTATTCTTCTCTTCCTACTTCTGTGAAAGATTAGTTGCTTTAGTTTTCATCCATTTAACTAGTCCCTCCGGAACGAATTACTTAAAAAAACACTCTTGAAAATGCACCGAAATATGAGAAATAGCTGTGAGCTGGAGTTTTATACCTTTCGATTAACACGTAACGTTCTATTACGACTTTAATAGGTAGAAAAAAAGTCTGTGCTCTAAAAAACATTTCATTTTTTCTCCTTAACGAGCATTTACCTATCATGGTGAGTTAATACATTTTCTTTGACTTCATCTCCACAGCGGCGCATATAATATTCGTTGATAAATGTTATTTCCATAAGTTCATTTTTGGGGAGGTTAACATCACGAAATATCGTAAAAATACGTAAAAAAAGCCAGTTAACTTCTCCGTTTTCTTTTTCATTTCAACGAAATCAGGCTTCGAAATGGAAGCCATTGCGACGACTTGAGCGCGATTTTTCTCGTTAACTACATGTACTAAACAAATACTACTTAAAACCATTCATATCAGTGACATTAAACAAGCATTCTATTAAACTAGTCCTTCTAAGTATAACACCTCCTTCACGCAGGCAAATGTACACCAATGTTACCAATAATACTACGTTGAATTCCTTTTAAAAGCGACTGAGTCCCTGACTTTCGGGAAGGATTTGCCTCATTTTGGAATATTCTAGTCTTTTTCTGGTAGAATAAATAATCCTTAGTAAACAAAGAAAGGAATTAATTATCAAATACTTTGTTGGTTTTTCCAAATATTGAATAATTTTTTCCGGCTGACGAGGAAGTGCAATAACTTCAACATGAATTATTAGAATATCACCCATTTATTATGATCAAATGTTTTTTTATAGGGAAGAAATGATGTGATTCCTTCTCTCTAATAGGAAAGCACTTTCCGAAAAAGCTCTAGGAAAAAAATTTTTTCAACAGTGCAGCATTTTTTGTCGACAGGTTGAAAAAGAAACCAAGTTTTTAAATGTTCTTCTTCGTTTAGCGGCTTTGTAATAAAATTGCTGAAAGGTCTGTGTGATAAACATTTGTTGTCCCCTACAATCAGAGGATATAATCTTAACCCACAACTTCATAGCGAGGCCGTTGGCTTTGTGTGTGCTAATTACACCTGCGGCTTCTCTATTCATGGCTTTGCGCACAAAAAACCTTCAGCAACACAGTTAACTGTTTTATACACCTACATTACAGAGATAAGCATGCTTTTGCCGTGATGCGATAGCTATTGGAGGACAAAATTTAACAAAGCAGACTCCACAACTCAAAGAGGTCGAAAGTGCAACTCAGACGGTTTCATGTAAATGCAATATTTTAACATTTGAAATTTTCTAATTTGGATTAGCTGTGGCGCGTGGAAAAGGAAAAAGTAGACCTTTTTAGTCCTCATTAGAAAAAACTTCCTACAGACTAAAACTGCTTTGTAAGTCTGTTTCTTAACATTTCTGCACCACATTTAGGTCGTAACATATATTCGAGGCTAAAAATTATGAAATATGACAGGTGCCCGGATGAAAAGACACTAAATCAATATTCAAGAGCATTTCGTGTGAGATCGTGGATATCAACTGTTTGAGGATTTTTGAACTCTGCAGGCAAAATTTGATTAATTTTTATTCGGAAGTTTTCCAAACCGGACCGGCTTTTCCGAATCAAAACTATTTTTTAAAATTCATCGGTGAAAATAGCGAAAATTTCACATGAAAGCGTAAGCGCTTTGTTCCTGTTTCCGCAGGCGATCCTGTGTTGTTTTTATTTGTTCCTCAGAGAGATAGACCGTCGCCAGGTTAGCAACACTGGAAATGTCAGACACAAGGAAGAATGTGCCTACAGCGCGTTTGATCTGTAGATAAACTGATAAAGACCAAAGCGGGGTAAAATCGGATTGCGACAAAGAAAGCCGTTGCTAAAAAACTAAGTGATCGGAAGAGTAAAATTGGCCAATTTAACTCTCTAAAGACTAGACAAACCAAAAGACAATTTTATTCAAAATAATTAGGCTCACTAAAACAAGAGAGCTGAGGCATGCAGTCAGCAAACAGATTGAGAAATTTTGGAGGCAATTAAGTGTTAACTGGCTTTTATCTTTTTTGCGGAAAGCTTTGATGAAAGACGTCAAATAATTGAGGAAGCTAAGAAATTCTATTCTTTTGTTACCTAATGTCCACCTATGCTAGAAGAAAAGCCTCTGAAATGAAGATCACAAGCTTAAGGGCTGAAGGGTTTGCAACTGCCTCAAAATAATTTTCTTTAAAGATTGTGCTCACAAGGAGTTACAATTTAAGAAAATTGCTATTTATGAAACAGAATTGCCAGGCCGAAGGAAGTCCTCAGTAACGAAGTCTTCCATCGCGGACAAATCATTCTCCCTTACTTGCGTAATTTTCTAGATATCGTATGGGACTTCTGGAGAAATTATTTCCTTGGAAATTTGGTCATATTTATGTTTGTAGGCGCCCTTAATAAAAAATCAAACCGCCGCAGAATTGCACGGAATCTTCAATGGAAACTAAAATACGGCACAAAGAATGCGTTTTGTCATGTAAAAGTGTCCATTATTTTGGCACAATTAATTCATTATTCTTTGCGACACCGAAACAGACATTCATCATTGTTAAGAAATTTTCACGAACCAGTTATCATCTAACAAATAATTTCATTTACCAAAAGCCAAACTACCACTTTTTGGCTGATGAAGAAGCATCTATTTGTCTGTATCAAATCCAGAAAATTTCTCTCCCACAGGGTCAGCTCTTTCTGTCGACTCTCGTTCCTAAGTACCCTAGGAAGAATGCGTATGTAAATGTTCAATTAGTAACCTAAGGTTTGGACTTTGTAAAACTACCCTCTGTGCTTTAATTAACCTGGTGCACACTTTGCCGGCAACGTTCTTTCGTGAGGTGAAAAGTCTGGAAAATATAGTTTAAATTGCCTGCTTAGTTGTCGGTTTAAAAACGAAGGGCGCATAGGAAAGATGAGAGCAGTATAATTTACTTTTGCTGACCTTTATTTCACTGAGTGTTAAAAAACCGCTAGCTCTTCCGGCCATAATTTCAAAGGAGATGATAAATTCTCCTTTGAAAGTCTCAAAAAGGTGAGATTCTATTTGTTATCTCATATTGTTTATCCATTCTTTATTTCCATGGTTCGGGTTATTGTTCAGATCTGCTCTGTAGCGGGTTATTTATAATTCAGTGACAGCGAAGTGTATTTGAGACTCTGTTTTCTCTTACCAGGTCTCTAATAAGTTTCTAAAGAAAGGAAGGATTCAATAATATTAACAGACACTGACTGATGATGGAAAGCTAGGACAAGTTATCACCATGGCTGTGGGTTTAGTTGTGGTGATAGTGTTTATGATCGTGTCTACTGTCATTGGGAACACTGCAATCTGCTACATTATCTATAGAGTAAGGCGTCTTCACTCTCCTTCCTGTATTTTTCTTGTGAATTTGGCCATCAATGACATTCTGGTGGCGTTGTTTCTACTACCATTCAGCATCGCAACCACGGCAAGTAATTACGTTGTCGTGAGTAAAACTGGCTGCGACATCATTGGATTCTTCCAACATGCTACGAGCGCAGTCTCAGTTTTGACGCTTTTATCAGTTAGCATGGACAGGTATCTAGCCATACTAACTCCTCTGAAATACAAAGGCTGGGTAACCCGTAACAGGACCGTTTTATGCATATTCTTCATCTGGTTTTATGCGTTGTTATCGGCGTGTTATCCTCTTCTGGGATGGAGTCATTATTATGTTTTCCCTGGACAGTGGCTGTGCGAATCCAATTACCACATATCCGTTAGTTTTACATACTTCAAAATGACTACAATCTACTTTATGCCGCTGGTTTCTATTATTTTTATTTACATCAGTATACTACGAGTAGCTTTACGTCATTCGAAGCAAATCGCCCGCGAAGTAAAGGCATTGCGTCAAAGGGAAATGGCCGCAGTACTTGAGCCCGAACTTGGTGCACAAGTGTCAGCGGCGGTCATATCGGGACAATATTGCATGCGCAAGCCGCATTCTGCCCTCAGAGCAGATATAAAGACAGCTTTGACATTGGCCTCGATCGTCGGAGTGTTATTTATCGCCTGGACACCATATATAGTAGTAAACCTGTGGTCCTCACACACAAGGAATTATGGGACGGAATTACTACAGTCCATTGTCTCTGGACTTTATTACTCCACGGGAGTTATAAATCCTTATTTATACGGATACTTGAACAGGATTATAAAAAGAGAATTTAAAACTATTTGGACAAATACGCGCAGGTCTTTTTCTCAGATCAGAGCGAACAAAATCCAACAAGCGGAAATAACATCACGGAAGTCGTCCTAATCTGAGAATATCTCTATTCCGTTTGGAAAAATTCTAAATCAGCGTTAACGATTGTTTTATGCGGGGTGCACGTCCATCGATACAAGAATCCCCTACAAAGTTTGGAGAGCACTCAAGAAGCTAGCGTTTTTTTCGGCTTCGCCTCAAGAAATTCATAATGAACTCTCTTGCTCTCCAAACTCCCCGAGTATTTCATATATCGATGAACGGACGCTGAAGTGTGAAATACTTATTTTGTAACATTTTCAACGCGGTAATTTAAATGTTTTAGCCAAAGAAATTCCCTCCATGCATTTCGCTTCAATTTGGACGCAGGCTTTATCACAGGGCACCAAAGAAATATGAAGCACGCCATTCAGATGAATGAAGCAGACTTTTCAAGAAGACCACCAAAGTTTTCGCTGGACAAGCTTTCCCTCGACAAGTGTCCTTGTTCAAAGTCCTTTCGTCCAGTCTTTGGATGGGAGGATTTTCCAAAGGAGTACTTTTCATATCATAAATTTAAATTAGTTGCCAGGGAAACCTCGTCGACTTGAGAGGTATAAATGCAATTTAGGACACTACTTAGGAGAGTCTGTACAAGATCATCATTATTAGACCTAAATTATCGGTTAAAAATGTGAGAACGAAGTTTCCTGTCTATAATCTATACTCAGTGCTCTGATAATTGTATAGTAACTCCCCAACTAAGTATGCTCATAAGACCTTTATAGATTGTTTTCCCCTTTGGGAGTCCTCAGTCGCCCATAAATGTAATTTTTTTTTTAATGAAAAGACTGCATTTTAACCTGTTTCTTAATATCATGCGTTTTAGCTAGTTATGCGAAGTAGAACTGTGTTCTCTTTTCTCCCAAATTTTATTTAAATCTTTCTCCTACCCCAGCCCCCTCTCTCCTACACATACTTTCACAAAGAATTTATAATTTATACTAAATATTACTTATGTGAGGCTTACTCAAGCAAGTTTTTTCTCCATTTTGCTCACTTTTTTCCATTTTTTTTTTTATTTGATTTTTATTTGTCATTAAAACTTAAGTGTTCGACTCTTAAGTTGTACGAACCTAACGCATTCAATTAAAAAAAGATTGAAGAAACAAAAGCATTCTTGGCGTATTTTTTTTTTTTGAAATGGGCGTTCAGATTATCATACTGGTGCCCTATCTTCACACAAAGGGTTGATCCTACCTTCCTAGTTTAGGACTCCTTTTTCATTTTTAGGAAAATTCAAAACGACCGGGGATTTCCCTGTTCCCAAACGTCTTATCTTTAGTCGATGTGTAATGGTAATTGAACTGAGTGAGAACTGAGTGGGCGGGGGGAGGGGGGGGGATGGGTCAAGTTGGTCGGAAATCATACACATGATCTGGAATCACAAGTATGATTTTGGATCAAAATTGCTCGAAAATGTTGTGGGTACGAAAGCCAAATTTGCCACATAAAAGCTTCTTGGGCTTCTATTTTCCTGAAATTTGATTGGTTACTTTAAATAAGTCTTGGAATCATATTGGTTGAATTTTTGTAATGTTACTTTCTCATGGGCTAGGAAAAAGAAGCGATTTGGAGAAAACAGAGTGCAATTCGTAAATAAATCGCACAGCTGAGAGCCAATCAGATTACAATTATTTCCAGTGAATTAAAAATGAATGTTATAGATCAGAAAAGCACGAGGCGGTTTACCGTTGTACGCACACACTTCGCACGCACGTGTGAAAACCACCATGGCAACAGGAGAAGTATTTGTTTACCGGGAAGAAATTAGTAAGACTTGTTTGCTATTTTGCTGAAAAAAATCATTTTGGAAAACTGGTACCAAATAGTTTTGAGAAATGAAACAAGGTTAGTTTTCAACAGGATAATTTATCCGGGAAAGTTACCCTTATTTACGATAATCCACGGAATTTGAATTCTCATAGCTTCATAGATGAGAGAGAAATATATGTTAGAATAACAACAGGCTCTTTCTACTATTTCACAATAATTAAAAAAATCTTACCTTTTCAGCTTGAACAAAAAGGGAAGTGAAAGCGCTGCAGTCGCAGCCTTACTCTTCATGTTATGAGGAAACTTTCGCTCTTCACCCTAAGCCCACTGTTTGTTTCATTCTGCAAAACTGTTGAAGTGAAAGTTGACGTCACACTCACAGTTCATAACGTACTGTGCGCGTGTTAGTCGGATCCAGTCCACTCTTTTGAAAACGAACCTTGTCGTGTCCACTGACTATTGCGTACACTATCATGATTCTTGATTATATGTGGCTTTTGGCACTAGCTTCCTGCTACCTCGTCGACTGATTGATTAGCTGAACTGCCAAACAAAAAGACATCCAATGCATTCCATTTGCCTCTTTTAGATTCTTAACCCTAGCCGATCGTTTTAAGTCACTTCTTCCCTAACCATCATCCGACATAAATTTGTGGACTAACTTCTGTCTAGCGTAAGTAAAATTTATGATGCAGGAGTGGACATTTTTTAATGCAAGATTCGTATTTGACTCAGGCAGCATCGTGGTTTTTTATTATATGGAATTTCTATCAGCAATGCCTCGTGTGTTATTGTGTCTTCCTGTTCACCATACAAAGACAAATCTTGTGAGACGCGCGTGATTCAAGTTGAATCTAATCACTAGGGAATTAAGCTTTAAAATCCGGATTTAGAAGGAACTTTCAATTCGATCGCTGCCTAAAAGAAGTGAATGTTCGGAAGAAAAACAACTTGAAACTTCCTTAACTGAACATTTTAAACATTTTGAATGGCATTTTTCGGGAACTTCCAAGAATTTACGTGAGACTGCGTTTATATGATCAGCGGGCATCTCCAAAAAAAGAGTTCAAGCAGACGGCTGACTTTGTGGTGAGAAGAATAAAGAAACATTATAAGGAGTGAGATCGTTAATGTAGATGTTTGGAACGCTACTTTGGCCGTTCATTCTCTATCTGGTCGCCAGCTCTTCCATTCTGGATCATATTTTCCTGTGGCTGTGTCGTTTGATGCCGGGAGGGAGAAAATTTGTCACCGTCAAGGCGAGTTGCCCGTCCAGTATACGAAGTCTTCAGAACGCTGTACGAGGTTATCGGTAAGTTTTATCTTGTAGCCAATCTTTGTCCTTTTCTTTGATAATATTGTTTACAATTTGTAAAGTCATTCGTTTCTATTTTAGAGTGTAACGTCTGCAGAAATCGAAGGCCTGATTGCCCGTGCGAAGAAGAATTCTTGATGAAACCTAACTACATGTGTCTAGTGGCACGCGCGACTGCATAATGAACGCTAAATTTCGCTTTCGATTCATTTGTTCTCCACAGAAACGGATCGCCCCCATCTACCAGTGGAATACATTCGATCTCTTCGTTGTTAACAATCCCTCCACTGTACCACTATCCTCATCCTAACTTGCCTGTGTTTACCTCAATGGGTTTCGAAATTTTATTTTTTTGCTATCTTGTCAGCGCGCTTGTTCTTCAGCATGTCAACATCTACAAAACGGTAGGTGCACTTAATGTTGAGTAACTCTAATTCCGTTCTTAGTATGAATGAGGGTACAATATATCGACTTCTCTCGGCCATTAAAAAATCAATTGATTGTCAAAAATTAGCGTTGTTCAAATAATTATTCCTTTCCCGTGTATAGTTTACAAACTGGTTATCTCCCTACTTCTGTACCAGGTGTTCCAATTCATTGATTATTAAGCAGCAGCTAAAAATTAACCTTTAAAAATAGCGCTCGCTCGATTCTTGTCAGAAATAGCCAGTTGGGGTGACGCTCGAGTATTTTGTACATCGGTAGATTTGAAAATACGAAAATGATTATTGTTGTGCGGTATACCATTATTATTAATTCGCCTATCCCCCCGTGGGTAGTTGACGGAAATGAATTGTGATGCTAATTGTGGAGTAGGTATGGAGACAACACGCCATTGTTCTTTTCCTTTGAACCTGTCAAATATAATATATGTGAGCTTCCTTTTCAAAGATGAATGATTTGGTCTACCATTTTACCTATAAAACGCATGAGTAGTATATTGTTGTTCAGGAAATGACTTAACATTCAAAGGGTCAGATGTCTTGAGTTCTGATCTCCACCAGGTTAGCTGTTTTGATGTATGTAGCTTCAAGGATGTGAAGATTTATGGAGCAGATGTTTCTTTCTTTTAGTTTTAAAGTTATGTAGTTCCAAAATTATAATCAGCTGGTTCCCAGTGTGACGAAAATTGATTGTTGGGGATGAGAATTTTAATGTTAGTTACCAGTAGTTGACTTACCAAAGTCTTGTTAGTGTTCTTGAATTTATGATGAAAATGGACTCAAAAAATGAGTTAGCCAGTGTTTCATCTTTTCTGCTTTTATGGTGACTGGTGATTTTTCATGGGTAGGAAATTGTTTTATTTAAAGATATGTCTTAAATCCTTTCACTCCCAAGATGGCATTAGTAATTCTTGTTACTCTCTGCCATATAATTCTTTTGTTGTAAATCTGGAGAACTTGGTACTGGGTCAACTAATAATCCCCCAAGTAATATTTTTCTCTATGCTCATAACTTTTCTGGTTGATGTTGTATTGACATTGTAAGGACAACTTTTGTCTTTGTTACTTGTGGGAGTAGAATGGTCAAAGCTTCATGTTTTGGTATTTTTGTGAGGTGAAAATTCTACAAAGTAGTGTCAAACTTGTTCCATATTATGGTTTGAATAAAAATGTTTCATGCTCACCTCAGGGAGTGTAAAACATAAATTTTAGACCCATTAATCAAAGTGGGTTTGTCAAAGTGCATGAATTTAATGATTTTTTTACAATAGGAAAAACTTAAAAAGTGACTGAAACCTTTTCTTTCAATATTGATTTCAGGCCTTTTTAGCGGGCCTCTCCAGAGGTGCAGAGGTGTTGCTAGTCCTCTCTCCTTTCAAAATTTTACACATTGACTATCTTAAGAAATAATGTTACCGTGTTCACCCGGAACACTTTAACATCAGGATGGATATTCTCTTAACTGTTCTCTAAACAATTCCAAAAGCACTGACCATGAGAAATTATCTCACAATCATGATCTTCTTTAGTTTGGGATCATTTTCTTTATTCTCGTGACCTATATGTTTGATTCAGGAGTGATATTGTAAGGAGAATTTAGATGCCTGATGCTCTAAAGGATCATAGGGTTAATGAAAAAGTCAACTTTGTCATCTGGTCATGCTGGTGAGAGTAGTCTAGGGAATAATTCTTGTTGATGGCAATGACTGATATTTCAGCAACCTGAGCTGAAGTCTTCATTAAAATCAGGGAAGGAGTTGTTTGTTAGTTCACTGTTACAAGTCTGGGTTATGTGAACTGATTGTTCAGATTTGCTGTGATTTTTTTGCCATAGGAGTCAAGTAGCTAGTTTTTGTCTCGTTGGTAAAGTTAGGTCATTCTGTTCAGTTTATTTGCTATTTTAATGCCATTTGTAACTTGTTTGTACAATGCTGCTAACTGTAGACATCTGTCATGAGGAGTCTGTTTTAAGCTAGTTATCAGCTTTCAAAAATCAGTCTTTAAAAATAGTTGAAACAGTCACTAACCAATGTCAAATGTACAGATATTGCTCTTGGGTGTAAGCATCTTTTCAATACAGTGAATACAAAGCTAGGAAGCACTACAGTCACTGAACAGGGCTTAAACTTGGACAACTGTAACGAAAGTCATCATTAAAGTATTAACTTTTAGCCCTTAAACTCCCAAGATCTCATTAGTAATTCTCCAAACTGTGTGCCATACATGAATAAAGGGGTAAGTTTCTAAAGAAACTGTGGTGCTGCGTCGGTGGGAGAGTAAAGCAGGTAATTTAGTGTTAACAACTGGGTTGAAAAGGTAAATTAGCCACCGTAAAAGGGTAAAAAAGCTGACGTTTCGAGCGTTAGCCCTTCGTCTATCGCTCTGACGAAGGGCTAACGCTCGAAACGTCAGCTTTTTTACCCTTTACGGTGGCTAATTTACGTTTTCAACCCAGTTGTTAACACTAAATTACCTGTGTGCCATACAGTTCTTCTGATGTTAGTTTGGAGAATTTGGTATTGTGTCAACTGAAAAATTCCCTAACTGATATTTTTCTTTATTCTCATCACTTGTCTGCACAATATTGTATTGATATTGTAAGGAGAATTTCTGTCTTGGTCACTCATGGGAATTAAAGGGTTAAGACAATTCAAGCTGTATGTGATGTGCATCTTATTATAAATTTCCAGCTGCTACTACAGTGCATTATATGTATCTGCGTCCCACATTTGTTATAAATGAGGTTAAACTTCATATTTCTACAATTTTCATCACTTTTGTGATGAGTTGTGAAGTCATTTGTTGCAGTGTTTATTTTAGTTTGACTGAGAAATTATTTTTTTTCATGGCAGAATATTCACATGGTTGATATCCACCTTATGTGGTTCATTGCCATTTTCCTGAGTCGAAGAGTGGCATGGAATGTAATTGGACAGGTAATTGTAGATGAGTTATATAATCATGATGCATATTCGTCTAAACATCAACCCTTTATACCCCAACATCAGTAGACACACTCTCTATTCTGTTCTCTATACATTTGTTAAGGTGCTGACAAGGAGAATTTGTTTAATGACTAAGAGCTTCTTCAGTTGGTGATAGTTGCCTTTATTCTCATGACATTTATGTGTGATTCAGTGTTGATATTGTAAGGAGAAATTAGATGCTAGTCGCTCCTTGGGGTTAAAGGGTCAACCAGTGTTTCTTATGAGTGAGGTTGACTAGTAGCCTGCTGGGCTTTAAATCAACCATTTTTGACCGAAATTTATTGCTGAAAACTTTTCCTCCTTTTCCTTTCCTGTAATGTTTGATTCAGGGGTGATATTGTTAGGGGAAATTAGTTGGTAGTCACTCTTAGGGATCAAGGGGTTGGGAGGCTTTGGGAAAAAAAAAAAAACTTCCCACTGATGTTTTGTTACTTTTGCATAAGCTCCATGTTATGTCCAAGTCTTTCTCAACTATGTCTTTTGCCAATGCACTGGTATAGCATAACAATCTTCTTAGGAACTAGTAATTCTTTTCAAACTCTGCAGTAGGTTTCCTTCCTCTGTGGGTGAACAGGAGAAGGCAGGAACATTCCTATTAACCTTTTACACCCTAACATCAGTTTCATATTCTCCATACTGTTCTCTGTACATTTAGTAATGTGCTGACAAGGAGAATTTGTCTAATGATCAGGAGCTTTTTTAGTTGGTGATAGTTGCCTTTATTCTCATGACATTTATGTGTGATTCAGTGTTGATATTGTAAGGAGAAATTAGATGCTAGTCGCTCCTTGGGGTTAAAGGGTCAACCAGTGTTTCTTATGAGTGAGGTTGACTAGTAGCCTGTTGGGCTTTAAATCAACCATTTTTGACCGAAATTTATTGCTGAAAACTTTTCCTCCTTTTCCTTTCCTGTAATGTTTGATTCAGGGGTGATATTGTTAGGGGAAATTAGTTGGTAGTCACTCTTAGGGATCAAGGGGTTGGGAGGCTTTGGGGAAAAAAAAAAAAAACTTCCCACTGATGTTTTGTTACTTTTGCATAAGCTCCATGTTATGTCCAAGTCTTTCTGAACTATGTCTTTTGCCTGTGCACTGATATAGCACAACAATCTTCTTAGGAACTAGTGATTCTTTTCAAACTCTGCAGTACAGTACTCTCTGTACATTTACTAATGTGCTGACAAGGAGAATTTGTCTAATGATCAGGAGCTTTTTTAGTTAGTGATAGTTGCCTTTATTCTCATGACATTTATGTGTGATTCAGTGTTGATATTGTAAGGAGAAATTAGATGCTAGTCACTCTTGGGGGTTAAAGGGTCAACCAGTGTTTCTTATGAGTGAGGTTGACTAGTAGCCTGTTGAGCTTTAAATCAACCATTTTTGACCTGAATTTATTGCTGAAAACTTTTCCCTTCAAATTTTAACCTCCAATTGAGCTGAAGCAAAATAATGCTCTTCCCTTCTCTAACCTTTTACACCTTAATGTCAGTATGCATATTCTCCATACTGGTTCTCTGTATATTTCCTTTGTCATTGACAAAGAGAATTTGTTTAACAATCATGAATATCAATGGTTAGGGGTCGTTTCCATATTTATATTCATATTCTCGTGACTTTAATGTTTGATTCTGTGATGTTACTGTTAGGAGAAATTAGATGCTAGTCACTCTTAGTGGTAAATACCTTGACCCCCTAAGAGTGACGAGCATCATTGGATTGATGTGAACCCCTTCCTTCAAATCAGTGTGCCTTTTAATACCAACAAAACTTTAGTCTTGGAACCCCCATTGGAAAATCCATTCTATATCCCTGATTTTTGTTTATTTATTTTGTACTTTTACAGACACTAGCCTCGGAAGTACTATACACTGTCAAGTATTTTGTTAACCTCTTCCTGAAGGGCGTGGCTCTTCTATCACTTGTGTCAAGCTTTGTATGGTTGTCATGGAGAATTATTCAGCAAAACAGTATACAAAATTGCCTTTTTCTCTGCTACCCGTGAGTATCATAACTATATCATGTTCATGTCTTTGTTTTGGATGAAATTTGTGCAATGATAAGCATATCGATGAGTAATTTTCCTTTCTATAAGTGGTCAAGAGAACTTCCTTGAATATCTCTCTGATTAAGGGTTGTTCTTGTATGAAATGACTATTGTTTTCTTGGTAATGAAGATTGAAATTGTGCACAATGTGGAAGCTTTCTGTGCGTTTTTTTGTTTTTGTGTTAGAGCTGTTTCCTTTATGCAAACATAACTTTCCATCAATTATTTTCATCGGATGAACCAAACTATTTTCTCCGGAAAAGTCATGAAGTGTTTAATGATAGAGATTTTCTTGTTCTCCAGGTCAGTGATGTACATAATTACGTTTGGCTTCACCCTGGATCCCCAGGGAAATAAAGTAATGCTTAAACTGAGTCCACACCAAGAGCTAGGCCCATTATCACAGCTACAGCTACTACAGAGCAGCCTACTGGACGCTAAAGGTGTAATGGTGAACGGAAATTCTAAACAAGAACTACCAGCTCCTCAACCATGTTCACTGCCACCGGATGCAGTGCGATACGAAACAGAATGCCTGAGAACCGATTTTAATCTTCGGATCAAACAGGTTCTCTTTCAGTCACTCATATGCGCTTACTATGTTGGGTTTATTCCGATGAAGTTCTCAGAGGTGAGGATTATAACTTGACTCCGTGATGGTCAGTGACGAGTTGAATATTGTTATGTGTTTTATCTAATTATTCTGCAAACCTCTTCAAGGTTGTTCGAAGGGTAAATAACGTTATCTAATGGATAAATCTCTGTCCGGTGGATACCGTGGTACGTTTTGTTTACACTTATTCCGTTAGCAATTTATCTGTTGGATCGAGTTATCGGCCCTTAGAAAAACTGGCTACCGGTATATGATTTCTGTCCTTTGCAAATCCTACATTTGTCCGAAAGAGTAGGTACTTGTTGAAGTTTGAAATATGCTTTGGAATTGACAACGGCGTCATTTTAGTAGCATGCAGAACGTTTGTCACATGTATACCTTGAATATGGCCTGCTTATCTGTGAGGTCTGTGCATCTCAGTACTGGAGGATGGAACCGGGAAATCCGGAGGTCTGCGGCTTGATTGCTCCTACGGGGACTCAGATTGTTTTCTTTACGTTCAAGAAAAAGGAAAAAAACTATCCATTTGACGACTGCCTTCTAAAATTTGCCATCTTTCTTGATATATTTATGTAAGTTCTTGATCTTTTCACAGCAACATTATGTGTATTACGACATGTGGTGGGCTTGTCAGCACACGCTTTTCGTTTGGCTGAGCTGTTTGCTAATGTTAATGATGTACATGTTACCGCTGAATTATTGTGACGCTTTACATAAGTGTGCACTGCATCTTGGCGGATGGGAGAGATATCCCTGCGGTCACCGCGACACTCCACATGTGTAAGTTGTATATTTATATGAAGATGTGTTGGTCATTTTAATCCGATGACCTCCGCAGGAGCTCTTTTAAAAGTGTGGTTTGTAACCTGACGGACTTTCGGTAAGTTCAAATCAGAACGAGTAAATAAGAAAATCAGCAAGAAGCTAATTTAAAGCTTATGTACTTCTTTCCGTTAGTCCACGACTTTATTAGTTAACATATTAATCGCTGACATGATAATCGGTATCTTTTGTCACTACCCCTAGATGGTCAGCATTAACGGTATGGCCTCAGGGGGTCCTGGTGCGGCATGGTAAACTTCTATACAGAGCGCTCGGTATTCATAATGTTGCAATCCCAGGGGACGCGCATCATGGAAGATTTTTCGTAAGTATTTTAACACTAAGAATTATTCAGTAAGTTGCTGGCTTGCTTGCCTGGCTTTATTTCATTCTGTCTTTGGATTTTCTTTTGAAATGGGCAATGCTATGTTAAGACTGTTCCCATCCGTAGAACTGTAGATCAGCGTCATTTAGTGGTGCTAGCTGATACGTTTACATTATTGCTCTTTGTTTACGGAATGGATCCAAAAGCAGTTTCTCAGTAGCTTGAATTCCCTGACCCACCCCCTTAAAACAACTTGTTGCCGAAAAAAGGGTAACCGAAGACATTGCATCACCCACCACTTCCCCACCCACGCGGGAAGAAAAGAGCTGAGGGGGGCTCACCATTTCCCACCCCCACCCCCTCAGTCGACGTCAGGTCCTTCCCAACCCTTTCAACCGAAGCCTGTTTACTGGGTATTTCATGTGTACTTTTTTCTGACGGAAATAATAACTGTATGGCTTCTGGTGAAAATTTGTTAGCGAGCTTATTTGCTATCGATACTGACGCGCAGTAACTTTGTTTTGTAGTTCATGTTCGAATCTCCCTTGCGACTCGTCAACTGGATGGCAGCAGTTCTGTTGTTACTTGTCTTATATCAGCTGTTTATGATAACAAGGTCCCACTCCTGGCACCAGCTTCTCTCGGTCACTGGGCTCCTGACGTTTAATTACCTGATTCTCTACAGGCTCTTCCGAGATCGCTGGGCACTTCAGGCTGTGGTACGAGAGAGAACAGGAACTTAAGTTCCTAACTATAGAGCCACTCTTTATTCAGTGCAAAGTGCGAAAATGTGATTAGTTACAACTTATTGGGCAAGGTGCAAAGGTACATGCAGATTTTATACCACCAGTCGTTTAGGGGTCTTCATCTGCGATCAATTTCAAATAGTTATTATTCAGATGATATGGGTTGGTTTGACTCGGAAATTTTACCGTGCATACTGTTCGGACTCTGTCCTTCTTACTGCGAGGGTTATTTTTCTTGGTGATAAATTTCAAATTTTGGTCGCCATTTTGGTGAAGGGTCCCTTCTTTTTAAGAAAACATAGCATCTTGGCATAAGATATGTAGGGACGAGGGAAAACTGGGGCTAGCGACGATAAAGCGGGACTAAGGAGAACGACCTTCTCGTCATTTCTTCCCAAGACCCCGCCGTTGGCTGGCCGGTTTCAGAATGGCAGCTCAGAATGAAAAGAGATACTTACTCTGCAACATACACATTAAGGCTTTTTGCGCTAATAGTATTAGTTTTGAAGTCGAACCAAACATGGGAGAGGACTCTTCATTGTTTCCAGTAGTTCCTTACAAGTAATCTTTAGATACCGATTCCAAAGTTATTTATTATTTATTTTTTTGCAATCAAGTAGGGTTAATGAAAGTTCTTGGCTAGAAAATAATTTTTATTATTATTTCTGGAGTTTGCATATCTTGAGAAGCTTCGTTCTCAAACAGCCCTCCGGAAGAGTTAGCTGACAAAAAGATGGTAGAGGGAATAGGAAAATATTCTTGTTTTGTGATCTTCGGTATTCGCGAGAGACAATCAACGTAGAGGTGTTTTGAAACCGCCTTATAGCGACCTGCTTGCCCAATGTGTTGTAACTGATCGCATTTCCGCACTTCCATTACGTCGAAGTAACTGTAGGACAAGGTATGTTTTAATGTGACTGGTAATTTATAGAATAAAAATGCTTTAAAGGTGCTTGAAGTAGCTGTCGTTATGGGCGTTAAATTTATTGCGGGTTTTTTTTAACTTTAAAGAACGGTTTTAAGCTTCGAAGAACGGTCATAGCGTAAGATAGACAGAGAAAGAATATGCTTAACGTTTGGGGATAACTTCAACTACCTAGAACTACTTGTTTCCTTGTTTGAATAGAAACCAACATTCCAACTTGCAATTCGACCTGGAAACAGTGAAAGAGAAAAAGCTACCTCGGCACTCCTATGTAGTTTATTCGTTTGTTTTTCAGAGATTAACTGAAGTCATCAAATCATTATTGCATCACTAGAATAACAAAACATAACACACTAGAATAACAATCTTCATTAGTATTCATCCCCACAAGCAAGTATCTCATTTACTCGGCTTTCAATTCTTATTTCGTTTCTCACAAACACGATTTATGTTGAAAAACTGTCTTCCTGTAATGTCACAACACTCGTATCGACGACGATTTTGTTATTATTGTTTACATCTTTCTTTTCGAGTTCGGCGCTCGATGTCTTCTCCACAGTAAAAGCCGAGACCTCGACCTCTTCATTAGTGGAGACAAGTTGTTCGAAAGGAGTGAGAACATCCGACCAGTTTTGCCTAAGAACTGTAGTTTGTTCAATTTCGTTGCAGGTGATGTCTCTCGCACTCGAATCACTAATCCCTCCGTCAACCAGTTCCAAAGTTGATGCTAAGTCGTCTTCGCAGCGTAGCTCCTGGCTTTCTCCCTTTATCTCGATCAATTGAACAACATCCACTGTTTCTTCGAAAACTTTGGTCAGCACTGTTCTTTTTAAATCGGCCTCTTGGGTTTCTGTCGTGTGGTCTGGGCTTTTGAAGTTCTCCTGGAATTCTTGTAGTAAAGTGACTCTGTCGGTAGCGTGTTGGAATTCAGTTTTGCCGTCCAATTTTTCCTCCTCTGTCAGACTGGTTATGTTTTTACCCAGTCTAGCAGCCTTTGCATCACGACTTGCTATTTTAGAGTCTCCGTCATTTGCAACTGTGAAAACATCTCCGAAGTTGCAAATTGCCGCCAAGAGATTTTCATCACGGTACAAAAAATGGAATTCCATTTCTTCGTCGTAATCCTGGAAATCAAACACCAATTCTTTTAGATCATGAAGATGCCTTGACAAAGCGTTGTCCCATTCAGTCGAATCCTCGACTGTTCCAGTATTCTGGGCGCAGCGGAGCACATGCTCTAGAGCTCTGAAATTCTCCTGTACGATATCCTTTTCGGCTTGCAACGCGTGTAATTTTGCTTCAGTGATTTCGCAAACCTTCGACACCAACTTGTGTCGGTGATCTGCAATGGCTTGCAAGAGTCTTTGCGCCGCAGTTTCAATATTAAGAATGGTTCGGCTGCAGTTTTCGTTCACGTTTGTTACGACTGTGTCAATGTCGGTTAACGTTTCCTGAAGAGCGGAGAGAAGGTTCGCTGCTTCCTCCATGTGCATCTTTGCAGAACTTTTTAACACGAAGAGGCAAACAAATTTCATGAACGGCTGCCGTTATCTTGATTTGGGCAAACTTTAATTTAAAATTAGTTATTCCCCTATGGGAATTTCTTACTCTTTAAGCTTTTAATCATCATGATGATTTTATGCGAGTGAAGCGTTTGATCTTTAAGCTCCGCACCAGTCCCTCATCTGCTCAGTCAACTTTACAATTTTGTTAATCCGTCGCGTTTTTTAACTTGCACCTTAGTCTTCGAACCTGAAGCCCAAACGTTTGGAAAACATCATCCGAAACAAGGCTCTTATTCACGTTTCACGTTTTGTTCACGTTTTACGTTCACGGAACAATTTCTCGATAGTCAACAAACTTCAACAGTGTACCATTAGAAAGATATTTGTAATAATCACCCGTTTTATTCTAGATTTATATTTCTACAGCAAGCTCTTCTACACACACCACACCACCCTTCCTACAATCTAGTCCACAACGGTTACTTGTCACCTAGTAACATTTCGCTGTACAATAATAAATAACTCACTTTGGAGTTTTTAGTCGCTATACAATTTTTACAATGCGTGAAATAATACGAAAAAGCCATCTCTGGTAGAAAGCGCTCATGATGAGAAAAGAAATACTTCTCGACTGATTACACCACACCTCCTTTGAAAACCAAGGAGGACGAATGAAAAAGGATCTGTTGCTAACAGCACTGAATGAGCAAAGGTAGCGTTTTTTTTCTTACATCCTTTATGTGTACAGACTTCTATCATAAATGACGGGTCGAATTACCCTTCTTTTATATGCATGTAACTTAGCCTTTCTAGCCAAGAAAACATGTTTAAACAGATAGAATTTTCAGTCTTATGCTTCTTTGCATTCACTTAAAGGAATAACAAATCATGCCCACCACTATGAAGGGGGTCCTGAGAGAATGTAAGGTAACTAGGGCTGACGTGGAAGAGGGGAGAGAGGAGGGGGGGAGGGGAGAGAGGAAGGGGGGGGAGAGAGTGGTAATTATTTAATAAAGGTTCTTCCATCCTGTTTCATTTCGTGCGATCTGTGGCCCCCTCCGTATTGGAATGTTATCTTCCTTCGCGACTTATCAAGTGGGCCGTGATTCACGAGACTAACTAGGTTTCTCTGTATATCATCTCGTATGTAGGAAGTTTCTGGCTGAAGAATTCTGTTTAGTCCCTGTTCCTCTTATCCCTGAACCAGGAGCACTCTGAAAAAGATTGATTGACGATGATAAATAAAGGTAGAATAGAAATGTGTTTCACGATGACAGTCTATGGAAGGAAATATTCATGAAGTCCAGCTGATTAGTGATGTGCAACAATCTGGTAAAACGTTAGTGACATGCTCACATCCAAAGAAGGATCACAGAGCGAACTCGAGAAAAAAGCAGAAATCGAAACTACAAGAGAATCAGACCAAAGAAATCTGAGTCTTCAATAACTAGACAATCACTAGATCCGATTTCGCAGTCAGATGATTTATGAACTGAACCAAATGCAACTCACTGAGGAGCTGACTTATGTAACAGTAACTAACGCCAGTTTTCATGTATAATCAAAATTCTACTCGAAGTCTTCATTCCAATTCTATTGGTGCTCATGACCGACTCTATTTCTCAGTAAAGGACATAGCTCTTCTTGAAACTGCGCGATAAAGAAAGCCCACGATTTTGGCCGAAAAGAGCCAGCACTTTTTTTTTTGGATGACCAGTTAATGAGATACCTGTTGTGGCCTTCGAAAACCACTGTCGTTCATCCTGGGTTTCTGAGTAATGGCTTTTGTGACTTCTTCTTGAGCTTTACATAAATCAAATAAATTAAAGGTCAAATTTGAATCTCAACATTTTAAGGAGTAAGATGAGAACGCTAAATCACAGCCCTGATATTGTGACATTTTATTTCAATTTTTCAAGTTATTGATTTGCACCCGTTTAAATCTTCCTGATCTCAATTTAACACTATTCCTTCTACGTTTTTTCCTTCTCCTCTGTAGTATTTTTTTGTATTTTACGACCACCTACCATTCTTATACTTCATAAATTATATCTAACCATTTATATTTTGTTGTTTTTGTTGTTTACACGTTGATATGTTCTGGACTACTTCATGCAAGATGAGCGTAGTTTTTTTTTTTTAGGGATAAACAACGCGAAATATCATGATATGCCTCCTTTGTGGTCAAGGAAGAGGTCTTTAGTAGTGTTAACATCACTGGTAGATTTGCTGGGACAGTCTAACAGAGGAAACAGGCGCTATGTGAAACCTTGACTAGAACGCAGAGATGTCATCAACCAAACTTTCTAGTCGAAGGTAGGCAATTTAGTATTATCGACTGAGTTGATAACGTAAATAAGCCACCGTAAAGAGTTTCAAAGCTGACGTTTCGAGCGTTAGCCCTTCGTCAGAACGTTTGACGTTAGCCTTTCACCCTGACGACGGGCTAACGCTCGAAACGTCAGCTTTGAAACTCTTTACCGTGGTCAATTCACGTTATCAACTCAGTTGATAATACTAAATTACTCTGAGGTGCTCTCCCACCGACGCAGCCCCACAGTTTCTCTAGAAACTTACCCCCTTTATTTCTAATCAAAACATAAAGGCACGAAGTGAATAGTTCTGATACCTTTAAGCCTTTCATTTAATCGATCCAAAGACTGCAACAACCTTTGTTCCTCCAATGAAAGAGCACTAGGACCTACATAAAACACGAAGGAAAAAAGCGCAAAATTACAGCTATTGAATATCATAGAAATGTCAATTCTTCAGTTTTGAAAGAGCATGACAGCTATTAACACCAATTAGCATTTTTACAGTACAGAGCCATTTCGAGAGTTGGTCAGAGCCAAAGAAAAATCTTATCACGAAACATTCAAGCAGACGGACCAGGAACTGACCTGTTAAGCCGTTCATCATTGCTTGATACTGCTGATGTGGAGAAATATCGGCGAAGGCATTTTGTTGATGATTGTTAAACATTTCTTTCTCAGACGCCATCATAACAGCTTGCATCTCAGCCGGCGATAATGGTTGCGGACCAGGAACTACAAAGAAACACGCAATGAAACAAATCAGGTCAAGGTGTTTTGGAGCTGGAGTTCTCACCCTTCCGCAGTCCGAATAGCAGTGGCTCTCATGCACCCACTGACGCTTGAGAGATTATCGAATTCCATTTAGCCATACTACAAGCAAATGAAAGAGAGAAAGAGAGAGAGAAAGCAAAAGCATCCGCTTAGAACTTTAATACCTATACCTCTACATGAGATTGAAGCTGTAGGACCCGCCTGGCTTGGCGACGGATTATACTCGTACGGTCTCGGCAATGGTGGTCGGCCATTTTGGCCATGAACGTGGATCTGTGGGCGTCTGCCTCTTGAAGCACGATGTTGCAACAGCGGTGACCTCTTCAACGATAGACTGTCAGAAGAGCTGTCCCTCCTAAGAACCTCATGAGAGCCGTAGCGCCGAAGACCTCCCAGTGTACTGCCCCCAGTCTGCGGAGGGACCCCGAGGTGTTGACCATTTGGCTGTCTGCTGCCTCCTTGATTATGCTGTGGGACAGCTGGTGGATTGTGGACTTGCCGCGTCGAGCTGGAGCGAGTACGGGAACGCCGCACGTCAACTTTGTTGACACACGAGTCTGAGCCGACGGACTTAGTATTCCCACCGTGGAGGTACGACCGAACATGGGCCCAGAGGTGATTGATTTCTTCATCCGTGGGTGTCTTATCCAGTGATACAGACCTCTTCATGCTCATGTCATCTCGTTCATAACGTGTACTAGTTCTCGCCTGCAACGGACCTTCGCGTTCTTGGCTTGTTATAATTGTACTTGTTGGCTGACCGACTGTTGACACATGATATTCAAACCGTCTGTCTTCGTTAGTGAACTGATGATTCGTTACCGAGTCAGACGAAGACTTCCGTACCATTCCTTTCGTTGCCTCACTGGATACTGTTTGGAAAGGCGCGGTCTTCTTCATATCTGCTTTACCTCTGTTGGGATACCCATCAAAACCTGCTGGGTGACTAGCATCATCAACAAGATCCAGCTTGACGCTTGCACCAGCTGAAGGTCTTGCACCATTTCGTGATCCAGCGGATCCCACTCGAGGATGGTGAATTTTTCGACTGGTTGCATCCTGTGTGTTGGCGTGATGCTTAACTGCATTCATCAAATCCTCATGAGCCTCCATACCATAGTGCACAGACTCCTGCTGCACCTTCCTGCCACCACCAAACTCCACCCTCAGCGAATTAAGAATTCGTTGGTGCTGTTCTTGAGCAGCTGTAGTCCTCGTTCTGATATTCATCATCTCCATGTTACGTTTAATGCTCTCCATGATACCGTCCTGATCGGAAGCGTTGTGTTTATCGCTGTTATTTGGCTGTTTGAAATGGGCCTTCTCTTTTCCATTCTTACTCTCTGATCTTTTGGTTCCCAAGTTTTGCTGTTCAGTTGCCCTTTCTTCTGGGCTATTCCTGTGATTCGCACTTGCCTTCAAATTCCGTCCAGCTTGACTCCTATCTGAGACAACAGTGTGGTTATTGATTCCCTTCCCTGGACGAGTAGAAGCTTCCTTTCTGTGAAGACCACCTGGATGAAGTCTACTTCTGCCAGATTTCTTCGTGGAAGGAGGCCGGGGAATAAAAGATCTAGTAGATTTAACACCCGAAGAGTATGTTGATGCTGTGGATGAAGGTGACGATGAGAGCTTGTTGGGGGACAATGACATTTTATCGGCTTCGTTGCTGTTTACAACCGACTGAGTGCTAGGAGGCCTTTTCGGGGTCTCAGAGGTTTGACTGCTAACTGCATGGCCCATGTTTGCTGTGTGAGTAACCGTTGATGAAGGAACAACGGGTTCCGAAGCAGATCTCCTCTGATGGTCACTTGAGTTGAGAGCCTGTTGAACATTACCAAAGTTTGTTGTAGTTCTGTACGAAGTTATTGGAGCAGGTGTATTTTCGATTCCATGCTGCTCGGTTTCTCCCATTAACGTAGAGCCTGCAGTGGTATAAAAAGGGTAAGGGAAACTGGGATGGAATGTTCCTTGGGCAGGAAATTGTACACCACTGGCAACCTGTGGGTTAAGACGGTGATAGTAGGGATAAGTTGTTATAGAAGAAACTGCAGTGTTGTAGAATGGACTGTGATACTGATGTTCCGATGTGACAACTGGTGACGCGGTTACATGCACTGGCTCCGATTGAACAGGTAACTCCTCTGCCACACGATTCTCGTTGGACGGAAACTTTTCAGTATATTCTTCAGGGGGGGATTCAGGGGGGATTTCCGCTGTGCTTCCCACGAACCTTTGTAAAGAATCTTTCACCATCGATGTCGAGAAAGAAGAAGTCCAGTTTCCTGAACTGCTTACTGGGTATGTTTTGTCTTCTTCATCTTTCAGTCCAGGTACATTCTCTACTCGATCAGTTTCAACATCTAAGCTATCATTAACAACCTCCAGACTGTCGTTTAGCTCTGAATCACTCACAGCATCACCTAAATGACTGGGTTCCCCTAAGTCTTTTAAACTATTCACTTCGTGAATGGAAGAAACTTGAACCTGCATTTTGTCGGGTGTATTTGCTTGAGTTTCCACAGGCACTGGTTTAGGTCTTGGGTGGTCACAGTGAGTAACAGTTACCACAGACGAGTCTCTACCAGAGGTAGCTACCCCAGAGGAATCCTTCCCGAAGGTTTTGATGAAAGTGGGAGCTGAACTAACGGGATTTTGTTCTGTTCGCTTTTCAGACACAGATGTTACATGCGTCCCTGACGACTTGTGTCCTTTGTGATTTGTGCTCGATTGTCCAGCTGATGATGAAGAATTTGATACTGACGAGTTGTAAAAATTGTTGGCATTTCTAGCATACAACATAGTGTATACTTTGGTACTTTGTTTCTCCTCTGTAACAAGCTGACCAGTAACACCATCATCAAATTCAATGCTATCAGAAAAAGTGACTCTTCTCTTACCAGCAGATTTGACTTCTTTATTTCTTTTGGCCATTATACTGGTCTTAGAAGAGGTTCCCAATTCCCTCCCTGTTCCAGACCCTGCAACCTGAGGGACTTCGTCTAAGCTATCTAAGCTAGTGAGGCTCCCTGCTGGTGAGTCCCTGCCCATGATGCATGGCAAAGCCCCTTCAGGAGTGTCCCTTTGAGATTCGTCCTTGATAAAAGCCAGCTTCGGTCCACTTTTGGCGATGGCATCAGCTCGAAACTTTTCTTGTTGTGCTAATGTCCACGAATCATTAACAGGCCCATTTTCCGTTCCATCAGTTGCATAATATAGCGGCTGTACTGGGTAAGTATCAAACACTGGCTCTGTTGAATACAGCTTATCTTCATTCATTGCATACAGGATTCCACTATTTGCATTATTGTATGAAAAATCTTTGTATGTCCTTTCAAAATCGTAATTGTCTGGCATTTCATTACCCCAAACTCCTAATCCATCTTCTTGAAGTCTTTTTGATCCTAATGAAGCACTATGTGGCACTTGCTTTCCATCCTTCACTTCTACCAAGTGGCCCCGGACAACATGGTAACCATCACGAACTACCGAAACTGGCTCTGATGAAAAAATATTACAGCTAAGATATAACAGTGACTAATACAGGTACATGAATTGACATCACCCTATAAGGACTTTGGGTTTAGTTATCATTCACCCTTTGCACCCTAACATCAGTATGCATATTCTCCATACTGTTCTCTATACATCTCTTAAGGTGCTGACAAGAAAACTCGCTTGACAATCAAGAGCTTCTTCAAAGCTTGACTGTAAGGAGAAATTAGATGTAGTCACTTTACAGCTAAAAGGGTTATAGGAGCACCTATAACAAGAGTTCATAGCCTCTCCTCTTCTTTCCAATCCTCTTGTGACTGCAATTGGTGGTAACCCAAAACAAGGGACTAGAAACAAATTTATGACCCACAACAGGATTCCCAGAACCTACCAAGACTTCTGGAATGTCTTCCTCACTCTATAACTAATCAGTTACATTAAACTTCTATTGCTAGGTGTACCTGTATTAGGTCCATTCACAAGATCATGTTGTTTTAGTGCCTTCTTTTGTAAAGAGTCCTTTTGGAATCTCTGTGTTGCCTCTTGCTGATCCTGTTTCCTCTTTGACAAGACTTTGTCTCTTAATTGTTCCTCATGGTTTTGCAGTTCCTTTTTCCTATCCTCAAGAGCTCTATGGAGAATTCATATTCATCATTTAACAACATGCCCTAAAAACTTTTATGCTCCAATCAGAACACCCTTCAGTGACACATTTATCTATTTTTATCATAAACCATTAAGAAGCTTTGTTTTTCAAAATGAAAACATGAAGGAAAGCATGAGCTTCAACACAAAAAGGTCACACCAAAACATGGTGATGGTGTACTTGTGAGATTTAAATCATGTAAAAAAACTACATCTTCAATAATCCTTAACAATCTAACATCACTGTGAATATTCTCTATAGTTCTTATTATCTAAACTTAATGCAGTATTTTTAGTGAAATAATTGCAGTAACACTGATGACATTTCCCCCTGTAGTCACAGCACTATCTAGTGAGTGATGCAATATTGTCAGTATTATAAATAAATTAATTTGTTCCACAAACAACCCTTGAGAATAAACTTCAAGTCTTCTTACTTTCTCCTACGATTGGTTTCCTTTGAAAGCTCCTTGGCCCTGTCACTTCTTGATTTCAAAGAATCCTTTTGTTCTTCTTTAAATTTTTCCAATCGCTCTTTCTGGATGCTTTTAAATTTGTCACTACACAATTGTCAAAGAAAACATGCCATGCAAAAACACCACTACATGTAAATATTAAATGAAACTACTGACAATTGTTGTTCTCCTAATTGTATAAAGTCAATGAGTAATAAAAAGTGTTGAAGAAATTCTTCCTTGATCATTCATTATAAGGTCAAGAAAAATAGAAACAGTTCCAACCTATATTCCTCATTCATTTTTTTCATGATTGGAAGAATTGAGAGTGAAAACAAAGTGTAACAATTGTAAAGTACAATAATTATGTCACATTTCCTTTGATGTATCCCTATTCATTTCACACAATTTTTTTCCAGTTCAAAATTACAAAATAAAAAATTAGATCTTGAGAGAAGTTCTTAATAAGTTGCAATGTTAATTTTGTTAAAAAATGCTCAATCCTTGGGCACTGTTTGACAAAATTAGTACCATAATTTAAAATAGGACAAAGTTACAGCAGTTTTTCTACACAATACAAAGATTGTTGTCTTATAAAATAAAATACGCGCACACAAAAGTTAGACTTAAACGCAGACATGTTAACCAACTTATTATAAAATGACCTTATCATCAGACTAAATATCAAATGTTGTGTGTCTGAAAGCTTGGTAACCTAATATGTTATTATTATAATTATACTAACCAGTAGTACAGCATTTTCAATTTGCTGTAGTGGAACAAGAAAATCAAATCAATGCAACAAAAGTGGAATTGGTGCTTGAAAGCCACAGAAATAAGACTTACTGTGTAGTACCAAATAACTGCTTAACAGAATACTACAAGTCTTTGAGTTGTGATTTTTAGTTATTAAAACCAATAACAGTATGGCTGTGGTGATGAACACAAAAGATCATCATCTTAAGCTATTAATTGTTAATGGGTGTAAATTTTGATGAATAATTATCTGTATCAGTCAATGCAAACAAAGCAGACTTGTGACCTAAAATGATACAACAGAAAATCACACAAAATGTCGCAGAGTCCTCCGATTACAAAGTGTCACTATTAGAATCCACTGTGGAACGCATTTTTTGCACTAGGTGCTTTCCTGTTTGTTAAACTTAACGAGAAAAATTGCTTAACCATTCACAGAGTTTCATCTGAAAAGTTGTTAATGGGCATCTCAATCTCTAAATTCCTTCTAATTCCTACCTTCAGAGAAATTCAGACAGAGAGAGCACTTTGTATACATCAAAAACTGTAAAAATAGCAACTATTTGATTACAAGCTTTCTGTTTTAATTTTACCTTCAAGGGAGAAAGAGTGACAATAATTACTGTTTGAAATAAGAGCTGCGTTGTTTTTGGTCAAGCATATGTAGGTGAAAAAGGAACTTTTCTTTGCCAGACGATTTGCCCCTCACTACTTATTTTTCCTCGTATGTTGTCAGAATGAATTTACAGGTTTAATTATGTACGATAGGCAAAGGTCTGCTGACACCGAAGGTACGCTAATAGGTCAACTATGCATCTGAAAGCTACGAGAGTATCTAATTAGATTAAAAAACTACCCTTACAATATATACCAATGCCATAATTTCAATTCATCTCTGAAAGACGCGAAGAAGCCGATTTATAGAGTGGTAACAAATCAGCTTAAACATTAGATCTCAGTGCAAATGTTACATGTGAACGTTATCTCACAACTGTCAAACGAACAAGGAATAAAATCGTAATTTTCCCGCCTCTGTATTACCTATTCAGAAAACTTCGAAAGAGGAGGAAGGAATCAATCAAACCCATGTTATTATTTTCCTTAACAAAAAAGCTAAACAAAATTCGTATGCAGTCGACTGTCGATCACCCAAAAGGATACGAATAAGCGCCCTTTAACATGCTACATCCTCATGAGATCCGCAAAAGGCTGCAAGTATGATGACTCCGCCATCGTACGGTTCATTGAATTTTTATATTCATTTCAAAAGGGAATTAAACCCGTTATTTGTAGCCTCCAAAACGAGCAACTTCAGTGATTATCTTGGCAACAACCAAATCACTCACATTCGCATTTCGCAAAGACAGCTGGGTATAACTCGACCCAGCTTCTCGCATCTTCAACTTGTCAACTTTTTGGCGTCATTTAAAGTATGTAAGGGAGGGGTGGGTAGAAATTATATGCATGTAAAGAAGACTGGATTGATGAGGAAATTTCGTTGAGTTCGAGACATATAGTTTTTACTGTGATCATTAACTAATTATAAGAGAATATTTCCCATTGAAAAAATACATATTTCAAAGACAAGTTCATTGACTCATAGCTGTGAGCTCATGAGTTCAGCTTTTATACCTATATCTTCATTAGGAACTCAAAAACCCCCACTTTGCTGGCTTTTTCAAGAAAAAAACTTGTTAGTATGTCAAAGAAAGAATAGGAAACAGGGCAGACCTAAAGAGAGTGCATCACTGGTTCTGTACTTTGGCCAATTTAATTAAAGGACTATTTTCATAGGATTTTCTGACAGATTTTGTACAGGAGATCCTTTCTCTTGAAGACCTTCTCTCAATTCTACCATGGGAACTGTTTTAAATGAAATATCTGTTGTCCCTCTTTTTTGTGCCAGTTAATTCATGTTTTGGATAGGTGACTAGGGCAAAGTTTAAAAACTTGTGCTGAATCACAAATGCAGTGCCACTGACAGCAACTAGACACATGAACAATTCAGTTTGTTTGTAAACTTTATTTACACCAGATGATCACATTAACAATATTTGATCTGACAACATCGAGAAAAGAAGGTGTGTTGATAAAGAGATCCCAGTTGAAGAAGCATGCCCTCATTCATTAAGAGTTGTTACAGAGTGTTCAGGCTTAAGATACTGCAATGAAAAAAGAAATGGTTAAAACATCATTTGATCTGTAATTTGAAGTACTGTAATACTCCAACAATACCTTGAATAGTAATTAAGTGATCAATTAGCAAATACAGTTTAGTCTGCATGGTGTAGTGATTTCCAGCATAAGTACTTATGTCTAGAGGGCAAGGCCATGAAAATCGGAGATTATTGCCCTTGGATAACTATAAGGAGAATGGGTAGAATCTGTTTTCCTTCCTTGCAATGGAAAGTCAATTTAATTAACTTTGGATCATAAATACCATATTATAGAAGTGACACAACTTGCTAAATGACTGCCACACTGCTAAATCTGCAACTTTTGTTTTAAATTCAAGTGCAGAAAAATAATTTTCTACCATGGCAACCAAAACGATGATAGTTTTAAGTCCTGTACAAGCAAGTATATTTCCTTGATGATTAAATAGACATCCTGTAATGTTAACACAGAAAGCTGACATACCGCAGTCTTCTTGATAAAATAGAGCATAGCACCAGGTATAAGCAAGGCCCAAATAACTGCATTACGCACACTTCGAGGCTTGAACTTAAAGAACCGGTCGGTGTTTTCTCTAATCCAACCAAACTTTTCAATAGCTGGATCTTTCTGTAAAGAGCGACAGACCAACGAATTTTCATCATCGTCGTAAAAGGGTGAATTCTTTACATGAAACTGAATTGCATGGCCGTCTATACTTTTCCCAGTTTTGGTGGCATGAAATGTTTTGGAACACTATCACAAGTCACCGCCGGCATTTTGTTAGATGCTTCGGACAGTTAGATGGTAATCATCAAGCAATACAAGTTACATCATGAAGGTGCTACGAATAAAGGAAGCAGTATTCAACAAATTGAGGCCACAAAAGAGAGATCTTACAGAAATTTTACTTACCAAAAGGGCAGCGCAGTCTTCGGGTGCATATATCCTTCCCGTCGCTTTGTATTGGGCAGCATATTTTGCCTACGAAGTGTTTCATTTTGGAAGAACTAAGCGCTATTAAAGACACTCGAGATAGGAATAATTGATAAAGAACACTTTTCTATATTAATAACAGCCTTTACCTGCATTTTAAGACTTTCTTCGGTAGGACTGGGCCCGTGGGGATAAGAGAATCTACCCCAGCGATCCGCCATCTTGAAGCAATCGACTTTAGTACGTATTTTAGTGCCCGTTCTCCCTCGGTCGCCTTAGGTCTTGTTGGGGAGGGGTGGGAGGAAAAGCTAGAGGTATAACTAGGAAAAAATGTTTTATGAGTTTTTTTATTTCACCCTTTTAAATTCTGATTTGGTTTGGTCTGTCACGCAACACACTCTGGAGATAACGCTTGCGTTATAAGACCAAACAAGAGGGCAACGAAGGAGATCAAAGAAAAAAAAAAACAAAGTGTAGTCTCCTTGCAGCCGCTCTTTGGGATATCACGCAACGCAAAAATTTTGGGTAGACGTGTGACATCCTAAAGAAATGTAAACAGTGACTTGACTTTTTTTTTTTTACTTCTAACTTTCCTGTTTTTGAATGAAAGTATCCTTGAAAATACTTAGAATTCATCCTTACTTGATTGTGGCGACAATACTGCCGACAAAAATGAAATTTATTTCAATTCAAGCTGTTGACTAACGTCATGCTTTTTAGAAGCAGCACTGCTGTCGTAAATTATGAAAATTCAAACGTGACTATCTCAAGCATTTCTCTCGCGTTATAATTAAGATGGGGAAGCTTTTGACTTCACTGGTAGGAAAAAAATTCCTGACCTAAGCACAAAGGGAGCGAAAAGTATAATTGCACCCAAGAATTGAACTGAATACTGAAATCCATAATTTCAAATTTTATTTTGATTCGAATTTCTGAGCGATGTCATAAAACTTTTGACAACAAAAACGAACGGTCACTTTTTTTTTAAAAGCGTCAGTCACTTTTAAGTGAATAGTAAGAATGTCACGATGAATTTATAGATGCGTGTAAGAAGTATAACATTTTTTGGAGGTGTAAACGGACGATAAGAGCAAACAAAGAGAAGAAATATTTAAAGCTATGAGTATGAATTCGCCTGGATTGATTACCATGGAGACGGAGAGTGAGAGCATGCTTCCTTTTTCGTTTTTTTTTTATCAACAAACACACACATGTTGAGACTAAGGTGTACGTTAAACCCACAAATACTGGCCTCCTGCTGCATTACAAGAGCCATGTAGACGACCGATACAAGAGCGGGTTATTAAAAACTATGCTTGATCGTGCATTTCGGCTTTCATCCAATTGCTGTTACTTCTCTGAAGAATGTGATCAACTGAAATTATTGTTTACTCGACTAAAATATCCTGACAAACTTGTCAACTCTACTCTTTCATTGCCGCCAAAGCATCGGATCAACCTGTTTCCTCACTGACTGTCAGCGATCGAACAGACCCCATTCGTGTTGTCCTATCGTTTAAATATCAGGCCTCAGCTGATATTGTACGTGTCCAAATCAAAGATTTTATGAAATGTTTTTTATTCAGGAACTGAGACCTGCTCTCAATGTGCAGTCGAACTCAATTCGTGCAAAGATTTTGAATTAGGTTTTTATTTTTATGTTTAATTTGGTTTTTAATTATCTTCTAATTATTTCCTCTCTTTTTATGTTCTTATTGTCCGTTTACACTTACAAAAAATTTTATACTTCTTACACGCATATATATATTCATCGTGCATTCTTACTATTCAATTGAAAATGACCGAATTTTGGTCGAAACGTCGTGTTTAACCGTCCATTTTTACCGTAAAAAATTTCTGAGGACTCTATGAAAACTGAGGAGCTAATTTTGCAAAAAGGTTTGTTTTCGCTAAATAGGGAATCTCGCACATTTTTGTTTATTAGTTTGACGAAGCGTCTGTGCATAAACATCCCACTTCCCTACAGTCGCATATAAAACCAACCGCTTGTTCGTCCATGAAATTCAAATTGTAATCACACAGTTTGTTACTTCCGCAGTAACACGTCATTTTCTTCAAAACTGAGCGGACACCATATCGGTTTACGCACATATCGGTAAGCGGGCAAACCTCGCTGTCTCCAGCACACGTGAAACAACAACACGGTCCAAAGCAATACCAGCAAATTTGAGCGACTATGCTATCTTCTCGATCGTCGTAGCTCTCCATGAACCTAGTTTCCCTGGTACAACAATCGCCGAAAGTTTCTGGGCAGGTTTTTTTGCACCCCCAGCATAAATAAACTCCGGGAGCGCAAATGATTAGATATGATAAGAATCCCAAGCAATTGAAGCAAAATATTTCGCAATCACACGTACGTGGTGTACACTGTAAAGCCGAACATAGACAGTTACATCCCAAGCGCTTCTTGCGCGGCTGCGTTGTGATCACAGCACTTGTCTGTGATTCACGTGAAAATTGTCTTTCTCTCTCACTGTTTCCCTCGCGCTGACCTGGTTGAATTACTATGACGTTATTCGGGCTTCTGGTCATTGGTGAAACTCTGGAGTGATCTGCCCACGTTGCTGCATGCGAGCTAACTTGCCTATGTGTTGATCCCACCGCAAATGAGTTCTGATTTTCTGAATATGGCGGCGGTGGACGATCATTTATGGCCTCTTCATATGTCGGTGGTGGACTTGAAGGACGGTGTTCGTCTCCCATTTTGAGACTACGAAGTTTTGTGTAGTTTCTTCTTGTCCTCTTCCAAAAAGCGCTCACGGTTTAGTAACGGAACCTTGTTTGTAAACTAAGCGAGGAAATTTAGAAAATCTAACTTACTAACATGCAAATCAGAAACCCCTATTATTCCCTTTGTTCTGATAGTGCTACTGAATTAGAAATTCAATTTGCTTAGCAACCACTGTAAACAATACTTTTTTTTCTTGGCTGCGTCCACAGATCGATAAACTGGGACCTAATCAGACAAAAAGGCGGAAACATTTAGTTTATTTTGACGTGAATTATAATTGCATTCACTTGCAAAATCTCATTTTATTACTCAAACTGTATCTCCGGCGAAAACGATTGAGCTGGCAAGTACAATTCGACGTTCTATCGCTTTATAGAAGGAGTGACCCCTCCATATTCTTTGTGTCCTCTCGTTTCTTCTCTTATCCGCCCCGCTTTTGGCACGTCCTAGTTCTTGTTTCCAGAGCAACTCGTTTTCGATAAAGAAGACTTAGAAATGAGAATGAATTTTCCTCAGCATCAACACAAGCAGCTCAAAAGTGACTCAAAATATTCCTGAGTTCAGTTAATGACGTCAATCTCTGATTATTTTCTTTAGAGGAGGGAAAACTGGGGAAGAGTTATTTTTGGAAGCTGACATGGCGGACGAATTCGTCACGAGAAGTATGCTGTAACGACAACTCGACTAGGAAAGGTTGCCAAATGAATACCGGCCTTTTGTAGACACAGAAATATATCACCATCTCTCCAAAATGTTTAGGAAAAAACCTGATCCAAAAGGTAGGGTATATGATTTGTTTGTGGTTGTCATGTTAAAGGATAAAAGATCTAATATAACCTATATTCATTTGATAAAGGGTACCATTTTGAGAAAATTTCTTTCTTTTTGCGAGCTCTTGCTTCATACGCATGGCCTGTATATCAGTTCCCATGTTATTATTTTAACGGTGATGGTCTCAAAAGTTTTCAGGTATAACTATGATTTCGACCAATCGTGCCAGTTCGGCTGAATGTCAGATACATATATTTTCAGTTACTTTATTAGCACAATTATTTCTTTACATCTGTTACCAACCATAGATGAAATTTAAATTCATCACGACTTTTGACTCAAGAATAAAGAATTTTAAATATAATAACTTCTGTGGACTGCAAGAGTGAGGTATTGTGAAATTTAAAAGGGGCTACCCGTGAAAAATTGCTGTTTGCGTCGTAAAAGTGATTCATCTGTTAAGTTTGGTTAGATACAACAGCTGGTTACCGCTTCTTATTGGCAAATGAAACAAGCCCTGATAAGTGTTGAGAACTAGAGGTTGACTGAATCCTAAAAGTGTTGATGCTGAAAAATAATTTTGATTGTTGTCTTCCTAACTTGCTGTATGGTAGTAATGTATCATTTGATTTAAATCTACAAACGCTTGAAAAATAGCGATGTGAACCGACATTTCAGAGTCTTCATGACGCCATTGTCAAGGTAAAAGTTAGGATAATGAATTCTGCGAGTATTAATAACTGTAATAAATTTACATGATAAAGATGCAAGGTTAAATTACAGAAATACTTTAACACAGATTGAGTCAAACTGCATATTCAGGGTTGCTTTTAGTTCTCTGATGAATAACATCTTGTGCACAAAGCAACCAAATTTATTTTTGCATTTATTTGGAACATTGAAGCACCTCAGTAGGTCTTCAGGGACCTTGCTATGTTGTCTTGGTAGTGTTTATGTATAGAAGATGACCATTGGTTATGTCCGTCCACATGTACGTGTAAGTGTGTGTGTGTGTATAGCCCACATAACCTGCATCACACAAGTCACATCGAAAATGATAGACAATGTGTTGTTGGTTCATGATCTGGGGCTTTTTCTCTCCAACTTTTAGGTGTTGGTTGATTTTACAGCTGATGAACAAAGGTTGGACAGCTGTCTGTACTTTTAGGCTGGGGTCCTTGAGTTGTTTCTTGACATAATTTGCTGATTCTCATGTCCTCTACTGAAGAAACACTTAAGCATGATGGAACCCTTTAGCAGCTCCCTTCATTCTACCGCAGATATGTTGATGACATGCTCACCATAATTCCTGATGCACCAACAGCAACCGATTTCCTATGCACTCTTAACAATGTCCACACTTCGATCAGATTCACTGTGGAGGTAGAAAAGAACAGCATGCTTCCTTTCCTTGGCACTCAACTACTCAACCATGCAGCCTGAGTTTATGTAAAACCAACTAAAACAGGTCTACTATTACACTATCAAAGCCATGTAGACAATTGTTACAAACAGAGCTTATGGACAACCATGCTTGATCACACACACCGATTATCTTCCTCTTGGACATATTTCTCTGATGAGTGTGATTGCCTAAAGAAATTTTTTTCAAGACTTAAATACCCAAAATGTCTGATTAATTCCACCATCAACAATTTTGTTCATTCAAGAGTAGCAGACCAACACTCCTCACAGGTGCTAAAACAACAGAGGGCCATTGTTCGAGTGTTCATACCAATCCAGGACCAAGAATCAGCAAATTATGTCAAGAAACAGCTCAAGGACCTCAGCCTACAAGTACAGACAACTGTCCAACCTGTGTTTGTTAGCTGTAAAATCAACCAACGCCTAAAAGCGGAAGAGAAAAAAAGCCACCGATTGTAAACCAACAATGTGTTGTTTATCGTTTTCAATGTGACTTGTGTGATGCAGGTTATGTGGGCTATACGTGCGTACACCTACATGTACATGTGGTCGGATATAAACAATGGTCATCTTCTTTATATAGACACTACCAAGACAAACATGGCACGGTCCCTGAAGACCTACTGAGGTGCTTTGATGTTCTAAAGAAATGCAAAAATATATTTGATTGCTTAGTTCATGAGATGTTATCATCAGAGAACTAAAAGCAACTCTGAACGTGCAAGTGGACTCAATCCATGTTAAAGTATTTCTGTAATTAAATCTTGCATTCTTTATCATGTAAATTTATTGGAGTTGTTAATTCTTGCAGAATTCATTATCCTAACATTTACCTTGACAATGGCGTCATGAAGACTCCGAAATGTTGGTTCATATCACTATTTTTATGTGTTTATGTATATTAACTAGATCTTTATTGATAATTGATTTAAATCATTTTTGATTAAAGAACAAATGAGACAACAGAAAAGGCAGCTGAACAGAACACAGAGGGAATTGGCCAGGGATCAAAGTGCTCTTGAGAGGCAAGAAAAACAACTGGTGAGACAAATAATTTATTAAAATTAATTATCTATCCAAATCTAACTTAAATAAAATTTATTATTTGCAAAAGCTAGCTGTGCAGGCTATCACCAACTCAGACTATGGAGCCCATTCTGCTCCTTTATTCTCCAAACTAGGAATTTTAGATATTTCCAAGTCAATATGTTTTAAATTGCCAAATTTATGTTTTATTGTAAAAATAACTTATTGCCCCCATTGTTTCTCAATCTTTTTGTAACGAATAGCCAAATTCACAACAATGGTACCAGGACAGCCAATAATATCAAACGCATTTGTGCTGTACAAATCTCAAGCAATTTACAATTCTCTACCAAGGTCCTAAAATTTGGAACTCTCTTTCTGTTTCAGTCACTTGCTCATCAAACCTTCTTTAGCTTTAAGACAAAAATGCAAGAGTTTTTACTGAAATAATCACTGAATTGGCCAAGCTGCACATTCGCAGCACTTTTTCTTCACCTGATTTATTATAATTGTAAGTGAGGTGGCCCTCTTATAAGCCTGGTGGCTTATTGGGTCTCCTGGCCTTCTAGCTATTGATGCTGTAAATAATTTTTTTTGTATTGTTGAAATAAGGAAATTAAAGATGATGATGATGTTGAATCCCTATGCAAACATCAGTTTATGCCCTATCTTTGTATCATTACTTCTCATAATGCTAGGTCCCCGCCCCCTGTCTTATTTATCCATAATTCATTTATTCATCAAGTCAGTTGATCGCTCATTTTTCCACTCACTCATTCACTTTTTCATTCATCTAGTCTGTCAGTCATCCATTTGATTACTCATTTGTTCCTCCAGTCAACCAATCAGTCAATCAATCAGTTCATCACCTAGAGTCAATCGTTTTCTTTTATTATGCTCTTAGGAAGCAGAGATCAAGAAAATGGCAAGACTTGGAAACAAACAGGTTTGATGTCATTCACACAAATTTTAAATATGAAGTATTACAAAATGGTTTTTCCTTGATGCCTTCATTGTACTTTCCACCACAAGACAAAACACAGCTTTAAAATGAAGATCAACCTAACCAAACTGTGACTAGTCCATGAAATTGCAGTGCTAACACAAAACAAATGTAACTAATCTCAAACATTTAGAATATTTATTACTAGAGTCTTTCTTTTATTCCATGCAACATATTACAACATTACACATTACAACATATGATAGATCTAAATTAAGGTCTACCATTCCATCTGACTTGTGTTTTCTAACCATCTTCAACTGAGAATTATTCAGTATTTTCCATCCAAATGGAAAGTTAACATCTATCTGTTGAAAATTCATTTACTTAGGCTGCAACAACACTTGCCAAGCAGCTGGTTAATCTACGAAAACAGAAAACTAAAAATATGACCGTAAGTTCCCGTGTGATGGCCATTGGACACCAGTCACAAGCCATGCATGCATCAGCAAAAATGGCAGGTGCCATGTCTACAGCAACCAAGGTATGACTAAGGATTTATTAGTTTACTATTGTTTCAATTTCTAGTATTTTGGCTTCTAGTTTTTAAATTACTTTGAACAGCTTTATCTTAGCATGGTATCAATTGCTTAAGGTGTGCAGGAAAGATGAAAACAACACAACCAAATCAGTTAAGTGTCCTCTACGGCCAACAAAAGCCCTGATGTGTTGGCTGGTGAAACAGTCCAAGTTCTAAACAACAGGAAAAAAAATCAGGGGCCATTTGGTTGCTCAGTGTTTTGTTTGTGTTTTTGTTCAACAACAACAACAACTCAAATGTGCTCAACAACAATTAAGGATGTATTAAACAGAAAATAATAATTAATTGTAATTACGAAAAACTAGAGGGTACCTACACCCTAGGATAATTAAACAGCTCAAAATGACAGGGAGCTGCTCTGTTCTAAGGTGTATGTTTTCTGGGTTCTGTTGCCTTTAGTTGATATAGTAAAATGGCATACTAGGTGAATAATCGCTTATCATGATGTCCTTTTACTCTGGCAATCCTTTTTAATCAGATTATCATATTGTAATATGTTTCTGTAGGCCATGGGAAGTGTAAATGCCCAGATGAATCCAGTGCAATTACAACAAACTCTGCAGAACTTTGAAATGGAATCTTCAAAAATGGACATGAAGGAAGAAATGAGTAAGTTCTTTCAAAGTCTTTTTAAATGCTTAGTAAATTGTGGTGGAGTGTAGGTGATGGTAGCCACAGAGGAGAGAAGCATTCTCCCCAGCAACAAGGAGGTCATCATAGCAACTGAGCTGCATTCCACCTTAGAAGGTGACCCTAGAGCCAGCTGGTGCTATTTCTTTTGTTTTTAATACCTAGCCTAAATTATATTTAACCTCGTTTAATTTGAAAAACTGGAATAGCTCCACCTTTCATGACATAAACAGGGCAATAAACTTAAGTTTTTCAAAGAAGCATTTAGTGACCTAATTGCCAGAAATTATATTTAGTCACAATTTGTTATTAAAGAAAAGGAGGAAACATTGATAGTGTTGGATGAAATAAAATTAACTCACTTTAACTAAGTGAGAAAAACATTACAGCTTTGTTTGCATGACCACCAAACACAAGTTGTCAAAGTGATAACTTTTGCAGCAAATTCCAATGCTGAAACTTTTTCCACTTGTCATGGCAACCAAAATAGTGGCAGGCTGTACACTGGAGTCTGTATCAAAAGGTCTGTGGTGGCACCTGGACCAGGGCATTTTTTTTCAGAGCCTCTTTCTGCCAAGGAACATCAATGGTTACTGAAAAATTATGGAGGAGATGTGAGGGAGTGTATGCTCTTCCTTTCCTGGATCTTAAACTGTTTCATAGTGCTAGCCTTTTGTTGGTGTGAGCCAGATAAAAGGAATACTGTATTGACAAATAAAACTAAGCTATATTTATCTTCTAAAATCTTCTAAGTTTTTATCATTTTTCCTTCTTTCTGTTTTATTCTAGTGAATGATACTCTAGAGTCAATATTAGATGAATCAGGAGATGAGGAGGAGCAGGATGCGATCGTCAATCAAGTTCTTGATGAGATCGGCATTGAAATATCTGGGAAGGTATATGGAATGGCTCTAAGGCATTATTGCTTCTTACAACATAGTTTCCTGTTCTTTTCTCACTCCAAACTCATTTCTTATGTATGGTAATTTCAAACTGTTATTTACTATCAGGGTCTGCTTGACATGTGTAATCACATGATGGCATCATAACACGTGATCATTGAAGTCCAATCAGAATAGTAGAAAGTTGTAAATGTTGAACCTATTCTTATGCATGAGTCTCAACTGCAGATAGCATTTGAATACCAAGTTGCCGCTAGGTAACTCATCCTCAAGTAAAATACGATGTATTTATTTATTGTTAATTCGATCAGGCTCCTTCACAGGGAAGAAAGAAGTGGCTAATTTTGTCTTCTTCTCAACATGCATCTTCACGTTCTCCTTCCATTATAAATCATTTTTTTCTTCGACAAAATAGCTAAACTTTATATTTAGAATTGTCTGTGGAAAAAACGGATTAATGTCAGTGTCTGGGCAACTGCGCAACTGCGCACATACCCCTCCCCCAACCCAACTTTAACTCTAACTAGTTATCAGTTGAATGTGGTTGGGTCAGGGGAGGGGTAGGTGCGCAGTTGCTCCGACAGTGACATTGATCCAAAATGGCGAAGAAAGGTGTCCAAGACGCCATGACTGTTGTTTTCATTTGAAATCGTCAAGATTTTATTTACTCATTCCTTTAAATAAACGAGCATTCATTTGTTTAGATGGCAGAAGCACCTTCCGCGCATGGCGGTAAATTACCAACAGGACAACGGGCGGCAGCTTCCAAGGGAACATCGGATGCAGATATCGAGGAGATGTTGGCTAAGTTGAAGGCCTAAAACAGAAGAATGCCTCGCACTGTGCTTACATCTAGGGTTAATTTTTGCATGCCTGATTATTACCCATTTCATTTGAAGGAGTTTGAAAAATAGTGCTGAAATTACTGGATTGTTGTTACATTGGAAAAAAGTTTTCTGTGAAGTCAAACTCTCATTCAAAAATTAGGAATATAATAACAGTTATTTAACTCTGAATTTTGGCTGACGTGGTTGATAAGATAATGCCAACAGGTTGTATTGATTATAACTCGTTTTGCCTCCTGAGTAAAACTCGATTAATGAATAATGGGCCAAGTGTCACGTGAGAGTGCCCGAGTTGTGAGTCCAAAGGAAAGTGAGCAGGGCTCGCGAGTATTCGCGTTCATTCATTCTCCCCCTGGCGATTATTTCCCTGGGAAAATGGAAAAATGTGAACAAATAGTTGAGAACAACGAGGATATTCTATAATAAGTGTACTGTCAACAACGCATTTGTTTGTAAAAATATCAATAAATCATGTTTTAAAGTCTGTAATGTGCCTTTTGAATTTCAGGATTTTATCAGTAAAATGGACAAAGAAAGGAAAGAAAGTGTTAAGAGCTCTTCGTTTGATCGTTCGGAGAGGAAAAAGCTAATGACGATATGTCAGCGGTTCTCCTTACGCGCGCGGGGTCGCGAAAGAAATAGGTTTTGCTCTGTCTTTCAATTTTACAACCAGATTTTCGACCCAACGCCGCAGAGCGTTTTAACGAAAAAATAAAGGGAGTGTTCCTTGCCTCTTACGTAGGCTGTGAAGCAACATATTTGTTTCTGAGAGCGTTCCAGTGCTCCAATATGGTGAAATGGTGTAATTGAGGAATAATAACGCTAAGTCATTTACTGGTTTGAATCCCTAACTGTAAAGATCGGTATTGCTCGGGGAATTTTCTCGAGTTTCTGCTCAGTCGTCGCAGTGGTCTTCCTAAAAATCATGTTATTTAAGAAGAACCCCACGAAATTTCGCAGCATGGCCTTCTTTAGATCGAGTTGTCGTGAGAAGAACACAAGGGGGTTTGAGAGAACCACTTGAAACCACGACGGCAACGGCAACGTCAACAAAAAGGGTAATGAGCAGGAACGATGGCTGTGTACGTGCGTTGCAAATCTTTATAAATTTCTTTGCGTCCTCTGCAAAACAACAACGTGAAATGACCAAACTTTGCGTTGTCTAGAGGACGTGAACGACGACGGCTAATTTTTTAAATGTTTATTTCTAATTTAACACCGTGTTCCCTATTTAGTTTCGATATAGTTTTGACAGTGAAAAACAAACTAAATAACTTTAGAGAATCGCGAGATTTGTAGATAAAGTATAAGTTCATTTTTTAACCGACTTCGTCCACGGCGTCGCCATCGTCGTTTCTTAAACTTCCTTCTGTTGCTGCAATGACATATGCATATTTACAACTAAGATTTATTTTGTGCATACAATTTCTTGGAAACCGATTAGTCTCCATCGAGTTTTCAGCCAGGCGTTAGAGATTTTTTCCAAAATTGTCTGGTAAGAATACTTTTAATTCTGAAGAGACACAAAAAATTTCGGAGACGAGGCCAGAAATAGGGAATTTTGTGAAAGTGCGAGCGAAAAGCTTGTCAAAGACAGATAGCTAGTAAGCTAAGTCAAACATCTTTAATTATTCCAGATGCGGATAAACAATTAATTGATACTGTTCTAGAGACTAGCCTGCTTAGGATTTTACCCAATGAACACCTTTATAATTTCACATAATTGTGCAAAGAACACCGTTGCTATGATAGCTTATGCAAAATACAACTAAGATTCTATTTAGCGCATTATATTTCCTAGAAACCGACCAGTCTTTGCGCTTTCAGCAACTGAGGCGTAAAAGAATCTTCGCAAAAATTTTCAGGTAAGGTGAAATGATCTTCTTTATACTGTAAAATAGATTGCGGTTGCACGGCATTATGGTGAATACACTTCTTAAATGAATTATGATCGTTTACCTCACTTCGAAAGTATATCGTGACGTCTCGACTGCATAAGGCGTATTACCTTCAAGCGACGAAGAAGGCGTGCAATCGAAACTTCACGATTTACGTCGTAAGTTAAGACATCGTGAGACAAACAACAATATTTCATGGAGATCTTCATATTTTTCTAAGACTCAAGAGCTCGCTAAAACCTCTCGAGAATTCTGTTTTATACTGAAGCGCAGTCAAGAAATTAAGATTCGCGTGCTTAAGGGGCGTGTTTACTAATGGCCTGCTACTCCGTGCTTAAGGATAAATTATAACATGCGCGTGTGATTTTCTTATTTCACTCCTATTGAGCTGTAAGGGTCTACGTCTCTATGGCACACGGCCGTGCACGTGCATAACGCGACTTGGCATCTGCATTTTACTGCCAACTTTCGACCAATTTAACCGCGAGTTCCTGCTAAGCAACTTACCGAGAAACTGTGATAGAAAACTAGCGAGCCAGCACCCCTGATTTTGTTTATCCGCCGGTATTACAGTCTATCAAAAGAACAATGTGGTAGTTGCTCAGGAAAAATTGGCAAGTTTCATGGATTGCGTCTTAAGCTTGAGTATTTAAGCTATGTTTTCCTCAATTTTCAATTTATTCAAAGAATTGAATTTTCAATCAACGACTTGTTCAAAGGGTTGAATTTTCATCGACAACTTTAGATAAACCATCAATCAAACAAGACCAAATTTTCCGTCTGGGGGACATAGGGAATTCGGTGAAGTGATTGCACAAGGCTATAGTAAGTCAAAGAATGCTAGCTGGGTTTGCATGAAAAACAGTTCAATAAATAACACCATTATTCAATACAGGATTCAACGCCAGGTGTTGAAGAAGCAATCAGCTGTAGCACTTCCAGAATTATGCAAATCTATTTGAAGTCAGGGCTGCATTACTTAAAAATGACAGGTCCAAAAATAAAATGCGTCGCTTTTTCCTGGGTTTGTTTAGTCTGTATCTTGTTTGGCTCGCAATTTGTTTAGTTTGTTTGCCATCCACCGTCATATAACACGGCGAAACAGGCGTAAAAAGGTCTAAATACGGACCAATACGGGATTCGTAAAAGAAGAAGCCTACGCCTGCTAAGAACGAATACGTCACGCTCCAAGTTTAACCCTTTAACACCTAAGAGTGACTAACATCTGATTTCTCCTTACAATATCACGTCTGAATCATGCAGTAAGGTCATGAGAATAAAGAAAATTATCAGCAGCTAAAGAAGCTTTTGATTGTTAAACAAACTCTCCCTGTCAGCACCTTAAAGAACGTATGGAAACAGTATGGAGAAAACCTTTACTAATGTTAGTGTGTAAATTGTTAATAAAAAAAACGTACAGAGTTTTTTTTTCGCTGTTCCCCAGCCCCCTGCCCTCTACCTCAACCATCCACTCTAGCTCCAACTCAAATATGGCCGGTTGGATAAACGATTGCGAGCTTATAACGTTAGCTCGCATTAATGAGGCACCTGCACTACAGGCTACCTGACGGTTAAGTGTGCGTGAGATTCTTTTTTCAAAATCACATTGAAAAATTTCGGTTTATCGTTGAAGTGAATACACTTTCCATGTAATGTGTGACCGTTCGTCCCTGGATGAACTTCGGATGTGGATCGCAACGTTTCGACTGCTTACCGCGAGTCTTCTTCAGCTGTTCAGACGATGATGAAGAGGACTTGCAGGCTGCAGTCAAAACGTCAACAAATGGTAGTTCTTATAGATCCTCTTCGGAAGAAGAAGACTCAGAAGTCCGTTGAGACCTCATGTGACTTCCGCTTTATACCGAAGCGCGGTCAAGAAGCTAAGATTCCTGTGCTTTGAGAGCGCGCTCTCAATTGAACGATATTTTCATCGGAATATTTTTGAAAGTAAATGCTATTTTTCTTCAATAAGGATGCAAACATCCGTTATTTAGAGTCCCATTTCAACCGACCCATCCAAAAAACTTAACTCTAGCATGCGTAGTATGTCTATGTTTACAATAAGCAGCTGGCCTCGTCGTTACTTTGAATAACAAGTATTTGTTAACGTTTTGTCTTTTAAAAATAAGACTAAAAGTGATTTAAGTCTCATTCTTCTGAAACTGGTTATGCAATCAGACCGAGCTCACGTTTTGTAGCCTAAATGAAACAAGCTTTTTTAAGTACAGTCGTTTTCCAGCAGGGTGCAGACCCCTGTGGCAAGTTAGAAAAATAAATTTTTATCATCTCTGAAAATATGCTATTTATAGCGCGTTCCAGACGTCAACTGAACAAAGCGTGTAAAGTACAACTGATAACTTCACAGGATGCTTTACAGGATTTTTTTTTCATACCAAGTTTTTTTTTTAGATATATAACCAACATTCTAAATTCCGAATTTTTCTCATTGTAATTAAAACTTAGCTGGCCTCGAATTCTGTCACGGTTTTCTCACGTCGGATAGCAAGCATTCTCATCGCTCAAGTTTATTTCCTTGCAAAGCTACGAGAATTGCAAACGTGTTGGAATGTGTACGTTTCGAGCCATGCTCTACAATAATAAGCTAGTGATTACGCGAAGGTCGATTTTGTGTCATAAACAACAAATTAGAAAAAAAAAACTTGTGTGCACGCTCAGGGCGTGATCCCTACCTATAAACTGAAAAAAAATAATCTAGAGTTGTTTGTGTTTCGAGAGTCTTTCAACTTGGCGGGACTCTCGACGACTATCTGTTCAGCAAACTTTGTCATCTAATCGCGGGTTTGCGCTTTCATGTACAAATAAGTGCAGATTGTGACCACACAAAAAATGAACAAAGGCCTCTGCCCCTCCTCAAACCCAGACTCCATGAAAAACATGATCGCAAGTTAGGGCGAAGCCGAATATATTGTTCTCCATAGACGTATCACGTAGAGAAATGGAGAACGAATTTTATATTGGGAGTTAGAGCCCTAACATCTAAACAAATTCATATTTTACAACCGCACGTACTCACTCTCTGCATTGCCTACTACGCAATAGAGAACTAGAGGGGTGGCCAATCATATTTCAGAATTTTTGTTGATAGAAGGCTTGTTGATTTACTCTATTGTCTGACATCCCACGATGATATGACCTCAACCATGTCTTGTGTTTGCGTCAGACTCGAACACACCATGGAAATTGGCCAATCACAACGTTTACCAAGCCGCAAAAGGTCAAGGGATTGATCCCTTTGCCTTTTGCGGCTTAGTTTCGTCAATAAGTTTTAATACAATCTGAAAAAAAAACCGATCTCTATGGAACGTCATTTTAGTTAGGTAGAATATCCGAAGTGCTGTGGACACTTGATATCGAAAGCTGTAACTTTACCAGTGCAATACCGACTGCGGTCATTCCAAGCGGTCATTAATTTTTATGCAGATATATTTTAAACATGGAAAATGAAATGTACCGAGTTAGACAAACAAGTCATTTTAAATTAACAATATTGCACGACATCAGGAGTGTCTCCCGATGTTTGCAAGTTATTGCAAACTTCAGCGCGATAACATTGCAAAAATTCTGGCATGTAGTCAAGGATTCACCCGTAAATTTTCAATTTTCGGTGCATTCGAGCGTAATTCATTCTAGTGACAAAGAAGCTGCACTCGTAACTGTTCTTCTAAGCCCTCCCCGTTTCCTGTGGTTTTATTCGATTGAGCATTCGGGCGTTGTTTTGCGTAGGTGTACAAATCAAAATCACGTGGAATAATAGACTGCCACTTGAAAGGTGAATTAAATATGATCTCCTAGCTGAGATGTTGGATTTAGAGGAAATGATTACCTTCGAAGCTGTTTAATGCGGCATTCTTGTAAGCGTACATCCCTACTTATTGCTGAAAACTCTCGTGCATGAAAACTTCGGAAAATAATTATGGTAACTCTTTCTTTTAATGGTGTACAAATACCTCACGACCCGAAATCTTTACATATAAAGGTCATTAAAATACTACTTGCCCACCTTGAATAAACGAAGCAAAGAAAATTGTTTTGTAGTTAGACATTCCGTGACTCCGTCGTTTGCAGAATCCATTCACTATTTTCAATGTGTTACGCACGGCTGCACACTTCTTGATGGTACAACGAAATTGATCTCAAGTTGTCAAGCGTGGAATTGAAAACAATATACATTCAATAAGATCCGTGGCCAGCTCTTCAAACCCACGCAGGCTATAAATATTGACCAATCAGAGCGATTGTAATTTAGCATAAATATGGTCCCCAAACCCATAAATTATTTGTGTCACTGTGTCGCATCTGCCTGAGGTGGGCAAGCGTACTTCGAGATCCCAAGTAGCAAACCAGTTGCTTCAGGTAAGGTGTTTCAAGGGCAAGCTGTAAGGTTACTTGATAGATTTAAAGCTTCGTTCAAAGTCCACGAGCTTCAGCATTTTATTTTCGGAGAATTATCTTTTTATGTTATAGTGAGCAGAATCCAATTAGACATGATTCTACATGACTAAAGGCAGACGTATCCTAAATGCGGTTTCTCTGTCTTTTAAACTATCGGAATAATTTGTTATTTTGAAGCAGTTGCTTTGCTATCACTGTGATATCCGCGAGTAAACGAGTTTAGCATCAGAGCGACTAAGCAGACTTTTTCTTTGAACTGTGCGTCAACGCGCGGATGATTGTGATTGGTCAAAATTGGGGCGTGTTTGCGATCGTAGTTTTAACCTGCAGGTCAAAACGTGCGGGATATTCAATCACTGAATGGGGTGTTGTTTTTCTATGCCTGCCCTTTGTTCTTCCTGCCACGAATTATTGTTTTGCAATCATCGCGACTATTGAGAAAGCAACATGCCTCTCCCTTTGGGCATCAATCGACATAACTCCATTGCTACTTAACACGGGCTCAACTTCGTATTATGTTGCTAACAATGTTTATTATCACTAAATATGAAAGTTATTTTACTGAAGGAACGTTTTAATGAAGTAAAAAAATGGACAAATATCGGCATTCTTCAGAAGGAGCTAAACTTTTTTTTTCTTCTTCCTGTGATTGAAAATATATCAATATCATTGTTGGTGTGATAGTAGTCCAAGCTTCCCTTATCATACCATTGTGCTCGTGTTTTAATTGTTTCTGACGCACGAGATTTAGCAATAAATCATTACATGCTTGTCTTAATACTGCAAACGAAGATGGTTTGCTCGATGACGCTTTGTTGATCATAGAAGGCTAGTAAAATAAGGACAACATTTCACAGCTTCTAGCATGCAACATATCGAGCTACCCGGAAACGAAATATTATCAAATTACAACTGTAAAAACCCTAAAGCATGAATAAGGCACTCTCATGACAAATTAAATTGTAATTGAAACCTTTAGAGAAATGAAATGACTTCTAAACTCTTTCCTTGATTTTCTTCGATATCTGGCCGTCCCTCGTGTAGTTTATCGCGTGCGTCTGCCGTTTCGTAACCCGACTTCGTGGTCGAATGACCTCGTCGAAAATTCCGTCTTTTGGTTTATTAATAACAAAGGTACAAGGACTGTTGTTTGATTTAGGCGTGACATGTATTTTAAGTTAACCTATAGAATATCAAAGTTTTTTGGTCAATCATTTACAGGGGGTTCTGTTACTGACGGTCACCCCTGCGGCAGTCTGGCGAACTGTTTTTAATTTTGGTTTTGCCCTATGGTCCTTTCTCAGGCCATAGCCGCCTATTTGGATCCTCGGAAGCCGCTTATGGAATAAAAGTTATTAAAACCTCTGCTTACAGCGTTATCGAGCTCGGAGACTTGAAAAGTATTTCCAGAAATCACAACCGTATCGAAGATATCATCAGTTACTCTTTTTAAAATCTTTACTTATGAAATGAATGTCATTAATAAAGTTAAGTTGGATCAACAACATAATTGTACAAAAAGTGAAACAATCGCTTAATATTTAACCTAGAATTCTGATTGGTATATTTATGACTTGCGAAATTGTCACCATTTCCGTTACCGGTGTGTTTGGTCACGAACGTCTCCAACCCTTCAAATACTGCTGTCAATTTTAACAATAGATAGTGCGCTTGAATACGTGTGCGTGATTCAGCCCCTTTCTATGGTTGTTGCAGAACTAAATGCCACTTGCTTATGAGGGTTTCTTTGCAGTTTGGAACTTTTGGATAGTATTGCGTTATTACAAAGAGTAAGATTCGATTATTCGTGTATAAACTCTTAAAGTCCGTTGAGACGAGTATCACTTCTTTCGGAAGCTTTTATTTTTTCTATGATGTTGATGATACATCTTTGAGATATGACTTCCGTTGTTGTGCGATCGGCTGAAGAATTTTATTTATTTAAACAGGATAGCTTTTCTGTTGGTCTTTTCTTGGGTGCAGCTTTTGTCTCACTTAAACGCACCTAAGAACAACCGATTTTCAAGCCGGCTAAATATGCATTAAGCAAGTCTTTACATTTCTGCATAACGAGAATACATTATCAGTATTGTAAAGGCTATAATTTGTCCATCAGCTGGCGGTGAACCAAAACAACTTGGGTTTAACCTGGCGGGATCAAGATGAAAATGTTCATTGCGTCGGGATGGCGGGATAGAATGAAAAAATGGCGGCGGGATGCGGGATTGAAAAAGTATCTTTTGGACCATCGATTTCCTCCAACAAAAGTCGGGTGTTATGCTATTTAGATCTTGAAAAATACAAATCTAAATTCCTCAGTTCAGTGGTTTCTAATCCCTAATCACCTCTAAGATTTTGCCATCTGCAGCCATTTTTTATAGTCGGTTATAAATTCTGCGGTGTATTTTTTCTCTCATCGAAGTAGCATGTGGTAGTTTCTTTCACAAAACGATCAATCGCTTTTGAACTTGGCAAAGATTAGATGAAATCAGAAGTATTAAAAAAAATCAACAATTAAAAAAAAATCAACACTAACACGAAGTTAAGTCGTGACTTAAAATATTCACTTTACTTCCCGATTGCGACATTTGGGTAAATATTGCAGGAAAGAAAACTAAACAGAACTAAGGTGCAAGCAAATACGACACAAAAAAGTGAAAAGCAACTGGAACTAAGGACTTGATTCCTTTCTTAACGCGCATTGTAAACTTTTTAAGAGAGACGTAACAAATTATGTAACTAAAGCAAGCCAAAACAGATTATGAAAATATTTTTGACGCAAGTAGATCTTATGCCGCGCAGTTCTTTAAGTATGTCGATACTTTACGTGTTTGAGGCACCGACGTAAAATATTGTTACAATTTAAATCTCTAGAAAACTGCGCGAAAGACTAGGCTTCGGCCAGTGAGACCATGCATTACCAAAAATGAGACCGAGCATGAGGGTATTAAAAAAGACGCTTTAATCCTATGTAGTTCTTTTTGTCCCAGCTAATGGTTTAGCTAGTATAATTATAATTGAAAATTTTTTGCTTTCAGTATTCTCAAATCAAATGAGCGTCATGGCAAACAAAGCTTACTACAAGGAACGAATCCGAAAAATGCAGAAAGAGATTGACGAGGCTGGCAAAGAATCCAAGGTTCTAAAAAATTTAGACGTCTTTGTGTTGGACAATTCCCTCCGTGAAAGTACCGTGGGTCAGTTGCGTGGGCATACCATAGAAAACAAATGGAAAATTTACAAGGAGGTGGGTACATTATGCTTCATCCTTGAGTTGGATTTCCATTCTTCTGTTGTCTGAAATGACTGCGAATTTGTAAAAAATATTAATAAAGGCATAACATCATAATGACTCAACGCTTTGGATGAAGAAGCTTACTACTATCAACTGTCATCAAGAAATGAAAGCTGGAGTTGTAAGCGTCAACAAAAAAAGATCCAGTTTGCTTAATCTAAGAGTTAAGCCTACAGGCGTGCCAAGAGCCACTTGAATAAAATTTTCATGCAAATTGAACCTTCAAATTTTGCCCAATGCTTGAGAGCCTCAATTCCCACACATTACGTCGATTCAGCATCTTCGGAGTACCGTGACGTTATTTGTCTAATCTATGCATGTATTTTACGTGTTTCCCAATCAATGATTAAATGCAACCGTTTTACACGATACGTCGGTGTAGCTTTAGTTATGATAATTTGCCGAAATGCTCCATGTCATAACAACACATTTGAAAAATTCCGGAGAGGATTGCTTTGAATCAACGGGTGTTTAATAGGAAGGACTGTGGACAGAATTCTACCGTCTCTCCGCTTGAGAGGCTCAGCGGGAGCCTTTATCATCGAAACAAATTTCAGCTGTGTTTTAGCGTTTCTAAACGTTTTTCCCTTGATTCTTTTTCTAAACTAGATCAAAAAAGTCGGCTTCAAAGACATCATCGTCGCTTCCTTCTCCCACATGACTCGCCTGGGTGATACTTTCATCAAACAGCTACACGATGCAGGAGAAGACTTCACTAATCTCTGGGCCTTCACAGAGTTACTTGAATCCGTTGACAAAAGTGGGGTTCCTGATACCGAGACCGTTCCTGTTGGCTTACGGAAAATGAAAGAACTCGGCATCAGGAACGCCATCATCGAAATGGATTTGGTTTACGTAGGGATCAATTACAAGAAGTTCAAAGTTGAAGCTATCAACGACCTTCTTACCGAGAGATTGAAGTGGATCCATGCCAACCTGGCTAAAGATTCCAAGGTGGTGGTCAACTTGCGCGATCTTCCCGACGGCATGATCAAAAAGCCAAAGCGTGTTTTCAAGGTCATCCGTCATTTATCTTCCTTGCCCCTAGCTATCCGTCCATTTGGAATCGTTACCGAGGAGTCTGGAAAATACTTCCCAGAGCAGCTTGCAGCGTGGATAAGAGCTGTTCGAAAAGAAATGGATGATTGTGGTTTCAAGGATGGTCACTTGCTGGTTCACGTGCACGAAAAATGGGGACACGTGGACACCACTCAGTTGTCATGTTTGGCCAACGGAGCAAATGGTATCTGGGCAAGTATGATTATACAAGGTGCATCCATGGGTGCAGCCAGTTCTACCGTAACCCTGATGAACCTGGTCCGCCTTGGAAACAAGAAAGTTCTCAAGAAGTACAATTGCACAGCCCTCCGAGAAGCTGCACAAGAGATCTGCAGGGTCACCACTGGATACGAGCCATATCCACTGCAACCCATATACGGAGAACGAGCCTTGGACATGGTGTTCAGTATGCCTACCAAACTTGGAATAAACGAGTTCGACTTGGCGAAGTTCTTTGGGGAAGAGCCACTGATGCGAATGACCACACTGGCCTCTGCTGAAATGATTGTAACAAGGCTCAAAAATCTCTTTGGAGAAGATCCTCAATTTACCATCGAACGAGGCACGAGAATGAAGGAGGTGATGTTGGAAGATCTTCACAAAAACATCAAAGAAGAGTACATGAGTGCCGCAGGCCTATCTATGCTGTTCGATCGTTCTGGTGGTCATCTCACTGAAAAAATGGCCGAAGTCCTAGCCAAGGAGGAACCAACGAGGGCCCATGCTCAGGTATTGATAGCTGAGATCCGTGACATGTGGGATGAATGGGATTTGAGGGACGGCCAGCGAGATGACAAGCTGGAATTTGATGCGTTTTACAATGGCTTCTTGGCACCATACTTTGGTTGCTACAGGTGCGACGAGACGAAGCAAGCCTTGAAAGCTATGGATATGGATGAAGATGGAACCGTGGATTGGAATGAATTTGCCGTGTACTTGAAGTGGGCCATGCGACAATATCCTGAGACCAAGACCTCTGAAGAGCTCCTTTCTGTTGCCTTCCGCAAGGGGCTCATTCCGGCCATGCAAGACGAAGTGATCAGGAAGCAGGAATGCGAGCCCATGGAAGCATAATGAACTTTTTCTTAACTTAAGCACACATACAAGGGGATGATAACCGATAATCTTTCACACGTAGCGTGGGTGATTTTCCCTTATAACGTGGGCTTGGTAGCCCGTATGAATAGACAAACATTAGTTCTTTTTGTTTATGCCGGACACTTTCTTGCTCATTGTCAAAGTCGATTTTGTGGCTTTTTGTAGCTTATGGGGCGTGGCGTTTAAGGTTTTTCTTAATCATGGATGCCGCACTTCAATGGTGTAATTTCTTTATCTCGGTATGATTATCAGCGACGATAACCTGTTCACGGTTATGAACGAGATGAGCATTTAGAATTAAAGATGTGTGAGTTGAAAGGAAAGTGTTGCTTTAAATGACTCCGTGTTTTAAGTTCTATTCAAAATATGCCATGAACTAGCCGTACTCTCCACTTGCGCTGTTGCTCGTCTCTCTCCTCCTTCCAATTTTCTCGTCGCCAATTTGTATACGATAAATGTGAAACCTAAATTGAGACGGGCAGAGGAGACAACATTTGCCCCCAAAAGAAATGTCTGAAAATAGAGGTTACGATTGGTATACTTCTTAAAAAATCAGCTTTAATTCCAAGGGTTGTCCTCGGCTTTTCCTGGAAATGTGCTCTATCCTTGACCATTCTTGTTTCCTTTAGGTGAAGAGCGTATTTCATTTGTGTGTCATGACACCAAACCACAGTTATCCCAGAGGACAATTAATACAAAGCTGCAAAGAAAAATATCTCGAAGAGTCAATGAGAACTCAAACCTGCTTGAAGCAAAGGAAAACGCGAGTGACCAATTTTTGATTAGTTATAGATTAAATCAGTGTTATTACAGCTCAAGTGCTTTTCAATTGAGGTTCGTAAAACCAAACCAAAGTTATTTCAATAACCAATCACAGGAAAGGAAAATACTCTAAAGAAACTATGAGTACTCCAACGAAAACCAAGCAAACTACAGAAAGCGTGGGAAAACGCCAGGGACCGAGTCATGTTTTGTTTCTGTTTTACATCTGATTGGTTGAGAGAGAGGCGCGTTTTTTTTTTTTGAGTATTTAAAGCAATCAAAAGCAATTATTGACGTGAAAAGGAAACTGCACGTTAAAGTACTCTTCTTTTTTGTTGTTGCCTTCATAAGCTTTTACATCGTCATATCAAATGTGTGTCAGTGGTTTCGAGCACAGATCATCATTAAAAAAAAAAAGAAAAAAAAAAAAAAAAAAAAAGAACAACAACTGGGACTGTTGTTGATGATCTGTCTAGCGAAACTTATTGTAAACACCTTATCATTCCGCCCCCGTTTCATTCCAAATCACCGTGTCCGAAACCCGCACGATAATCGAGCTCCCTTTTTCTGGCTAGTTCTTCCTCATGGAAATTGTTTGATTGCAGCACTGATAAAACCTAGGTATCAAAGTGCTGACTAAATGTTTACTTCTTTACCTGTGGGTAATTACAATAATGGTTGTCATTTCTCTTTTGTAAGAATCAATAGAATGCCATGAATGTGAGAGTAATCGAGTTCATCAGCACGGGAGCCAATCAAATGGAAGAGAGCTCTACGTGTTGAACACAACGTCGCCTTGGATACATAATGAGTTCAGCTGAGGCATTCATGCGGTAATTACGTTTGAAATATAGATGAAATTTTCCTTGAAGGCCTCTAGAAAGTATAATTTATCGTTGTAGGATCTATACTACTTTCGCTTGATGTTGTTTTGGGAAGATTCGAAGCCCCGCGGGTTCGAATTTTAGAGGAAAATGTCCGAGGTTCCACAGGAAGAAGCTGCAAGATCAAGAGCTGCTTCACCTCCCAGTGGCGAAGTTGCCCCTCCGTTGATCTCAAATGCAAAAGGTAATCATTTGAAATAATACTGTCTTTCGTCGTAGAAGAAAAATAGCAAAAATAGCGTTATTTGATGTCTTTGTAGGCTTTATCCGCGTTCGTGCGCTTACTTCTCCCATGGAGAGCTCTTATTTCACTATCGAGTGTTCGATCGCCGAGACATTAATTTTACATCGACTGTATTTTTTGTTTGAGTGGTGCTTGTAAACACGCTCTATATTCGATGTGTCCCGGGACGATTAAGGGATTTTAAAGTTTTTTTTGCGTGTTCACAGATGAAGAAGCAAAGAAAGGCCCGAAACGCCGAGGTGCTCCCAGATCGGCGGGAAGAACGGCGGCAAATGCTGGCCCGGTGAGTGGAACAAATCTGCGACAATTGGTTTGATTGGAAATGAAATGATGAACTTACCCCAAATGGATCTGCGCCATTATAATCTAATTTTTCTGTTTAGAGATAACGTAATGTTATTTTACCTGTTTACATTGAAATTTCTTTGAAAGCTAACTGAGAGGGATCAACAAATAAACTTATGAACGCTGGAAGTTTGTTTTCGAACGGAATATGTTATTTCGAATCTCCAAATTATGTAACATTTAAAATCTGATGTCGTAGTTTTCTTTTATATTGCCGTTTGACATGAAAACCATTGTTTGTGTCATGCTGTACATGTTTTGGACCTTTGAACTGCTTCGCCAGTCTTAAACCTTCGGCATACGACGATATTTTCCCGCATCTAAAGTTTCGTTAAGTGTACTTTGTCACCTGTTAATTTATTATTCGTCTACAACTTATTTAATTGTCTCTACTGTTGATCAATATTATTTAACTGGGTTTTTAAGCAGAAGAAAACAGTCACACTGGTTACAGGGTCCGAAGCTATGAAGGAAAGACAAAAGCAGGCCAAAGCCCTCAAGGAGCATCGAAAAATGACGGTACAAATATAATCTGTTTTGTAATCGATCTTCGATAAACAAGCAGTTTGTTCTTTGTCTCCCAGACGATTAAAGGGAATGTTGCCTGAAGGGATAGCTAGTCAGCCCAGGAAGCCCGGCTGGGGGGGGGATAAAATTCTTCTTTTAGTAAGTGTTGGTAAATCATTGATTATCCTTTCGTTGTTTATTTATTAAAGATATACTCAAAGAAAAAGATTTTTTATTTCTAGATGTGATAGACATGAAATTTATCCTTACAGTTTCAATACATCATCCATGAAACATATAATGAAATAGAGAAATTCATCTACCTGGTGTCATCTTGATTTTGTACCAAATCCGCCTAATTATAGAGTTGTAATCAACCTGTGAATGTGCAGCCAGTAACAGAAAGAATTAATAAACAGATTCTGGGAGCTGAAGAGTTGATTTCAGTGGACAAGGGCATTGCACAGTCACTTTTAGTGCAACAGAGCATTAGTTGTGTCACTCTTATCATGTCCTGTAATTTATTTTTGGGAGTCTCATTTAACAGTTTAATTAGTTACACCCAGTAGGACTTATTTTGGCAGTGATAACTCACTTAATATTAATCATTATTTTTCTTTTAGATGGATTCTAGGCACAACTTTATACTATCCAAGGTAATTATGCACAACTAAGAACCCTGATAACTTGAGCTCCTAAGGGAAACAAAGAACGGTTTGAGTAAGCTGATAGTAAGTGGCTGAAAAAATGGGTTAAGGAATGTCAGATCTTTTTCAAGTTATCAGGGAGTTCAAGTTAAACGAGTTTGAATCTACAGGGTTCCACTGTAACTGATTTCTTTACAATTGTAGAATAGATAGAATGAAGAATATAAATTAACATTTGGGTGTATGTTAGGCAGTTGATATTAAAGAATCTCTGCCTACTACGGAAAGCCCTCTGCCTAAATTTTGATTGCCTACCAGCAAACAATATTTTAATGCAAATGTGGAGTTGTTATGCAGCATATTCTTCTCTATGTTCCGTTCTCCTGCTAGTCTACATTTCTCAATTAGAAACCTCAATAGGCTGTATGTGTAAATGAGAAAGTAGAAAACTAGAAGCAAAATGGCGATATCACTTTTTGTGTGCCAGTTGTTAAAAAAAACTACTGCCTCAGAGTCTGCTTATTATGTGATTCACTATTTAGATCAGTGACTACATTGGGGTAGATGGTGCTGTTGTTGAGGATTTCATCTTGGGAGATGATAAGGTTAGTTTTCAATGGAATGCAAGGCAGTAAGAGGAATAGTTTTCAGTGGAGTACAAGGCAGAAAAAAATAGTTTCAGTGTCCAGAGTGCAAGGCAGAAAAAAGATAGTTTTCAGTGCAGTGCAAGGAAAAAAAAGAAAGCTGTCTGTAAATTTGGTTACAACTGTGGCAGAATTTCTGTCTTGTTCTGGAAATCATCATCATCATCATTGTTGCTGTCATCTTCTCCATCATTTATTATGATGGCTATCATGTCTTATCAGATGCTTATCATGTTCTTATCAGATGCCAGGTAGATCAAAATGTGGTCCTTCTGAAAGTGTACCTTTATTTTGACATAGTAATTTTACCTTGCTTGCCAGGTACTTTTCTTTAGCTCAAACTTTTTTTAAAGATTTAGTCTTGATTCGTTTATTCAGTTTGACCTTGCTGACTCATTATATACTAATAATTTCAATTTTCCTTCTCTCCTGTACTACAGTTTAACCAAATTGAAGACTTCTTTGCTGCAGATGGATCAAGAAAACTTATGTTTTTCTATCAAGAATGCACTGTAAGTAATTTAAAATGTGGCAGGGAAGGGCAGTATCACTTTCACGTTTTAAATGTAGAGAGGGATTGGTACAAAACTTGTGCTGCTTCATACAATTCTCAGCTGTAAAGTTAAACACCATTTTTATTTTAGGTATATAGCAATACTCACATTTCCTGTGTTTGAGTTTAGCTATGCATATATAGTTATGATTTTAAATCTCAGTTGCATTTTGCAATATTTTCCTTTATTCAGATTGGAGGTTGTGAACAGGTTGTTTTGATTGTTATTTGTGGGATGCTAATTAAGCATTCTACTGTATTTTGTATGGATATAAGAATACATAGCATGATATTAAGTTTCATTTAATTAATCATTAAAGATAATTTGTCTGGTGAATGGTTTCTGTGATGAAATTTTGTAGAAGAAGATGTTTTTGATATATCAATCATGGTAGCGGATATTAAGTGTTTCATTTACAAAAATTAATAATTAAAGCCAAAATAATTTGTCTACAACTGTACAAGATGAATGGTTTCATGATGGTCAACTTTTGTAGAAGAAGATGCTTTTTCAGTAGTCCATATCAATCACCTTTTCTGGGGTTCTATCAACATTGTGCCCTTGAGACATGTGGGAAAAAAAAATGTGAGCTCCACTTTTAGGCTTGGCTAAATCTGTATAGTGTGAGTAAGGGTGATGGGTAATAACAAGGACAAATTGTAGATATGTAAACAAAGACGAACAAAATCTGGCAGTTAACATTGTATGTGTAAAAGTACTCTCAAAGTTTTTATCTTGGATTCTGATATGGGGCACAAGAAAAAATTATTGTTATTAACATATACTTGTTACCCAACTTGTTAAATCCCCAGATAAACAGAGTTGATCTTAGTTCACAAGCAGCAAATTCTCCCAGGAAACTCTTCATTACAGGAGGGAATACAGAGGTAAATTTCATGGTGCAGAATAAATCAACAATTTTTTGTTAAATTTTTGTTTGAAAAAATAATGGAAGGATCAGAGTGGAAAGTGAAGAATTGGTTTGGTTTGATTTAATACCACAGTGATTACAGTGGCTGCATTCATTGTAAGTGATATTGTTTTGTCTTACAATCACTAAATTTTCTCCTAGGAACTCTGTGGCACCTGCCTTATGTTTATCCGTGCAACAAACAAGGCAATTACTATACAGAACATCGCTCAGGTACAGCTTTTGTTTGTTGGTAATAAGTTCAGTGGGGGAAAGATGAGTGAAATGGTGATTTAACAAAAAATTTTGTTTTTGAGAAAATTGTTGCTAAAAGGAAAGCCTTTGAGAGTTGTTTTAAATTACAAAGTTTTAGTATACCAACTCCTGGTAAATTTTGATTGGTCAATATGCAGTATGATACATCGATTAGTGAATGTCATTCATATTATTTTACAGTTTTACACATTGAAGTCTGTAAGCAATATTCGTAAGGGTGATTATCAGTGTCTATTATTAAATGACATTTTTATGTGGGCTGATTGGTGTGATGGGTAAAAGGTAGCCAGCAGAACAGATGTATTTCTGATGTATGGAGGCAAGCATGAGGCAAGCTCAAAGAGCAATTGAGATGAAAGGAGAGAATCTTGTGACTCTAGCCTCATGTTCCTCAAGCCCTTGTCTCCATTTTCCTGTAAAATGCCAAAAATTTCATGAGTTCTGTAGGCTAGGGAAAAGGGTATTTTTAATTATTCCTTTTCTAATGTGATGGGTTATGCTCTCCTAATAGAATAAGTGATTTATCAATTATCACTGTCTTGTTCATGAGTGATCTTGTGGTACGCCTAGGATGTAATTGTTACTCAGTTATGACCAGTTTGTTGAAAAAATTTTTTCTTGATGGTTTCTGGCAGGAGGTGAACTTCATGCCCATGGAGACTTCCAAAGGTGATGTTTTAGAGGGATTTCAGAAACTTCTTGGAAGTATCCTGGTTCCTGTTCTCCAGAAACAAGAGGTATTTTGAGTAATGTTTAGCTCACATGTTCACCTAGAGTGGGAAATATTTTTGTGCTATTTAATTGAACTTTTTTAATTACTTACTCATAGAATTGGGGTGAGCTTCCAAATAGCTGTGGGCAAGTGCAAGAATTTCTTGAGTCCCTTGAAAAGTTTGTTGGAATTTTGGGTGGAGCAAGAAGCAGTATGAAAGGAAGGTCAGTGTCAATTTGACATGCTTTTGTAGGAGAGTTTCTTAAATAAATATGTTTTGCTCAGACAAAGAGGCAAACACTCTCCAAACATCAGTGTTACAAACTCTTTACAGTGGAAATTTATGTTATCAACTCAGTTGATAAAACCAAATTATCTTGTGATACTCTCCTACTGATGGAGCACCACAGTTTCTTCAGAAACTGCCACATTTATTCCTATATTTTCCTATAATAGACATTTTTAGGTCTATTTTGAATTACGAAATTCTGAAAACAATGAACCATTGTTTGATCTTCATAGCTCAGTTGTGTATTCAGAACAACCAAAGGAAACTTTTAAACATATGAACATGGGTGATGAAGACAGATTTTCTCCTTACAATATTGATATAATATCAAGCAGGGAAGTAATGAGAAGAAAGAAAACATTTAAATTCAGGGATTATTGGTTCATCCAATACCAAATTTTCCAAACTTACATCAGAGACAGTTAAGAGAGAATTACTAAATAAATGAGATCTGGGAGTGAATCAAGAGCTAAGAGTTAAACATTCAAATTGAACTGATTCAATTTTGTTCTAACAGGGTTCATCTTGGGGACCATGATTTGGGACCACTTCTTGATGGACTAAGGACTCCTACAGATTATGTGCTTGCAGGTGAGGGTCAGAGTATTTTACAAGGCATGCCAGCTTTATTTGTGGTGCACAAGTGGAAGGTTTGGAGACCTGATGAAGTCAATGTGTTGTGTTCTTGGGCAGAGCACTTTACTCTCACAATGTCTGTCTCCACTCAGGTGTATTAAGGGGTTCCTGGGAATTGTTAAGGAAGCCTGATGAAATGCTAGGGGGTATTCTTGCAACTGACTGGTATCCCATCCAGGGAGGATTAGGAATACTCCTGGTCTCTTCCTAAGGAAACCGGGAAAAGCTTCAGCTGGGTGGGTCACTTGGCTTAATTACAGATTTTACCTTACCATTATCTGGTTTATGCACAATGATTTGATGAAGGGTTGAAAATGAATCAACACAAAAATCTAAGTACTGTAGTACTGTAGTACTGTAGTTTTATCAAACTTTCTATCGTTCAATCGTTTGATTGCTATTATTTTTCAGCCAACAATCCAGATGTTTTGGACAAACTTGAAGGTCTTGTTGCCTTGTGGTCCAAAGTCATTGAACAAGTTCTAGCTGAGAGTGAACAAGTAATGTGGTTCTTGTTTAAATGACTATAATTAATTTTGTCAATCCACATCACTGCATTATCACATCAAAAGTGAGTCAAGTATGGTCTTGAGGTGCAAGTATTCTTGCATAATTACAAAAACTTCTGGTGCTTGATTATTTTAGATGAGGAAAGAAGCTGATGATATTGGCCCCACAGCTGAACTTGAACACTGGAAAGAGAGAATGGCCAAGTTTAATGTGTAAGTTTACACACCATCACACATTAAAAAGAATATATCAGAAGTATTCTCTCACCATTTTCTCTGTGCTGGCCAATTTACATTTTATTAAATATTACCAACTCAGTCGATTAGACCAAATCATCTTAACAGAAGTACTGTTGGATTAAAGCCTTAAATTCTCAGATTTTGATTTTCCAAAAAACTGCACATTCAAGTCATATGTTAATCACCTGTTTGTTGGACTTGTTTTTGTTCTGCCATGCTTGAAAAGAAAACTTCAAAAATAAGTTCTTTTCAGAAATGCCATTCCTTTGGAATTAATTGAACCAGGAAAATGTTTTCCTTAAAACTAAAACAAAATTACCTATTCAAATTTAAATACTATAGACTTAAAATTCATCCTTCTCATTTTTTTTTATTTTTGTGTTTTTCAACTTTTACATGACCTCTCAATGTTTTTTTTTTCCAGCCTTCTTGATCAGGTGAAGAGTCATCACTGTAAGGCCACTGTAGGAGTTCTGCATGCAGCAAAGTCAAGAAGTTTGAAACACTGGAAAGAACTGGTATGATACTTGTTGTCATAGTTATGTAAAAGATATATTGAATTAAACTTGAACCATTTCACATCTATAAGTCTGCCTAATTGCTACTCAACAACTATTCACCCAAGTGAAGGTGGCTGGTGGTAGATTTTTACCAAGCCATGAAGTGGCAAGGTAAACATCCACTATTAGCCATGGACATTTAGGTGAATAGTTGCATTTCTTAAAAAGTGGGAAAGGTGAAGCAGGTAGAGAGGCATAGCACCTACAGCCACCCTTTGAAGAGGTTTTTTTAACAGTACAAATCAACCAATTGTCCGATATCATAATACATCTGTATACAATTTGCACATTATTTTTACTCTACATAGTGCAGTTGGAGAATAAATACTAATATTAATTGGTTATATTGAATCTGATTACACACTCTACTTTCATTACTAGTTCCCAGGCTTACAAATGAGCACTTCCATTTGGTTTACTTACCATTCAGTAAACTGAGTATTGGACTTCAAACTCAGATTAATTTAATATGTTCGCTTGTTTTCATTCTTATGTGAACTTGGACTACTTGTGTAAGAAGTAATTTAAGTTAGCTAAGAACTGTATAATTTTAGGAGCAACATTCTGGTGTTAGTAGTAAGTGGTTTAATTGTTTTCCCTTTCTAGGATAGCAAAATCACAGATGCTGCTAATGAGGCCAAAGACAATGTGAAATACTTGTACACTCTGGATAAATTTTTTGGACCTTTAATCAAGTGCTCTCCGGTAGGTTGTGGCTACGATCACTTGATAACAATTTTTTAATGATTACTAAATGTCTCACTCATTTTAACTGGTATGTTTGTGATTGAATTTTGCAGACAGAGATGGTAGAACACATTCCCAGCTTAATGAATGCCATCCGAATGATTCACAGTATCTCTCAGTGCTACAACACATCGGAAAGAATGACATCTCTCTTTGTCAAAGTCACAAATCAAATGATAACAACTTGCAAGGCTTATATCAACCGAGATGTCATGAAGATATGGGAACATCCAAGGTATGGAACACCCTAACCAGAGAATCAAGTTAATTTTACAATTGATGACTTTGTGGCATATTGTCAAAAATTAATGTCATAAAATTACAAAATATCATTCTGCTTTATTGCTCTGTTTCACCATGGAACTACTGTCTTCTTTTACTGCAATAGTCCATTTTACAGTTATGTGCTTGGTTGCCAAGCCTTTGAACAGGAATGAGGCTAAGGGTGACCTTGTTATGATACAAACCTTGCTGCTTTTCAAATGCAAATTACTTTGTTATCATGCTAACTAGATACTGGTCTCTATCACAACAAGGTCACCTTCAGCCTCACTCCAAATCAAAGGCTTGGCAACTAAGTACACAACTGTAAAATGGCTTATTGGCTAATTTTGTTGTTAGTAGTGACTCTGTTGACAGAAAAAACTGTCATAAATTTAGCAAAAGCACTAAACTACTTTTTATTCTATCATCAGGGAGGTTTTATCAGGAAGATTGAATGAGTGTATTAGACTCAATGAGGAGTATCAGAGGTGCTTTCACCGAACCAAACAAAAACTCAGAGAAAATCCCAGTGAAAGACAGTTTGAATTCAGGTAAACTGTTCAACTCACTGTTCCTACATGTTTTGCCTTTGTGGTTACATTTTAGAGAACTGTACTAACTTATCCTGAATATCACTGAGACTTGATTTGGACATGTCTGTTGTGTTGTGGACAAAAGAGACTGATAACCTACTGATAACCTCTCAATTTCTTCCTGCAGTGAGAATTATATTTTTGGAAAATTTGATGCATTTTGCAAGAGGCTGGAAAAGATCAATGACATGTTAAACACAATGGAGACTTTTGCAGGGGTCAATAACATCAAAATTGAGGTACAGTGCAAACAAGGTCACTCAAGCCTGAATAAATCTTTACCTTAAGCCTTCTCACTTCCACGATCATAACAAGGCTTGTTTTCCCAACAGATGATCATGCTTGATGTTTTACATACTGTAATTCTCATTACTTCTCATCTTTATAGTATTTGGAGACTGAGAGGAGAATGTACAGTTTGATCATTGTAAGGGTTAAGTACCAAAGGTTTGACTGGGTAAACTATTTCACATTGCTTGATTCTCAAACCTAATTTGTTGAGAAATATTCCTTAAAAATATTATATATATTTTTTGGCTAATCAGAGTTTAGAGAAACAATTTTGGGAAGAACTATCTTTAAAGCACTTTAGCCAAGTTTACCCCAAACCTCTATTTAGAGTCCATTTTAAATAGCCTTTTTTCAGTTTTTCCCAATGATTCTCCAATATAAACTGTGTTGAATTTTTTCAGGGCATGGAGACAATGATAGTTCGTTACAACTCTATTGTGACAAGTGTAAAGAAGAAAGGTTATGACTTGCTGGATCACAGAAAAGGAGAGGTGAGCATAGGTAGAACTAAGTAAAATGACATTTTGGCTTTGTTTACTGTCACAACGTCAGAGTGCTCTCAGTTACAGTTACCATCAATCTGTTATGTGCTGTTTTAAGAAGTTTTAAGTGGTTTTATTGCGGTTGTCTTTGATGTTCTTTCACCTATCCTCCTTGTGCCTTCCCTTGATCTAATCAGTGATGATGGGTGCCTGGAATGCAGGCTCATAGCTGGGTTGTAGGGATTAGGCAGGTAAGGGGTGGTACTCAGGCTAGTCACAGTGGAAGCTTCTAGATATCCAAGACAACCTGTCCCATTTAATTAAGAGAGGGAGCCATCAACAGCAATCTAACAGGCTTTCATATCAAGGGTAGTTTTGTTTTACTTCACGTAGCCTTGTGAATGTGCATGCATAACTTTCACAATTTATGAAGTTTTCATGTATCATTTTCTTGATCGCAGTTTGACATTGATTATGAAGAATTCAAACAAAGCATTGAAGGACTAAAACTGCAGTTGCAGATGTTCGTAGACTCCTGGTTTGACAAACCTCTATCTGTGAGTGTTACATCTTACCACCATATCTTGAATTCCATAATTTGCTTTTTAAAATTAACTTCTCTGTTGATACATTCTTTTGTATAATCTCCAAAAAATACTGTTAACCAATTTGTAGGCTTTCACAAGAGCTGATATCCATATAGGGATGATGTTATCTTGTTATACAACAATAAAATTGTGTGTAAGTTTACATACTCTTAGGTGTTACCCAACAGTAATTTCTCCTTGCAAAAAGCAACACACTAGATATCGAGCCAAAAATTGATTAAAAGAAAGAAAAACCAAGCATCATCAAGGTCACATTGCTTGATTTATCACCAAATTCTAAAAGCTAAATTTGACAGAAAACAGTGCAGAGAACAAAAAATGTTTGGGTCCAGGAATAAAGAGATTAAAAGGAACTGAATATCAGTAAAGTTAGTCACAGTAAGAGGGCTACCTAAATTCTTTGATATTATTTTTTTGTCACTTTTCAGACCCTTAGGGCTCTTGAACTTCTGCAAAAATTCCAAAATATTGGAGGAGTTCAGTTGGATCTTCATGACAAGTATCAGAGGATTTTGATCCAATATGGGAGGTAGGAATACCATAAGAAAGTAGGTTGAGTTGGTGTGGTGATTTCAAAATGATAGAATGGTACTCTTGGCATTGTAGGAAGTGAGAAAATTATGAATTGGAAATAGCTAGCTTGAAAAAGATTTTAGCTGCATGGCCTTGATTCAGCAAGTATCCTCTAAAATTTAAGTGAGGAGTTATCAAATGATGTGAGGGTGAATGGATGTTGATGGTAGATATAGGATGTGACCAAAGAGAACCAAATGTTAAATTAGGTAATAAGTGATTCTCAATATGGGAGAAGGTAAAGGTAGCTAGACGCCTTAGGGGGAGCCAAGTTGGCATTGCCATGCAATATTATAGAAGGCATGGAAAGCTGAAGGAAAGGTGATGACCAGTGCAGTGTTGTGGTGTGGATTCTCTCTCATGTTAGAACAACTTAATAAACCTGTCTAAGGGCCTCTGTAGAGTAGACTACCTCTCCAGAGAGTGACAACATGCAAGCTTGCCAATGATAGGAAGAGGCAAAGAACGATGTTACAAATTTCCATGGATCTTCACTTAAGTTAGAATTAATTTTGCAATCTTTTCTTTCATTAGGGACCTTGAGACATGCAAAAAGCTTTATCAAAAGCAGAAAAATGACCCACCTATTCTTCGTAATCTTCCACCAGTAAGGAACCGTCTTGATTATGAATTTATGCTGTGACTGTACTGTCAAAATAAGAAAACAAAAACAATGTGTTTTGCAATCTTTCATGCTGGAGAGTTGAGATTAACATGTCGTCCCATCTGGTTTTAGGTTGCAGGAAAAATAACCTGGGCCCGACAGCTTTTTAGAAGAATTCATGAACCAATGAAGGTGTTCAAGACATACCCAGAAATCTTAAAGGTAAGTTTGGTTTTTTTGCGGTAAATTTCATTTTATATTGCAGCTGTAGCTGTTGTGGAACCCCTGACATAACAGGTGCACTGTGATTAATAACAGTTATTGCACATGAAAATCATGTTCTGTCAGTTCATGTGTCATTTTAACCTATCATATTTTATTATTAGGGAGAAGATGCAAAAAGAATCATTCGCAATTACAACAAGAATGCGGCTGTGCTGGTAGAATTTGAGGTATGCGAACATAAAATTTGAAGAGGTCATGCAGTTTAATAGGACCTCAACCATTTTTTTTAAATCTAATTCAAAATTGTCTTTGTCTCTGTGTGGCGAAATGAATCAGCGTAAGGAGGTTTTTTTGTCAGCAGTGGTTAGTACATATTATTTAAACAAGTCTGATAATTTTTGTATACTTATTTAGTGAATTTAACATGGACAGTTGAGGGTAGAGGTTTCGTAGAACTGTTGTTTTGTGAGTTTTGTGTTATTTCAAATACTCACAATATGTCTCTTATTGTGCGTTTCTGCTGCAGTTGCTGTATCATCGTGGATGGTTCAAAGCAGTTGAAGCTGCTAAGAGTGGTTTAAATGCATCACTGCTTGTGCGACACCCAGAGACCAAGGTATACTTTTTTCTGTTTTGATTTATTGGCTCTGGTCATAAGATTAATTTTTGAACGAATTGTTTGTTTTATGTCCTCAGAAACTCTTCGTGAACTTTGATCCACAAATCCTTGAGTTGATTCAGGAGGCCAAATGTATGCGAAGGCTAAACCTCGAGGTAAATAAGAATATGGAAAGTATGATGGTTAATGATGACTATTTATTTTACAAAGCCACAGAGAGAACACATTTGTTGGAAATATTCTCGCAGATAGTAACAGCTTTTAGCACAATTGCTTAGGTAATTACAGAGATGTGTGCGCTCTTATTGGTCGAGGATTGAGTCATATCTCGTTGTAATCACCTCGCGCGAGGTAATTATAGCAGGAGCGCCAAATTTCAAAATAGCCGCCTTGCCCTTTTGTCAGTGTTACCGGGAAAGTTATCAACGCGATAAAGAAAATTCAATTCCGAAGAGCACAAAAGATGCTTTTTAGTTTGGAGTAACACTTTTCAAAAGATAGATATGAAGTTTTTGCTGATTGAATCAAATGAACGTATCAAATTCTAGTGGAAACTGGCTCTTTATCTTGATACGAGTTCTCAAAACAATTGAAACAGAATATTTTCATCATCAAAACGAATATTTACAACCGAATTCGAAAGCACCCAAGCAATTATACTAAAAGATTGTTAATTATTACTTCGAAAGATTTTTCAACCGTCCACAATGATTCGGTAGACCTGTCAATGAGTATCGTATATCTTACAATCTGTTTTACAGATACCCGAGGCTGCACAAGTTATGTGCATGAAAGAGGAACAATTCAAAACTTGCAACAACAGGTTTGTAACACAGTCCTTTGTCTATCAATTTTGCTGGTTAATTTCCACTCGGAACCTCTCGCTAGGAACTCTGATTACTTACGTCTTACCAAACATTGTAATTCGATGAAGTTTAGCTGAAGATAGGATCGGCCAGTACGATAGTTTATTATCAGTAATGAATGGAAATTTGAATCTTCATGTCTTAAACGTTCACTTAACATATCTCTTTTACAGGCTCCAAGAGGTTTTAAAGGAGTACGACTCAGTCGTCTCAGGGATCCCAGAAAATGTGTTGCCTCTGATGAAGCCATTCACCGACCGTGTTGACGAAACGATCAAACCTGGACTGACTATGTTGAACTGGACTTCTCTAAATGTTCATTCTTGTGAGTACAATTACTAAGTCATGTCCTGAAAATTGTTTAGGTTCTTGTTACATGCATTTAGATCTTAAGGATCTGTAAAGAGTACTAGTATTGAAGTAGGAAAAAATTTAGAAACGTGGTCTTAGAGACCTTTTAAAAGTTGGGGAAATAGGGGTAAAATCTTGAAAAAAGAGGGAGAAGTCTGGAATATTTGCTAAGTTGCGACAAAGGTTTAATTTCTGGTGAGGTTTTTGGTTAATAGCTGGATTTAATGCTATTATTGGTCTCGTTTAATCGATGTAAGTGAGGAATTTGTGATTGTGACATAAAATCCTCGCAGTTACTATTGTATTCAGCTCATGCAATTCGATTCATGTGGAAACTAGACGAACGTTGTTTTGAAAAGTAAGGAAAAAACATTTCAATTTAGACTGATATTTGCGTGAATCTAGCTTCTTGAACCTTAACGGAGTGGTCTTGAATCTGTACTTAGTAAAACATGCAAGTCCAAATGAGGTGTAATTATTTTAATGCTCTTTATAATGTCATCAAATCTGCAGATATCAACAGCATTCAAAAGTCCGTGAAGGGACTTGAAATTCTTACGAAAGGGGTGAGTGGTTTTTGAAAATATTGCTTTTTTTCTCAGTTGATTTATCAAGAAATTGGACTATTATGGCGTCATTACCGTTGTGTGATATATTCTTTTTGTGGTCCAGTATGCTCCATTTTAACAGCAAGAAAATGCCTATTGCATGTCAAAGTCAATAGTGCTGATTGCTGATATTGAGTGTTCTTGCATTTAAGGTGAAAGACATGCTTGACTGTCGAATAGAAGCAGTTTTGCAAGATATTGAGTTAACACGGCTGTGTGATCTGCCAGAAGATGAAGCTGTTACTGTGGAGGATTTTGTTGCTGTTACTGAGAAAACATGTCAAGAATCTGCCGAATCTTTGTCCAAGTGAGCTCTACTTGTGTGAATCAGAAATACTAATTTACTCACAATTTAGGCAGGGCTTCAAGTTCGAATATTTCATGGCGTGGTGACCAGAAATTGTATTCGGGTCGCAATTTTTTTTGTTATTTAAGAATACGACGAACCATTGAAAGTACTGTATGCACATGGTTATACCCTTCCAACCTTGCTTAGGTCGTCAAATTAGAAATTTTCGCGGTAAATGTAGTCGTCAAAACATTTTAATCTATACGCGTCATGACGACCGAAAAAAAAGCAGCTCGGAGCGCTGGACAAGATCTTAGGTCAGATCGTTCATGATGTTTGACATTCAGACTTAGCTATCGAAACTAATGGAGATTGGAATTGAACCAGGTCTCAATTTGGGATCCAGTACTGCAACTATGGCAGTTTTTTTTTTTACAGCATTCTTGTAACATTTAAGCTATGGGTGCAATTCTTTTTTTGTAACAAAGTTTGTTACGTTTACTCAGGTACAACCATCTTGTAGAATCATCAGTAAACATCCTTCTTCAAACTCTTAAAGACAACTTGAGGCCAAACGAATTAACAGGCCTTGATAAAGAAAACTACCCCTGTCTGTACCCAGAGTCAAAACAGGCCAAGAACAACAAAGGAAACAGGTGCTGGGAGTGCATGCCTTGCTGCTATTGGAGCTTGTTCATCTTTTTCAATCAAAGATGCATTGAAGCTTTGGTTAAATCAAAAAGACAGTCATTGGATGCCATCAAGAGGCGAATGCAAGCAGCCAGTAAACACAGCAAGGATTTGTCTGACTCAGATGCCAAGTCCCCGGCACTGTTTAAGGTGAGTCCTACACTTTTTCTCTTCTCCGTTCAATGTTTTCCCTTGCACCTTAACTATCATCCTGAAATCTTGATTCGTTCTGCCTCCCTGCCTTTCCCTGCTACGATGACCCTTCTGTCAATCTTCAGAGTCTGTATTTTGTTTTTCCATTTGCTTTTTCTTTGTTTCTCTGTTTGTTGCTTGCCTCCTTTCCTTTCGATATTGCTTCCTCCAACTTTACTAAGTTCCTCGCGACTTTTCTTTTTCTCTCCTTTTCTTCTTTGCGGAACAATTTGTTATCTGCCTTCTGCCTCGCCTTTGTTTCTTCACTTTCTTCTTTTCTACTGTTTTTTTTTTCTCATTATCTCTCTTGCTCATTCCACTTACTTATTTCGTCTCATCTTTCCATTTTCCTTCCACTTTCTACTCGTTCTCTTACTTTCTTCTTTCCTCAATTCAACCCTCTTCGCTGAAATGAGTTTGCCTTCTCTTTAATGCTTGCAATTTTTTTTACTAGGCTGACATTGTGTTGGAGATCCCTTCAATTGTAATGAAACCCAGCTTAGATGACATTCAGCAGGCTTTAAACAAAACTGTACAGATTATGCTGAAAACAACTCAGGTAACATAGCGAAGCGTCGAAGGCAACTGTATATTAAACCCTCACAGGACACAGATCTGAACGTGTGTCTAACAATCGTTGTAAATGAAAGTGACATTTGTAATTTTCATCTCCGTTTCCACTTTCTGTGGATAATAATCGCACTGTATATTTAGGCAGGTTATACATTCAGAAGTGCACTGAAATGTGAATATGAGTCTGTTGAGATGTTGGTAAGACTAATCTTTGTTTTGGTTATCTCATGAGTTATGATCACTGTACAAAGCATAACACTTTGTTAATTCTACTTTTAAAGAACGTCTATGAATGGGAACAACACGGAGTCATCCATCAGCCTCCCATCATTGTTGCTGAAGAAGGAAAAGTTCTTCCTCCTCTGGCACCCAAGTCTCTTTACAAGCTGGTGTCTGAACACAAAGACGTAACAAAGGTATGCAGCCACTTATTTGGTCCTTTTTTCGGTAACTACTTTTGTAACCTGCCATAATCTTGTTAACCTGTGGTAGTTTACCTCTTCCAATTCCACATGTGTTTAATTAAGCGTCATTATATTTGGACACTTTAGTCCAATCGTTCTGAGCGACAGCGCTTCCATCTAAGTTATATGGGGTTCGAGAAGGTTCGTAGCGGTACTGTTTTGTACTTTTTTGTGCCGGATTACTTTAGTCGTTCAAATAAAATTACTCTTAATGTAGAGTTAATCATTTTTTGACATACAGGAAAATAATGGTTGTTTTTTGATAGGTGGTCATTACTTTGAGTTCAGTTGTAAGCTCATTAAAAATGGATGCCACGAAGATTTTGGACGAGATGGACCAATTTAAAGAGCTGTGGAACCAGGTAATGTTCAGTAATAATTTCCAAAATTACAAGAAAAAAATATACAGTTGAAGCTGTTTAATTGTCATCGCAGAAAAAAGGACTCGAAACTCTTAAATGAATGAAAGATAGGGTCTCAGATAATTCTTAATTTTTCCCAGGCTTTGATAAGTTTGTGTCTTAGATCAGCTTTTTATCTTTCTCGACCGAATACAGTAGAATTGTTGCTTTAAATGGTCTTTATGGTTTTTATGGTCATTGTTGTTGTTTTCAGGATCCCAACACCAAAGTGAAAGAGTTCATGGAGTCCAAACCTTTGTTATCAGACTTTGATGCCCAGATCAAATATTATCAGCGTCTGGAGACTCAGATAGAAGAACTACCCGGAAGTTATCACATTGGTCCTGTTGAGTATCTTACAGACAGGATCAAAGAAGCTTTGGTCACAGAAACTAAAGCCTGGAAGCAAGCATTTGGAAAAGCACTGGCGGAGAAGGTAACGATCCCCTTTTCTTTCAGCGAAAAGTTTTTGATTGTAGAATCGAAGGTGACCACAAGCTCAGTAGTCAAATAGAGGACGCGCCTTAACTTGTGTTGTCGTGATGGAAAAATTGTTAGAGCCGTCAACATCGCAAGACGAATTTATGCGGACTTCTGCTACAGCTGTGCAGTGACTTTGGCTTATTAAGAGCGTAAGAAAGTTTTAAGAAGAATATATTTCCCTAGTATTTCGCTGAACTTGATTTCAGATCTCAGTTGAACTTGTCCTAGATTCCAAGAGTCATATCTGCTGAATAAGAAGTTCAAATTTTAATGAAAATTTTGACGCTATGGAACTTTTATTATAATCAATGATTGTGTCTGAGTACAAGCGATTCTTTTGTATCTCGCAGGCAAGTGCAGATATGGAAGAAATTTTCCTGTTCATTGACAACCTGAACAAGAGACTCGCTCGTGGTATTAAGGATCTTGATGACGTAAGAAGCAGCATGGCCGCTCTCAGTGAGATCAGAGAATCGGAGATAAGGTTTGTGCTAAATGTAACTTTGTATGTTTTCGCCTGCCATTTTTCGCCAATTTAAACTTGAATAAAATTTGGTCGCTCTAAAGAGAAGATCATCGTAAATGTATGTTGTTGGTCAATTATTTATCAGGGCGCAGAAAAAACTTAAATTTTGGAACGTAGCTTTTCTTTAATTTTAGCTGCAAATCATTGCTTCGTTTTCGAGAAATAGCTCCGATGTTGAAAAGTACAGCTCTCTGTCTTTGTTCTTGAGAGAATAGAAGAAAAAGGTATCTGATTCAACATACTTTTTTTGCGCGAACCCAAAGTCTTCTATTACCCGAAGAACTTCTTCAAGGCATGGTTGGTCTCAAGGCCCTCAAAGGTATGGTACATTATGGTTTTTGAAAAAGGCTTTTTCTTTCCGTAGGATCGACATGACAATTGGTCCAATCGAGGAATCATTTGCCATGATGAATCGATATGGGTTGGTATATTCTAGCAGTGATGCTGAAAGAGTTGACGGTCTTACTTACGCGTGGCGTAAATTACATGCACAGGTGAGTGTTACCAATTTAGAGGGTATTGCTTTTCCACCGTAAAGGATGCGTTGTGGCATGTAATTATTATTTGTTAAGACTTTGGATGTGACCATCTATTCAAGAGAACTAAATGTTATAGAATTTTTAGAGTTTTTAGAGCACAAACACCAGTGCTTCACATCTGATCTAACAGAAACGAGTACGGTCAAACTCAAGGTGGATTTCGTACACATTTCCTAAGAACTAACTTCTCTTTGTCACTTTTAATAGGCTGGTACTGTGGCCAGTCACCTGCTGCAGATCCAACCCACATTTAAGTCGGATCTCTTGGATGGTGTGGAAAAGTTTAAAGCGATGGTTACTACATTTGTTCTGGAATACAACGAAAAGTAAGTGAGACTGGCGGGTAACGGCTCTGTCATACCGTGAAATTTTGTCATCCCGGAGAGGTTTCTTAATAACTAGCAACCTTTGTAATTTTTCTTGAAAGGCAACATTTCCGCAGTCGCTCTGTGGAGTAAAATTCGCCTACTCTAACAAAAGCTTTGCTAGACAATTTTTCATGGAAGGTTTTGTTCAAGATTTGGCGTTATTTTTGAAAAAAACGTTTGGCGTTTCATTGAAAGCGTAAAATTTATATACTGTTGTATTTTAGAGGCCCCATGGTTTCTGGGATTCCACCAAGGGAAGCCAGCGATCGCCTGGGAATTTGCCAGGCTCGGTTTGATGAGCTTTGGAGAAAGTATGAAACATACTCGGGTAAGTTCATAATTTTTGGAACAGACTTCAAGTGAGATCTTGGGAATCAGCTTGATCTCGCCAGTAATGACTGATAGCCGTGTGATCTTTTTTTTTTCCGCTCAGTATGTCATGTACAATGTGATCGAACCGCGCTAAAGTAGAAAAATAGATTCCAAGTTGTCGTGCGTCTGAATTGTAACAGATCACAAATGACGTTTAAATGTGGTGAGGACAAAAAAGTGGCACACGAGGCGCAGTCGAGTGCGTCACTGATGTTCTATTCGTTTCATATGATAAAGTTGCAAATGTTGTTAAAGGTGACAGCATCTATGCGTCAGTCCTCCAATGGTTAAAACTAATCAAAATGCATTTATAATTCAGCTTTTGATCTTCAGTTACCTATCTACCGCGTCTCTATAGAATCGCCCAATGGAAACTTGTTAATAAAAATTTTAGGCAGGCGTAACAGTCAGGAGTGCTAAGACTAAGTTTTCCAAATGAGCAATTGCTGAAAAGATATATTCTTCTATCATGTTTCTGTTGTTGGTGTTTTTTCTTTCTTTTTTTAATTCCCGATTTTGATTTTATTACATTCAAGGTGGCGAGGAGCTGTTTGGTCTGACTGTCACCGAGTATCCGAACTTGCAGAGAATCCGAAAGGAACTGGGACTACTTCAGAAGCTTTACAGCTTGTACAACGCTGTCATCGAGAACGTGAACGGCTATTATGATATCCTGTGGCAAGAAATTGACATTGAAAAGATAAACAACGAACTGCTGGAATATCAGAACAGGTAAGCGGTTGAACTCATGGTTTTTCCAAGAAACTAATCGTGAATTAACACTTATCATGTTTGAACTCATCATTTGTGGCTTTTTAATACAGGATTCGTAAACTACCTAAAGCTCTCAAGGAGTGGCAAGCTTTCCTGGATCTGAAGAAGACCATTGACGATTTCAGCGAGTGTTGTCCTCTTCTCGAGATGATGGCGCACAAGGCTATGAAACAAAGACATTGGGAAAGAATTTCAACCATTACTGGTGTCACGCTTGACGTAGAATCAGAAACGTTCCAGTTGAGACAACTGATGAGCGCACCTCTGTTACCGAACAAAGAAGACATTGAGGTATGTGAGACATTAGTCCGACACTACATCACTGGCAATTGAACTTGATTTGAGAGAATTGGTTTGATTAGTGCGCAAATTATCTTGCGAACGATATTTATTCAGAAGCTGCTGCTTCAAAGGTAGGGAAAGTTAGGAAGAGAGACACCTTTTATTTCTCAATCAATTCTGCCCCAAACCTCTTTCGTGCTTTACAACAGAGTGGAGCGTTGTCGAGGCTTCCTCATCCATTAAAGTGTTTTCGAGCAAACTGAAACATAATTTTAAAAAATTTCGGCCGAGGTACTTTGTTCTCGTTGCTCCAAACTCAATCCAATGAAATCGTCTTCAATTTTGTGTTTAGGTGTCCCTCTAATGGTTGTTATAACTCCTTTACGGTTTTTTAGCTCTTTACTCACACAGAGCTATCAACATTGCTGATCCTAACTGTATGCAGGACCACTGTCATCCACGAGCCTCGTAAAGGCTCACCTTTCTATAGACTCTCTGTAGCTCAGTGGTAGGGCATTTGAGCGTATTTTCGAGGTTCCAACCCACACGGGGACTCGGGTATTTTTTGTTGTCCCGCATTCGTGATAAGGAGAAAAAAAGCCCCTCTCTCTTTTTATTTCCTACAGGATGTTTGCATTGCAGCCGTTAAAGAGCGTGACATTGACTTTAAGTTGAAGGGTGTGGTGTCTGAATGGAGCACACAGGTGTTTTCTTTCTCAAACTTCAAAAATCGTGGCGAGTTGCTTCTCAAAGGAGCCGAGACGTCTGACATTGTATCTTTAATGGAAGACAGTTTGATGATCCTTGGCTCTCTTCTGAGCAACAGGTAAGCTACTTTTGTTTTCACTTGAAGGACTGTCTAGGTCAGTAGAGCCATAGCAGCCATGGAGATTAGAGAACGACCCCCAACTACCCTTAGTAAACAGCAACGCACTCTTACGGCCCAGCGACACGAAATGAAGTTTCGCACGCGCTTCTCCATTTGTATTGCGCTAGTGTTTACTAACTGATGGCTTGGCAAAGGCTTGAAAAGGGTAAGGAAAAATAAAAAAAGAGAGTAGGAGTTAAGATGATATATAAATTACCATCATTCTTTATCTAATGACCGCACTGGAAATTCTCATTTTCCCACTTAGGAAAATAACAGCGGCGATTAAATTTTTCTTTAGTTGTTTGTCTGTTCTCTAAGTAATAATTATGCATCCCCATTCCAAAAGACGATCAAAAGAAAGGTCGAAAACTGAACCACCACCGGAATTTTTTTGGATGTTTTATTTTACCACGTACACATTTTTACAGCAGTAACATTTTCCTCCTTACAGGTATAATGCTCCGTTCAAAGCTGAAATCCAGAAGTGGGTGGCAAAACTAACGGGATCCACGGAGATTATCGAGAACTGGCTTGTGGTGCAGAACTTGTGGGTTTACTTAGAGGCAGTGTTTGTTGGTGGGGACATCGCTAAACAATTACCTCAGGTTTGTTTTGCTATCTATTCTGAGTTCCAGTATCCATTTGCCGTTGTACTGCACTCAGAGAGTCATAAACATGACGATGACCCTTTCACTGCCAGGATCTCATTAGTAATTCTCCTTACTGTCTGCCATACAACTCTTATGTCTTTACTTCGGAGAATTGGGTATTGGATCAACTAATAATCCCCCTAATGATATTTGTTTCTATATTGGATTAGCTAACAATCCCCTAATTGATCTTTTCTTCTATTCTCATCACTTGTCTGCTTGATATTGTACTGATATTGAAAGGAAGAATTCTGTCTTGATGACTCATGCAAGTTAAAGGGTTAAGCCAGACCTCAGTGAACGCCTTGGGTTGGAAGATCGCCCTTCTGTTTGTCTAACCTGCCACTCCTGTTAATTATTTCGATTGAAAATCAATCTTTGGGTTGTGGTTTTAAAGGTGGCCTTGTCCTTGTAGATCATAAAACAAGTTAACAATAACCGGCTAGGAATGATTTTAAAAAAAGATTATATAGTCAGTTTCATTCAGTTCAACAAAGGACCAAATGTTGAACAGTAGAGGTCTAACGATCGAAAATCTTTCCTTAACTCCTCAATATTGTCACTACTTCATGATTTATGTGCCGAGATAATCGCTCAAAGCTACCTCATTGCTCTGTTACGTCCCACCCACAGGAAGCGAAACGTTTCAGTCAGATTGATAAATCATGGGTGAAGATCATGAGCCGAGCACACGAGAACTCCAACGTAGTGCAATGCTGCATGGGCGATGACACTCTTGGACAACTGCTTCCTCACATTCTGGAACAGCTTGAGATTTGTCAGAAATCTCTGAGCGGGTAAGGAGAGAGAAAAAGGGTTATGGTTAGGGGGCTAGAGGGTTTATTATAATTTTGTTGCGAAAGGACTCTCTCTTTCTATTTGAAGAGGAGAATAAATGGCATTTTGCGTCAGTTTGACCAATCTCTGATATTAACTACCAAGGGACCCGTCCCGTCCTGTAAGTTACCCGTCCCGAAAAGCTGTTTTTAGTATGCGTTGTTAGCATTCAAAATCGAGATGTGAATAGTTTAAAATTTCAGAAATTGAGATATCTAGCAAAGAAACAGATTGGGTGTGTTCTTGAGCCTCTGTACTATTTCATATATTTAGAATTTGGCTTCCGCCCTACATTAAGTTACTGGGACTTTCGAGAAACGGGCCCAGGTTTCTTTATGAAGTGCGTGCAAATACAAAAACCTTCCTTGCACAACTACTGTCTGAAGATTTACAAAAGTTGTAAACAAACTAAGGGATAAGTTAGGGAATATCTCATTTAGTTGAACCAGAAGCCAGTGAAACAGTTCATCATAAAATTGAAGTAGATGAAAATGAATTAATCACCGCAAAAAATTTGGAAAATAGAATGTTCCGCCGGAGAATGTGGCTTTGTGAAAATCTCCCATTAGGATAAGCCGTGTATCAGTGAGATACTTGGGTAGCACATCCTTGGGATTCGCTGTATATCACGATCCTTCCTGGTACCTTTAGGACAAAATGTTGATATTAAAGGCATTTCATTTTTGATAACGCATAGCTACCTTGAAAAGAAACGACTTGTTTTCCCACGTTTCTTCTTCGTGTCTGACCCCGCCCTGTTGGAAATCTTGGGACAGGCCAGCGACTCTCATACCATCCAGGCTCATCTACTGGGAGTGTTCGACAACGTGAAAACTGTCACGTTCCACGAAAAGGAATATGACAAAATTCTGGCCATCAACTCGCGCGAAGGGGAGTCTGTTACTTTGGAGAACCCAGTCATGGCTCAGGTATGTAACTGTAAATTTTCATCCCGGAATTTAAGCAAAAAAGTGATTAAAGAGATCTTTTTGCGCGCTTATTGGTAACTTTTCTTTGAGTCGTTCGGTGTTAAAATGATATCGATGTCAAGGTAATAGTGGCGGGTTCGAGAGATGTAAAAGACTATGCCGAACTCTTTGCGTCGTAGCTTAGTTAGTTGAAGCGCCTTACTAATATCTGGGAGGCACGGACACGAATCCCGTCGAAGCCTTAATTTTTTCAAGCTTTTTTCCTGCTATTGCTAAAATTGCGATCCATCAGCGAGGATAATTTCTTTTGTCTCTCTGTCCGCAGTTCCAGTGAAGTTTATATTATCAGAAGTTGTTAAAACAAAATCGTTGTAAATATTTCTTTAATGAAAACTGCATCCTTCGGGAGAAACCTTTGCCTATGCTGCGCGCTGCAGGACACGTGGGCCATGCTAAGACTGAAAAGGAGATGAAAGGCATCTGTTTTATGCGTCTCTACATTTTCACAGGATTAAGCTCCTTGTCTTTTAATGTAGAGTTTATTATTATGTATATATCTCTTTAATTGTAGGGTAACGTGGAAGTGTGGCTAAACACACTGTTGAAAGAATCAGGGACTTCATTGCATTCAGTTATTCGAACTGCTTCAATCGCTATCAGGGATCCTAGTTTTAAGCTCAAAGATTTCTTGGATACTTACCCGGCACAGGTGTGGTACATTTTTCAGGGATATTAGTATCGGTAATAACATGATTTTGAGTGCAAGTTGGTGTTAATAAGCACGAGTAAAATACAATTTGTAGTCTTTGAAAAATTTACAAGTGCTTATTACACCAAATGATGAGAGTAATCATGTTAATACTTAATAATAATTTGTATGAAAAACATCACAGAAAGGCAAGACAGACGAAATTTTGAAACGTGCGTGCGCTATCCGTAATTTGCACTCGTGTAACAACTTTGCAATCGTGTTACATGAGAATGCACTCGTTTTCAGCTAATCAGAAGCGCGTATTTTTTCCACGTACATTATTAAGAGACATAAAGTAAAGTTACTTTGTATTCAGTGAAAAATTGATGAGAAACAGAAACGTTCTATACTGACACACGAACAACTCACTTTAGCGTTACAACGATCCTAATCATCTATCAATTTGTTTCGTTGTGGTTTCAATTTTAGTGACGCTTGTAGTTGGCAGACATGTTTTGTCCCCTGTTCGTTATGGTGTGACTGTCTTGATTCATTCTTTTTAACGGTTGGATCGACATAGTAATTGTCAAATTCTTGACTATAGTGTTTTTATCTGTTTATTGTTTATTAAATTTGGCGCAGCGAGCGATGGCTCAGGGTTTCGCTGCGAATCATTTAGTGCTGATTGTAATTATTATACGATTGTTTAGGTCGGTTTGCTTGGAATCCAGATGATTTGGACCAGAGATGCTGAAGACTCTTTGACTTATGCTAAGTCCAACAAAAAGGTGAGAACTATGCAGTGTATGGGCGTCATGTACTAAATTGAGCACTGATGTTGTTATTTTTCACGGCATCTCGGTCATCGCAGTGTTGCAACGACCAAAAATTATTTTTATAAGTAATTTTTCTATTAAGGGTATCAAACTTTTACCCATTTGAAAAGTCTAAGCACATCATTTTATTAAAAAAACCACAACGTAAAAGTTTTTATTTCCCAGATACGCGAGAATTATCAGTTACACAAGCGGATTATTGATTTTTTTAAAAAATATATCTTCATAGGGCATTCCCTTAACAACGCCTTTTGTGTAGTTTTATAAAAGTAAATCCAGTTACTTGTGTCATGTATCAGCCGCTGTGTTTTTTTCGTAGATCATGGATGAAAGAAACCAGTTTTTCCTGAACATGTTGAACGAGTTGATCGAGGTAACCACGCAGGAACTGACCAAAGTGGAACGTGTCAAGTTTGAAACTCTCGTCACCATTCATGTACATCAAAGGGACATTTTTGATGAATTGGTAAGTATGAATTCATTAGTTGATTTTTATAAATTGATTTGTAAGGATATAATTAATATCCAGATTAAAACGCAGCTGTAGAATATGGGAAACGTTTCGATTGAAAAAAGTTACAAACTATCATTAACGTGGTGAACAAGACCGAAAAAGGTAATTTCCTCAATTCTTTGAAACTTATTAAATTAGAAAAAAAAAGGAAAATTGAAAGAAAATCTTATACCCCCAAAAAAGTCGTCAAATGGTTCGCCACGTTATTAGCTTGTGAGTTTACGAGTGGAGTCAACCATATATGGATTAGTGTCCTTCGACGGTTTTTTGTTGGATGGTCAAGTCACACAGTGTGTTTTGTAGCTCAACCCGTTTCTCTCTGAGATAGCGTGCTGTGTAGTAAAACCGAACAACAGCTGCGAAGAAGTCTTTATCAAGATGTATATGATTTATTTCCATTCCATCAATTTGTCACTAGTGCCGCAAGAATATCAAGGTACCGACAGATTTTGAATGGCTGAAACAGTCACGCTTCTACTTCCGTGAGGAGACTGATGAGTGTGTGGTGTCTATTACTGATGTGGATTTTGTTTATCAAAATGAATTCTTGGGATGTACCGACAGGCTTGTCATTACGCCTTTGACTGACAGGTAAGTATATATATGTTTTTTTTTTCAAAGAATCTTTGCACCGTTTTCCATCGCTGTCTCTTTTTTTTTTTTTCGCTCTGACAAATTATTGATCGCTCACGAGATTTGAAAAAATAATGTTTGCAAGAAACTAAAGCACTGGTTTATCGATGTCGGGCCTGTGGTGTGATGGTCAGCGGATAGACTCCAAATCGCGGGAAGGTGCGAGCTGTGGGTATGGTTATCTTCGGGTCAAGTAGTCTTGCTCTTCGTGGGAAAGCGGTGGCCAAGCGCTTTAATCAATTACAAAAGAGAATTTCTTGACGATCTTTCCAGTTACTCGTAAACAAATAATGACCTTTACCGAGCTCAAAACTTACCATCTCTCTCAATCTATTTGCAAAAATAACCTTGGTTGTTCAGCAAAGTGTTGTATGTCGTTCGCGAACGTTTTTTTGTCTCTACCTTAGGTGTTATATCACTCTGGCCCAGGCCCTCGGAATGTCAATGGGTGGTGCCCCTGCAGGGCCGGCGGGTACTGGAAAGACAGAGACAACCAAGGTGAGACCTAAAAGAGGATATTGTTTTTTCATTGGCTCATGAAGAAAGTTTAAAAGTTAGTAATTAGGAATGTCAGCGTCATTGAACAATTGTACCTGATATTTGTTCTAGGACATGGGCAAAGCTTTGGGTAAATTTGTAGTCGTTTTCAACTGCTCGGATCAGATGGACTACCGTGGTCTGGGTCGAATCTACAAAGGTACGTTTATTCTTGTCTGTTGCTCAGTTTAAGAATGACGTTTGAGGTGAACAGCAAATAGCGAAAATGAATTCTGATTTCGTTCACTTTTACTCTAATGTTTAAATCTATCCGGTAGAAAAAATTAGAGTTTTTTATTTGCTCATGTAATGGAAATATTCAACTTACGGGTGAGATATACTGCAAGAATTAACGCAATAAGTTCAATTTTGGTTTTGCCGTTTGCAATCATACTTATCCTCTTGATATTGTTTTTTTGGATCGATATCAGTATCTGGGCAACTGCCCACCTACCCCTCCCCTAACTCAACAAGAGTCAATTGATAACAAGTTAGGGTTAATGTTGAGTTAGGGGAGAGGTAGGTGGGCAGTTGCCTAGATACTGATATTGATCCGTTTTTTTTTTTATTTATTCTCACAGTGACGTTTCATGCACCTCGAAAAATGTAGGCTAAATTTTCAAGTTTGTTATTTATATAATCGGCATTATTTATCGAGACTGGCCTAGTTCAGCTTCATGCTGGTTTAGGGCCATTTAGGGCGCAAGTTGACGTGATTTGGGTTAAATAACTGATGTTTTTCTTCATTCTATCAGGTTTGGCGCAGTCTGGAAGCTGGGGCTGTTTCGACGAGTTCAATCGCATCGAGCTACCTGTACTGTCCGTGGCCGCTCAACAAATTCACGTTGTGCTCACGTGCAAGAAAGAGAGGAAGAAGATGTTTATTTTCACGGATGGCGATGAAGTTGATATGGATCCAGAGTTCGGTATCTTTTTGACCATGGTAAGTGTGAGGACAGTATACAACCATATCGAGTAAAAATGTTTGGGATATTTCCATAAAATGATGAAAAAATTAAAATTTGTCATTGATCCAAATTATCGTTCATTCTTTAGTGTTCCTTCTCCTAAACTTTCCCCGCCCCCTTTCCTAGAAATAATATGTGAGCACGCTAGCTACTGATTGCCCATAGATGAGAGCAAGATTTTGATTGGGATATGGTTTGGAGGGAAACATGATGAAACATGATAGAATTTGTACTGAAGATATCCTCTCAAATGTATCGTGTAGCGTTTTTCTTGCTTAATTTATGGGTCATGCTAGGAATATCTCTTGGTCAAATATCATATTTTGGTTTGGCAGCTAGCAACGTTTATGACCAAAACTGCAGGTCATTTGTTTTTCTGGCACAGCAGATAATAGTAATTTTCTAACTGTTTGAATAGAACCCAGGCTATGCCGGGCGCCAAGAGCTGCCAGAAAATTTGAAGATCATGTTCCGCACAGTAGCGATGATGGTACCTGACAGACAGATCATTATCCGTGTCAAGCTTGCTGCCAGTGGTTTTATCAGAAATATCAACTTATCCCAGAAATTCTTCACTTTGTATAAACTGTGCGAGGAACAGCTCACCAAACAGGTTTGTCTGATGTTTCTTTTTTACTGTTTCAATGGAGTTTTGCATTGTTTGGCTAACAGGCTGGTGATATCTACCAACACAAAAGGAGTGTAAGACTTTTCGTTACTAAGATCGCAGTTATTGAACAAAATCATCTGTTAACTTTCTATTTAACTTTTAACTTGCGTGGACTTAAAATGTACAGGTACTTCGAGCAAGATACACTTTGAGAAATATTTTAAACATAACTTGTCACTTCTGAATTTGTTGCTCTTAACCTCAGGTGCATTACGATTTTGGTCTTCGGAACATTTTGTCTGTGCTCAGGACTCTTGGAGCGGTGAAAAGAGCCAATCCTGAGGTAACGTGCTTTTCACTTCTATTTCTTTTGTCATCATTCAATTGGTCGATTCTCAAGAATATGCATGCTTCGATATTTACTTAGGTTGGTTATCCTGTGTACCTAGCAAAAGCTTGGACAAGTGCGTGGATCCCTAGGGCGCGTTTCTTGCGTGAGTGTTTTAGAGGAGCAGGTTGGGCGTGGACCCTCGCGAGGAAAAATGCTTTCTTGCGCGTGTCATACTCGCACCATGGTCAAACTTAATGACTTTTGTCGTCGGCTGCGAATTTGCCTATCGCATTAGTTTTATTAACTCGCCTTTTTTCCTCTACTACTACTGTCATTGAGTATCACCCTCGAATAAGGCCTCTTTGTATTAAACTCTCCTTGATAGCAGCTCTTTAAACTTTGGTCTGTCTTGACCTCATATTCTGCAATTAAAATCCATTAGTTTTTTGTTTCTCTTCTTCTTACGAAAGCAATTTATACTGATAGTGCTGTTTTCCTCCGTTAACAGGATAGTGAAGATCGTATTGTGATGCGAGTGTTGCGTGACATGAACTTGAGCAAGCTGGTCGACGAAGATGAACCACTGTTCATGAGTTTGATTGACGACTTGTTCCCAGGCCTTACTCTAGACAAAGCGGGATACCCGGATATTGAACAAGCCATTGCTGACGCTGTCGAGGAAGTTAAACTTGTCAATCACGCACCATGGACACTCAAACTGATTCAGGTTTTACATTTTTTCTATAATGATACTTCAGTAAACAATTTTTCATGTGATCAAAGTAGCGGAAACATGGAGAATTACTGACCTGAATTGCAAACAACGTAATAAAAACTTTATATTGAATTTTTGAAATCCACCAACGATTTCGTGGTTCATTTAAAGTGGAGGATTTATAGGTGCTGAAACAATTTTTACTTGGAAATACCCTCGGAGTTGGCTTAACACAGCACCATATGATACTTTTTCTTAGTAGTACTTAACAATGTTACGTGGAGTTAACTGTGTCCTTCTGCTCACCAGCTTTATGAAACTCAGCGCGTCCGTCATGGTATGATGGCCCTGGGTCCCAGTGGTGCTGGAAAGACCAAATGTATAAACATTCTGATGAAAGCCATGACACAGTGTGGTGCACCGCACAAAGAGTACCGCATGAATCCTAAGGTAACAAGACAGCTACGTTCTGCTCACTGATTTATCATGTTCACTAAAAATTTTTTTAGACATTCGTTACTGGCGAGTGTCACTGAGGAGGATTGTGAGAAACAGGATCCTTGCCCTGCCTGGTTAACGGTCGAGCTCTCACAGTCTGACGATTTACCTGGTTCGTGTGCGTCACAGGACCTGGGTTTTGCTGAATGAACATAGAGGTTCATGCATTTCTTTTAACACTAAGAGGACCAAGAAGCTGTTGTTGGCAAGAATGTTTGAGTACTATTGTTGACATCGGAGAAATTTGACGTTTCGTCAAATGTAGCGCTTACGGTCATGTGTAACGTTTATTTTTCTCATCAGGCAATCACTGCTCCTCAAATGTTTGGTCGACTGGATGTCTCCACCAATGATTGGACCGACGGAATCTTTTCCACGCTTTGGAGACGAACCCTAAGGGCAAAGAAAGTAAGTATTTATGCAAAAAGTGGAGTTTTTTGTCTAGCATGATCTGGAGTGATTAAAACCTCAGACTTTTCTCTTAAACTGTAAAGCGCTGTTGAATGCTGTACAAAATGCCACACAGGAAATCATGCTTCGAACGTCTGTTACACTATTTGATTCCTCATCCCGGACTTCAGTTTACTCACTTGTCGTCTTGTCAACTTGGGTTTTCAAACCATATATAAACTGCAAACAAAAGCTACCCTAAGCGTGCCGTTGGAACATCTGTTCGCTAAACCTACCGAAATGGCAATCTTTCCTAAGATGATGTTGCAAACCATCGATAGTCTAATTAACTTGAGTTTTTTTTTTTCTACTTTTTAAAGATATGTTTACCTCCACGATAAAAAAAGGAAATACTATTTAGAGGAGAACGTAATGTTTCCTTTTAACGTTCAAATATCACTGTGCCTTTTTTTTTTTGCTAGGGAGAGCATATATGGATTGTTTTAGACGGTCCTGTGGACGCTATCTGGATTGAAAATCTGAACAGTGTGTTGGATGACAACAAAACACTAACCCTGGCTAATGGTGATCGAATTCCAATGGCGCCAAACTGCAAGGTTGTGTTTGAACCCCATAACATTGACAACGCTTCACCTGCCACGGTTTCAAGGTAAAACAACAATCCGCTTTCGGGAAATTTACTGTAATGAGAAGTTAGTAGCTTTTGTGACATTTTTTATTCGAGCGCTTTTCGACTGAGTGTCGCAAAAACAAAACCAAAGCAATCAAAACGGCCAATCAGAATAAAAGAAATATCACAAGCAACCGCCAAGGGCTTCAAATGAAGAGGAGAAACTTCCTGAAGTGAGGGAAAATGCTCGGGACTAAGTTGCGATTTGTCTTAATTTTCATCTGATTTTCCCCGGGAGGAGGCGTGAATTTCCACGCTAATTACAGAGCGTAGAAGAGCGCTTTTCGATCGAGTGCCGTAAAACCAAACCCAAAATCATCACAACGGCCATCAGAAGTAAGGAAATTACCTTTTAGAGCCCATGAGAATTCAGAATAAAAACAACCAAACTGCCCAAAGCGTAGGAAGTTAAATGCAAGCGATAAAGTCGTGATTGGTTCTAGGCTTGCCACTTGTTGAGTGAGAGAGTGGTGCGAGTTTTCTGGACCAATCACAGATCGAAGTTAAGCAAAACCAATACCGTGCCGGATTATTTTCAACACTCTACTGAAAATTACTCTAAAACAAACCCCCATGTAATCGCGAATTACTTTCGACGCTCAGTTTGAGATTGCTTTGTAATTGCATTACGTTATCAACAATTCCATCATTCTTACATTCTCTTGTACAGAAATGGTATGGTTTATATGAGTTCATCTGCGCTGGATTGGAGACCTATTTTACAGGTTAGCTGTGTAGTTTAATCTCTTTTAACACTACGTTTTGACTTTATTTATTTATCATAAGACGTTTTTAGTGATTCGGAACTCTTCTAAGTTGATCGTAACTCTGATTTTTCATTACTAGGGATGGTTAAACACACGTCCTCAACTCGAGGCTGATGTCCTCTTCTCTCTGTTTGAGAGTGTGTTCGATGAACTGAGGACATTTGTTATTCAGAATTGTGTGCCAAAGATGGAGGTAAGTAACACTTCAGTTTCTGTGCGTAAAGCGCTTGATTTACAGTGTTTAAAATTACGGGTAGACCTTTTTGCTTCGCAAGGTTCGATCACATTCACCACTTTGCCTCATCGTGGGGTGGGAAAAGAAATTTGCCCAAGCAAATGGCTAGTATAACCTCAGCCAAAGTAAGTCATCTATTCCCTCTCGTCTATTTATTTATTAATTTTTTATACAGGTACTTGAGTGTAACAACATCGTTCAAGCCATGAACATTCTTGAAGGTTTGATTCCGGGCGAGGATGCCCCAAAACAAGTCGATGCGAGCCATTTGGAAAAATTGTTTGTGTTTTCTCTCATGTGGAGTGTCGGAGCTCTGCTTGAGCTTGAAGATCGTAAGAAGGTAACGGAGTGCAACGAGTTTAAATGATTTAGCATAACACTTTCCCCTATTTATAATTTTCGAAAGATATATCTTCTTGACAAATGTTTCAATACTGCAGAATTATAGCATTGTCGTTCCCGACGTTGTAAGCTACTGAATGTTTGCATTCCTCGAATTCTTAGCATTCTACAATTGGTATTCCGCATTAAGGTCAGCTTCAAATAACTGAGATCCTAATCAGCTTTAAAAGGAACGAAGTTTTAAGAATGCGGTTCGCTATACACTAGAAAAGATACGAGAGAGGAACGAGTGTGGCTACATTTTGAGATGTTTAAATACAGATGGAAAACCAAAACACTGTATGCCTTGGGGTTCAAAGGTTTTTCTTCTATGCAAGTGCTAATTTCTGCGAAAAAGGTTTTCAGTTCTTGAGCTCATCAGCTTCTTGTGTCAGCTAATTAGTTTCTCTGGTGTCATTCACACTGAAGGACATAATTGAGATTTGATGTTTATAGTTCTCTATTTCTTTCCGTAGATGGAAGGATTTTTGAGTGGAAAAGGTGGCCTCAATTTACCTCCAGTTGAAGGACAAGACACAATTTTTGAATATCTGGTGAACGAGCAAGGAGAATGGGAACATTGGTCACAAAGGGTCAGTTTTTTCAACCACATATCACGAATCCTAACATTTTCCTGTTGTGTCATTGGCGTCAACAGGTCACGTGACACACAAAGCTTAAACATGTTTAAAATCTGTTTTGATAAGCAGATTTAATAAGACTAGCCGTTCACACTGCGGGCGCGTTTAATCAAAACACGTCTAAAACCGTGTTTAACAAAACTACCTCGCGAGGTACTTTAACAATCGTGTTTTAACTTTTTTTAAATGGCGGAAGAAACTAAAACGCGCGGAAGAGTTTGGGTGCACAAAGAAACCCTCCTGTTACTTGAAAAGTAGGGAGACGAGAATATCCAGCTCCAGCTAAAATCATTCATAAGAAAAAAGCCTATATGGCTAGAAATTGCGGCATATCTTCGAGCTGCAGGCTATGAAGACAGAGACGACGGCAGCTGCAAGACACGAATTCACACTCTGATAAGCGCCTATAGAAGCTACAAGGACGAATGCGCCAAGACGGGAAATGCCACACCAAAGAAGAAGCCGGCTTTCTTCTCTCCGTATTTACCAAAACAAAAGCACAGTATTTCGCCCATCAGCTCAGCACAGTATTTCGCCCATCAGCTCAGCGAGGCAGCTCTTGTTGTTCGGTGTGAACGGGTTGATCAGTTAACCATGTTTAATTAAGCATGGTTTCATTAAACTTTGTTTAATTAAACATGTTTTGATGGTGTGAACGGGGTATAAGACTGTGAAGTATCAAGTCTTATGCACCTCATTTATCAGTGTTCAAAATTACCGTGTAACGTTCGCAAGCTTAGTTGTTAAGCCTGTTTTCATTTCCAGACATTTGTGTTCAATTTGTACGGCTCAATGGACGATCAGATTATCATTGCATTTCATGCAAACACAACCTTGCCCTCTTTTACGTACCGATTTCAAGTTCTCCAGTGAAACTTCTCCTAGCGAGAATATGGGCAGGAGAGTATACTGGATAGCCTCTACTCGACCTTTTTCGCTTCTTCGTTATCAGTTACTTGTCCTGTTGCATTGCCCTCGAAAGAATATTTTTTTCACCAGCGCGGTAATTTTATTTCTTCCCAAGTTATGACTTACTGCTATGATTCTTTTGTAGGTTCCTGTCTATGAATATCCGAAGACTACCATACCAGAGTACGCTTCTATTTTGGTTCCTAATGTGGATAACACTCGAACTGACTACCTTATCCACGCTTTGGCCAAACAGGGCAAGGTAACTATACTTCAGTTTCGATTTTCGATATAAACATTTATTTTGTTAGTATCGTTTATATTCCTATTAACAGGAGTTAGATTGTCAGAATAGTCCACGGATCCAGCTGTTGTCCAGGGTATTAATTAGGCACCAGAGATTGGACAACTCTTAAAGTTTCGATGGCCTGAGCTTTTTTTTTTATTCATACATGGAGAACATAATCCCCTTTTTTACACTATTCTTCTGCTACTAAATTTCTTCATCAACGTCCTTGATAGAGAAAGACATGACACTTTTCTCTGGGTAGAAGAATTAGTTGGGCCTTATACTAGAAAAATTACTATATTTGGCGTCTAACGTTCTGTATTCCGGTAGTTTATTCGTGGTTCTTTATATCGTTTACTAGACACGAAGGTCGAAAGTCGACTTGTCCATGTGCAGGACCATAACTTATCCTTGTACTGTTCTATTTCGTAGGCCATTGACTAAATTTGAGATATAAAACATCTATTTTTTTTTAATCCTCTTAGGCTGTGCTATTGATCGGTGAACAGGGCTCAGCTAAGACAGTTATGATGAAGGGTTACTGTAACAAATATGACCCAGAACAACAGCTCTTCAAATCACTCAATTTCTCCTCTGCAACGACACCCAATATGTTCCAGGTAAGTTTTGTTTTGTGTTGTTGAGTGGCCATATATGACCAGCCAAATAGTCATACATCACTATCACTGTAGAATGGATTTCTGAAAGTGACCATATCTGACAGCAACAAAACTGTTACTGCTTTTTCAATTTTATGTGCAAGATGAATTTGAATTTTCACTTTGGTTCCCAGATCGGCTCAGTCCTTGGATCGCCTTTACGACAGGCGGTCAGCGCTGAACTACGACTCGGAGTTAATTTGGGATTGATTTCTAGTCAATTTTGTGGGTGTGTCTGGCGTAAAAATGTGTGTAAGGTTGTAGAACGAGGTTAATGTATTATTATCTCTAAAACACTATTCTTGGGTCAACTCAATCGTGTTTTGATCTGAGCTACCCGGTGTTTAACGAAAGAAAGGAATACATCTTCTTTTCCCGTCATCTTTGAATTATTTCGTGATTTTTTTTTAGCTACATTTATATTTCCCTGTAAAATAGAGCACTCGTTATCTGCATCGTAAACGTGCCCCAGACAGGAACGTATTTTGGCAACGGTTTTTGTCTCTTGATTGACTTTAGCGAACTATCGAGAGCTACGTGGACAAACGAATGGGAACAACTTACGGCCCTCCAGCAGGAAAGAAAATGACAGTGTTTGTTGATGACATCAACATGCCAATCATTAACGAGTGGGGAGACCAGGTAACCTACTTTTACTCTCTTTTAGAATCAGGAGTGTTTGTCTAAATTGAGAAAGGTGGTCTCCTATCTCCTTAAAATCTTGCTGTTGAAAATCGTCATGTATAAAAATCAACGAGGGGTCATCTGTCTGTTTATCCATCACGAGATGCGAGGGGATGAGGATATAGATGCGGAATGAATTTATTTAATTCTCAGTTGCATTTATGGACAATTTAGTGCTGATGGAACATAATTTTTGTCAATGTAAACAGGAACTTTAAGATTTAACCATTTCCTCTGTTACCAAGTTTTTGTTAAGCTGAAACAATTGAATACCTTGTTATTTAGCTCTAGAAATCAGACAGCGACTAGTGCTTTCTGTTACCTCTTTATCTGCTTAATTCATGAGGTTTTGGCTGATCAAGTTTTACGATTTCAGATTACCAATGAAATCGTTCGACAAGTAATGGAGATGAAAGGTTTTTACAGTCTTGACAAACCCGGTGATTTCACCAGCATAGTTGACATTCAGTTCGTGGCAGCTATGATTCAACCAGGAGGAGGCCGCAATGACATTCCAAGCCGCCTGAAACGTCAGTTTACCATCTTGAACTGTACACTGCCCGCAAATGCTTCGATCGACAAGATCTTCAGTTCCATCGGTAGTGGCTACTTTAACACCGAGCGGGGATTCCCTGCAGAGCTGCAGAAGATGGTTAATCCTTTGGTGTCAAGCACGAGGAAGCTTTGGCAGAAAACGAAGATTAAAATGCTTCCCACGCCAGCCAAGTTTCACTACATCTTCAATCTGCGAGATCTCAGTAGAATTTGGCAGGTATGAGTTAAACAAGTGAATTCTTGTTTTACGAGTTTCGCAGTTTTCCCATCACGCCCGGTGTGAAAATACGTGCGTCAGACTTGCAAACAATACAGGCGCCAGTAACACAATAAGTTAACGTACTTTTTGTTTAACCGTACCTTTTTGTTTGCCAAATGATTGGTTGAAAAGGGAACTTGAATCAAGCAGTCGTTCGTCGGTTCGAACCCCTGTTTTTAGGACTGTGAGTCAATCAGCCACTCAATCAATGAACAATGCACTGAGGCATGGAAGCAATCAAGCAATCAAGTGTTATACCAGGCAATTAATCATTTAATTAATTAACTGACTTTTTTCATTGATTTTTTTTGAACAGGGCATGCTTACTGTGACATCTGAGGTAGCGACCACTCCCACAATTTTTCTTAACCTTTGGAAGCACGAGTGTAACAGAGTCATTGCCGACCGCTTCACGAATCAGCAGGATAAAGATTGGTTCGAAAAGGCCATCAAACAGGTTGTGGAAGAAGACTTTGATGCTGAGACTAGCGGCCTGTTGGAGGCAGAACCTTATTTTGTGGATTTCATGCGAGATGCCCCAGAACCAACTGGTAAGGAAATATGTGCAAGCAATCCCAGACAATTACTAACATCTCCAAAGTGTAAAACACTATTTAAGTCTTGGTTCCAGCAACAGTGACAACAAATTTTGGCCCGGTCTATACGATTTCCATCAGTACAACCACTTTTCCTTTGCAAAATAATGGCTACATAATAAATAGGGACGACTTCTTAGCATTCTTAATGGCGCCCCAGGTGTGGGACTGTGGTGAGTGGGACTAACGTTTATCCACCTGCAATTTGTATTGGTAATCGCTTGTCAATGAATTTGATGTCAACTTTTTGTACTCAATTTCAACTTTCAGCACTGTTTGGGATAAATTGACGTGTTTTCGACAAATGAGCATGCTGAAGTTTTCGCATGTGATCCAAAGTTTTCCTACCAATCTCTCTTCTTTATTCTTCCTTTTTGAATTTTCCTTATGACCAGTTGGTTGTGTAAGTTGATCTAAAACCGTGTGATCTAGCTTCCTTGTAGATGGAGCAAGGAATAAGAACTGTGAGTTAGTATACTTCCAGGTGGAACCTGGCTAGAGTCTGCATTTACCTAACTTCCCATCAAACCCATTCCAGATAGAAAATGGGCCACCTCAAATGTTTTTCTATACTAAAAATGATAGCTTACTGAATGGAAGGCTTCTGCTGATAGAAAGCGACAGTTTTTTAATTGACTTCCCTGCAATAATCGTTGCCCTGATGTCTTAGTTTACCTTTTCCTCTCCTGAACCTTAATTTTCTCAAACTTTTTACTCGATTTGCATGTATCTCTACAATGAAGTGTTCCTTATTTGTACTTTAATCTTTAGCTAGTGTTCTTTAACTCAAAGGCTCCCTTATTTCCCCTCTCTCTCAAGTCACTTTCAATACCGGGATTCTAATCTGTTGTCTTGACTTGCTTGCAAGTTTCTTCATTTTCGTTGTTGCCAGGCTTTGTCTCTTCAATCTTATCTGCTCTTCAGCTTTGATTGTAACAGATAACAAGAATAAAAAGGAAGGCAAAGCTGGGAAACTCAAAGGTTCGAAGAGTTCATCAACAGGTGGACCTTCTGTTGGGCCTAAGGGCTCAGGTATAACTGTTACACTTATTTTTATCCCTCTTCTTTCTGTATTCCTCCCTCTGTTTTCTTTATTCCAGACGAGAACTGGAAACCGTTTCCAAGTCCATTTCTGAGGAATTCTTCGGTTTTTTCCAATCCCACCTATCCCTTGTAAAAGTTTCTCTTCCAGTTTTGACGCACAGCTGTACCTTCTTAAAGCAAGTCAGGATTCTGTAGTGAATCTACCTACTCTTTATAGAGTAGTATTTCTTTCTCGATGGTCGTTCTTTTAAGTATTCTTTAGGAGAGCAACACTCGGTGCTCTTCAGCAAATTATTCATCGAAGATGTCTCATTCTAACATCAGTATGCATATTCTCTGTATAGTTCTCTAAATTCTAAGCTGCTGATAAGGAGAATTTGTTGAACAATCAAGTGCTTGAGTTTGTGATCATTTCCTCTATTCTCATGACCTTAATGTTTGATTCAGGGATGATACTGTTGGGAGAAGTTAGAAGCTTATCACTCTAAACTTGGACTTGTTATTTCTACTCTTCTGCTTTTGTTGCGGAGATTATTGGCTCATCTTCACTTTTCTTCCTCAAAATTTAAAACAAGATTGCTTGACTCCAGTTTTCTCTGTCCTCGAAACGATACAAATGAAATTCTTTACCCTGTATTGGTTACCTTTCAATTGACAGTTGGAATAAATTCTTAAATCTTCTAACTCTCTCATGTCTGCCATTTTTATCTTTTTATTTACCGTTTACATGAAATTGGAAACAAGATTTGCTCTCGTCATCTTTCACCAGTCTGATCCAGGTTTTTCTGCTCGAAAAGGACATTAAGAACTCGATATATTGATTTATGTAGCTAGCTTAGAATGCCTCAGGTTTACCATAGTATGGAAGGAGTTTTTATATTTTAGTGTGCTGTGATTCGCGAGTGAATTCAAAATAAAATTGAACTAAAGTAATAACAACGGTCTTTGCAAAACAACGAAAAAACGTCAAAACGTGTATATTGCCTCAAGCGCGAAAAAAGTGAGCGACCATTCGCGCTAGTCTGGTATCTGACTAGTTAAGAGGGTTGTGTGAATTTCCTGGACCAATAAGAAAGTACTGAAGTAAAACCAATGCAATATTTAATTACGCTCGACTCTCAATTGAATATTGTTCCTCTAAACCTGTTTAAACTGCTGTAGGTGACGAGCCAGAGGATGCAGACCTTGAAGCACCAAAAGTGTATGAACATATCGGGACATTGGAAACTCTCAAGGAGCGACTAGGAACATTCATGATCGCCTATAATGAAGTGGTTCGTGGAGGCAATATGGATCTTGTCTTCTTCAAGGTACAAAGCTCGGGTACTTGGATTTAACACAACAATATTCAGCGGTATTTCGCCGACGTCTCTTCAGCATTCCAGACCACATGTTAGCTGATTTTTAGAGAGTAATCGGCGCGTGTCAAAAGGAACAGTGCTGAATGTGTTGAGTAAAATAAGACGCAGTTTGAGAAAAAACACACGAACCTTGTCCGCGTAAGAAAGCATATCTTTCAGGGTGAAATTTAATGACTTCTGATGATTCTTTCTTTTGTTGGGTAAATTTTGTTCATTGGGTGTTCGAGGCAGTGCAGCAAGCTCTCGAATCGTGATACTGTTAAGTTGTTAGTATCGAGTCGTCCTCAAGCTGTTTAATCGCCTTCTTTAGCAATTATCGTATTTATTTTACTTCAGCCGTTGAATTTCTGAGTGTTCAATTTTCACTTAAGATTCTCATTATTTTCTTCAGGATGCCATGGTACACCTTATCAAGATTTCACGTATCATTCGCACCCCTCGTGGTAACGCCTTGCTGGTGGGTGTCGGAGGTTCAGGAAAACAAAGTTTGACGCGACTCGCTTCATTCATCGCTGGATACCAGATCTTTCAGATCACCTTGACAAGGTAATACACTTTCGCATGAAATAAAACATGCAGCTCTCCTAGAAGCGACTGATGATCGATTTTTTCCAATAGAACTGCGCCAAATGGTGGATTATTCTAATGTGTATAACTCCAGAAAGAAAGCTTCATTAAGCTTCTTGTCTCGTATATTGTCAGTGTAACGAAACATTCCACAACCCCGACTAAATTTGTAATAAAATATTTGTTGCTGATCAAGATTGAAGAAAATATCTAACCTTTCTACAAGCTAACAATCTACCCACAATTTCGGACATAACTCTTTTACGACAAGACGTCAAGCGTTTGTTTACTGAAACCTCCTATATCTTTTGTAAGACTTTTCTTCTAACTCTACGGGTCGGTCTATAACTGGTTCCTCAGGCTATTGCCCCACAGTAATGATATGATATTTACATCGTAAAATAGGTTGTGGTTTGTCATCGTGGTAAGTAACACTTTCAAAATAGAAATATGATCGTTTGTCTCACGATGTGGACACCTTCGGATGTTGATCGCGACTCCTCATCGAAATGACCAGATCGTGAGACAAACGATTATATTTCTCTTTTAAAAGAGATATTTACACTTTTGAGATCTGAAGTTTTCTTGCCCTCCTCTGGATAGTGCGCACTTATGTACCCAAAACAAAGTAAGTTGTAAGTAATCTCTGTATAATTAAAGTCTTCTTTCTGTAGGTCCTACAATGTCTCAAACTTGATGGATGATCTTAAAGTACTGTACAGGACTGCTGGACATCAGGGAAAAGGAATTACTTTTATATTCACAGACAACGAAATAAAAGACGAAGGATTTTTGGAATACATGAATAACGTGATAGCGTCAGGAGAGGTTCGTATTCCATCAGGAGATAGCGTTGGGAAAACTTCGCTTTGAATTTCAAGGTGCCCCTCGACGAAACCTTTTCAGTGGTGAATATTTGATGCACTGTCCGTTCCGAAAGACGTTTAGCTCTCGCAAAACGTTGTTAAGACCGATTGTCAATAATAATGGAGCAAAATGTTCACTTAGCACTCCTCTGAGCCCCAACTTGTTTTCTTTTCGAAATTATTGTCTCTGTTAGAAACATTTACTCCAGATTATAACAAACACACAAACTGGCGTTAAAAAAAAAACTGACTGACGTTACAAACTGGCCAGTTTGTGACACCTTAGGGAAGAGTTAAAAGAAGGTATTAACAGTCTTATTTTTGTCAACCCAAGGTATCTAACCTGTTTGCTCGAGACGAGATCGATGAGATCACTCAGGATCTTATCAGTGTAATGAAGGCTGAGTACCCGAGGAGACCGCCAACCAATGAAAATCTTTATGACTACTTCATCACTCGCGTCAAGAACAACCTACATGTTGTACTTTGCTTTTCACCGGTAAGGACATTGTCTGTTTTTGTCCGCTTGTTGGCTTCTTTTCTGACCGAGAATTAGGTGCTGATAAACTGGTCTTCTAACCAATTTAATCACTGGTTGTCCGACTGATTGACAGGTTGACCGACTAACTCAATGACTGCCTGACTAATCGACGTATAGACTTATCAATCGACTCTTTGACCGATTGAATGATCAACAAATCAACGGACTGATCGCCAAACTGACTGACTGACTGACTGACCCACTAATGGACGGACTGGCTCATTGAATGACTGATGGACTAACTGACCAAGTGACTCTTTTTTTGGTTTCATTGGCTATTTCGGCTCTTAGCTTGGTACAAACGCTTTTCAAATGTAACTTTGGAATATATTACCGCTTACCAATGTCAAAACACAAATACTTCTAGGTTGGAGAGAAGTTCCGTAATCGTTCACTGAAATTTCCTGGACTGTTTAGCGGTTGCACAATGGACTGGTTTAGCCGCTGGCCAAAAGACGCGTTGATCGCAGTGGCCTCGCACTTTCTGTCCTCGTTTGAAATTGTGTGCACTGCGGAAACAAAATTGGCTGTCGTCAACACCATGGGGGTTATACAGGTAAGCTGCGGCAGGAGAGATAGATGTGTAACTGCAGTTAAGATAAAAACATCTGGCGGATGGCTTTGGAATGAAAATTGATAAATGATGAATGTATGATAAAGTTGAAAGCTGTAGACTCGAGATTACACAGATATATTTTAAATCACATACACAATAATCATCATTTGTGCTCTCCTCTTGTGGTGGGCTCCCCTCTTTTGATTTTGTCTATTTCTCTTCTTACGTTCTGAAGAATATTACTGGAAGAGCAATAAGAGGAAAAGTCTCTCTTTAAGCCATGTGGACTTCAGAACTTGTTTACATCGCATTTTTCTTGTGGTATATTCAATGGATTTACATTAATTTGACCAGTGCAAGATGTGCTTTTTAATGTTGTAGGAATTATAGTTTTGGTTTTTTTTCCTTTGTTAAAACCAGGACAACGTTGCCGAGATGTGCGTTCAGTACTTTGAGCGATTCCGTCGGCAGACTCATGTGACTCCCAAGTCATATTTGTCTTTCTTGGGCGGCTACAAAGACATTTATAGCTCACAATACGAGGCGATTGGTCTTCTTGCGCAACGCATGAACACGGGATTGGCAAAACTTGTTGAAGCTAGCGAATCAGTGGCGAAGCTTTCGGAGGAGCTGGTTGTAAAGGAGAAGGAGCTGGCTGTAGCTTCAAAAAAAGCGGACGTTGTTCTTCAAGAGGTGACTGTCAGCGCCACAGCTGCAGAAAAAGTGAAGTCACAGGTGCAGAAGGTGAAAGACAAGGCTCAGGCTATCGTAGATGAAATCGCGGTGAGTTGAAATCGCTCTGTGATGCTATTGAGGGGTTTCGCTAGATTTTGCATCATTTCACTCTTCAGGGCACTTAACAGCGTATGGCAGGTCAAAGACTGTACGAGCATGCAGTCTCTGCTTTCGGAGAAATCTGTCGCGCAAATAAAAAACGTCAGTGGGAAAAAATGCGCGCCGTGTGGAACTCAGGGAGTGAAGTGCTTGAGTTTCCCGTGCAGCGCTGACGTAATTATTTTTTTAACTCGCGCAACGAATTTCTCCGAAAGGGGGGAATGCTCGTAGTTTAGGCAGGTTACGATATTTCAGGCCATTGTAATAACGAATCATGCCTTAGTTATTCGTGATATTTCTACTATTACCCCGTTCATCATCAGACATCCACTCTTTCTCCCAACAGGAAGATAAAGCGGTTGCAGAGGGGAAGCTCGAGGCTGCTAAACCAGCCTTGGAGGAAGCTGAAGCTGCCTTGCAGACCATCAAGCCCGCTCACATCTCCACCGTCAGAAAACTGGCCAAGCCACCTCATCTGATTATGCGTATTATGGACTGTGTGCTACTGTTGTTTAACAGGAAAATTGACCCAGTGACGGCAGATCCAGAGAAGGCTTGCCTTAAGCCGTCCTGGGGAGAATCATTGAAGTTGATGAGTGGTGGAGGTTTCCTAAACACTTTGCTAACTTTCCCTAAGGTAGAGTTTGTAATCAGGGTCATAATGAAATAAGGTAATTTTGTATCATCACCTGAGTTGATAACGTAAATTGGCCACCGTAAAGATTTCCAAAGCTGACGTTTCGAGCGCTAGCCCTTCGTCATTCGCTCTGACGAAGGGTTAACGCTCGAAACGTCAGCTTGAAACTCTTTACGGTGGCCAATTTACGTTATCAACTCAGGTAATAATACCAAATTACCTTGTTATACTCTCCCACCGACGTAGCGCCACAGTTTCTTTGGAGGCTTAACCCCTTTATTCAAGATGAATTACTCTAGTTGATAGTTATGGTGCAATTTTCATTCAATGTCAAAAGCAACTCGAAAATACTGTGATTGGTCCAGAAAACTTGTGCGTTTTTCCGCTTTTTTAAAACCTTGAAGTGTATTCGCGTGAAATATTTGCAAGCAAGCCTAGGAATTCTAAACAACATTTTATACATAATTTTTTGTAACCCCATTTTTATTTATCCGTGATTTTTAACGCAAAAAGGGCTGGAAGGCGACATGGAATTTGAAAATGTTCGACTCACTTGCTCCTCCAAATCTTCGTCCTTCTAAAATGCCTACCCTGTAAATGGTGGATATCTTTTGAGAGAAATTTTCAACTTCAGAGCTCGCTGATTTGATTTCTCTTTGAAGTTTGCTGGCTCTCCACGGTTTCCTTTCCTAACTCTAATAACTACATTCTCTTTTGTTCCGTTTTGCACCTGAGTATCCTTTTCATTCTAAGGATTCCATCAATGAAGAAACAGTTGAGCTGTTGATGCCTTATCTTGAAATGGAGGATTACACCATAGAAGTGGCCAAGAAAGTTTGCGGTGATGTTGCAGGGCTTGCCTCTTGGACTAAAGCAATGGCTTTCTTCTACACCATTAACAAAGAAGTCCTTCCTCTAAAGGTGATGCTAACATCCCGTTGTTAAGTTAAAATAGCTAGCTCTCTTTGATATATGCTGTGGCTAGTAAAAAAAAGAGGTAAGATTATGTGACACAAAATGTTTGCCGTCAGATTTCAAATGTGAGAGGTCAATCTTGAAAACTGGCACCCATCGCCATAAAGATTTCATTTCTTGTTCTTAACATCAGCGAACAATGAATCTTTTTTTGCTCGGCTACCGGGTGTAAATTGCACTAGGCGCGGTTAATGTTTCGTTTTAAAGAAAGTTTTTCCACCTGCCAATAAAAGAATTGAATTTAAAAAGTACATAATGAGAAGGTAAAATAAATTCTACAATTAAATCCCACTTTCCTACTCAACCTTATTTTGTTCTGATTTAACTCGCACCGTGCAGATTGCTTTTTTTTTCTTCACATTTTTCATTCTTATGTCCCTTGAGTGCTTTGTTAAACAGACGAAAGCACTATGAAATTAATTGTACGCTTTGTGCGTGAAATCTGTAGGCGAATCTAATCATCCAAGAAGCGCGCTTGCAGAAAGCGACAGCGGAGTTGAATGAAGCGCAGGCGCAGCTGGATGAGAAACAGCGCGAACTGGATCTGGTGCAGGCCAAGTACGATCAGGCTATGCGTGATAAACAGACTCTGGTAGAAGATGCAGAGGCTTGCAGGAGGAAGATGGCCAATGCAACGGCACTGATCGATGGTTTGGGAGGCGAAAAAGTAAGATGGACTGAACAGAGCAAGAAATTCGACCAGCAGATTCAAAGGTGTGTTTCCACTGTATTTTTTTTTTTTGTTTGGTTGTTGTTAAGTTACGTTGCCTTGTGAAAGTATCGTATTTCAGACTCGTTTTTTCCCGATTTTTTACAGTTTCCTCAGTTGGTTAGTTAATTTTTTCCGTTTTTTTCTAAAAATCTTTCCCCCCTCCCCCTCCCCTCCTTGTTTAGTCTAGAAGAGTTGGTAGGAAGTACTGCGAGAAGGAAAAGTTTCCAAAATTGTCGGAGGGGGTAGGGTAGGCGCGGTGTGGAGTATGTGTTGTATGGTGTTGGACTATTTTAACAACCAACAACAAAAGGAATATGGTGGAGTGTGGAGTAAGGTACTTGGAATGGACAACATTTAAAAATATACAACAAATGAAACATCCCGGAAAATGCGTGTTTCAGAAACCGGGACAATTTACGGCTATCGTAACTCTCTTCTTACACTCTGGTGTTCTATCTCAGGTTGGTAGGAGATGTGCTGCTGGCTACCGGATTTTTGTCATATTCTGGTCCGTTTAACCAGGCTTTCAGAACTCTGTTGTTGGACAACTGGAAGAAAGAAATGAGAAAAAAGAAGATTCCTTTCTCAGAGGTAATAGTTTACTTCATGAGTTAGTAGGTGTATTTTAACAAACAGTCAGCAGAATGATTTTGGTGATTTTCCCTAAGCAAACATCGTAAAAGGTGTCCTTAATTCACGTAAATCAGTTGATTTACTCAATTTGTGTACATGTAAACTTTTGGAAAAATCTTCAAGGAAACGGCTCTGTTGTAATAGTAATAGGGGTGCTTCGAGGTGTTACTACTCTGTTTTGATTTTTTCGTGTTTGGTTTTTTTTTTTAATTTTTCAGTATAGTAGCTTTTTTTATATCTTTAAGATTGAAGCCATCGCCCTTGTCAGACCGTTGTGTTGCTTTTTAGACTGAGCTTTAAAGTGACTCTTTGGAAGGAAGGATAAATAGAATTACGAAAAACGAATAAGAACAGAATCGATTATATAGTTTTTCTTTTCCCTATGCAGGATTTGAATCTTGTGAACATGCTCACGGATGCTGCTACCATTGGCGAATGGGCCCTCCAAGGATTACCCAGTGATGAGTTGTCAGTCCAGAATGGTATAATAGTCACCAAGGCAGCTCGCTATCCACTCCTTATTGACCCCCAGGTGAGATACGGATGACAATAACCCGGGATGAAGGACGAAATATTTTCTTGACATCTACAGTTCGTGTTACCTGCCCTTACCATTAGTGGCCATTAGTAATGTCATTTGGAATACGTATATTGCTGTGGTGTTGCACACGTTCGGGAAACTTGATGGGCTAAACTTGGAGGAAAGAGTGCATAATTCATGTTTTGTTCAAGATTGAACAGTTCAAAGGCGAAATATGTGTTCTGAGGTGTTCAAATATTGTTCTACTTGAATGAACACGAGAGATCCCTTTCGGTAACAAACGATTAGCGTCTTTATCTGCCATGGCTAATAACTTTAGCCTGAAAACGCTATTTAATGGTATTTCTGTTATTCAGGGGCAAGGAAAGGCGTGGATTAGGAAGAAAGAAGGACCGAATGAACTACAGGCAAGTTGATAAAATTTCGCTCTTGTTCATTATCTTCTCTGTAATTTAGTGATACAGGGCACAGGCTTTAGTTGCTGTGGTAACCTACGAGGAAATGATGTTCCATCCACGAGGAATCCTAAAAAGTTACTGTTATTCCTCGGAAAAAACGACTAGCTTGGACTCTAGTGTGGACTCTAGCATCGAAAGAAATTTCAGAATTATCTTTCAGTGGAAACCTTTCTTTCTCTGATTTCTCGTTTGTCTTCCATTAGGCCACTGCCCTTAACCACAAATACTTCCGTAGCCATTTGGAAGATTCGCTGTCCTTGGGAAGACCACTGATCATAGAGGATGTTGGCGAGGAACTTGATCCCGCACTCGATAACGTACTGGAGAAAAACTTTATCAAGTCTGGCAAAACGTTTAAGGTACAGAAATACCTATTGTTTTGATAGTTGTCACTAACTTGCCGTAATCTTTCTTCTTTATTATTTGGAAAAGCTTTCACCTAAATACAACTCCAAGAGGGCCTTACTCTTGGCCCCCGTTGTTATGGTATGTCGTAAAAATGAAGCACCGTTAACAACCATAGAGCAATACAAAAGTAAGTCCACCGGACAAATTTCAGGACAATTTTAACGGCTCTTAATTCCTTTTGAGGTATCCTAAAAACCAGCCTGAAAAACTCTTCAACAGTTACATCGTCACTATTACGCCTTGTAAAAGTTTCGCGTTTGTGAACTTTCGAACTGATTTTTTTTTTTTTGATTTAGAGAGATATTGGCGAAATCAGCTAGGCGTGGTCATCATCTGGGGAAGAATTTCTATTTAGAAATTTTTAAGATTTGATTAGTTCAGCTGAGTTTTTTCTCTTTAGTATGGGTGACTTACTCAATGTACTTCTGTACTTTCCAGGTCAAAGTGGGAGACAAAGAAGTGGATGTAATGGATGGTTTCCGTTTGTACGTCACCACTAAGCTTGGTAACCCCTCCTACACTCCTGAAGTTAGTGCCAAGACCTCCATCATCGACTTCACGGTTACCATGAGTGGCCTGGAAGATCAGCTGCTCGGTAGAGTGATATTAACAGAAAAGCAGGTGAAGTGTCGCTCTGCCATGAATTAATGTGTTATTTGTCTTCAAATTCAGGTTTAAATCCTCGTGAAACGAACGCCATATTGAATTGTAAGAGCAAGAGTAGGGAAGAGGGAGTAAAGAAAAGGCGATTTTAATAAGCAGAAAGATTTTCTTCTTTTGTTCTCTTTGAGGTATTTTTCCTAACTAGCTACCCAGATAAAAAAAAAAAACAATAGATCTAAGTTTTGGCGCTTAGAAATCGCGATGAGTCTTCAAAATAAATCAATAAAACATTATTGTTCATGTAGGAACTGGAAGCTGAACGTACCAAGCTAATGGAAGAAGTGACCGCTAACAAACGAAAAATGAAGGATCTGGAAGACAATCTACTTTACCGACTCACTAGTACCCAGGGCTCTCTCGTGGAAGACGAGTCTCTGATCCAGGTTCTAAGTGTGACAAAAACTACTTCAGAGGAAGTCAGTGAAAAGTTGCTGGTTGCAGCGGAGACAGAGGTGAAGATCAACACTGCTCGTGAAGAGTACAGGCCAGGTGAGCGGCTACAATTAACAATAAACAATAAACGAGTCCAGCGGATCATTCGTTAAGTAAATGGGGAATGTAGGCGAAGAACAAGAGAAATTTCTAAAGAGAAAATTTTTGGGAAAGAAATGCCGGTTTATCCGAAGAAAAAATCAGGAAAACATGATACCAAGACCCTCAGAAGTATTTCTCTACATGGAGAAAAGTACAATTATATTTTTCAATATATATGTGGCTGATTGGAAAATATGATCGAAACAAATTAGAGCAGCCGTAGAATTCCATATTCGCCCCAAGATGATAATCTGGGCTTCCTAATTGATCAATTGTTGTGCTGTGTTCATAAGGTAAACACTATGTTGCATATTATACTGCTTCTGTACAGATTAGTTACGCCCTCTATCTGCTGTTTTATTTGGTCAGTAAAACTACCAGGCGCTCAACACATTGAATGTCTTGGGACAAGTTCTGTCATGTCCCATAAAAAAGCACGACAACAAAAAAATAACAAAAATAAGAATATCACCTTCTCCTGCCTTGATAAATGATGAGCGACAACTGTTTTCTCTCCTTCTCCTCCCTAGTGGCCACAAGAGGTAGCATCCTTTACTTCCTGATAGTCGAGATGTCTTACGTGAACGTTATGTACCAGACCTCTCTCAGACAGTTCCTGGGCTTGTTTGACATTTCCATGGCACGCTCTCAGAAGTCTCCGATTCCCGCCAAGCGGATCCAGAACATCATTGAGTACTTGACATTTGAAGTGTTCCGCTACACGACGCGTGGTTTGTACGAAGAGCATAAGTTCCTCTTCACTTTGCTGCTCACGCTGAAAATTGATTTGCAAGAGAGAAAGATTCGCCACGACGAGTTTCAGGTTCTTATCAAAGGTATGACGATTAAATTATGGTACTCCCCGATTGATTAGTGTTCATCCATTTTCTTTTTACCTGGTGACCCTCTTTTGCGGTTTATATATTTGTTCTCTAGTTGATTTTTTCCTTGTTGGTAGTCGACAGCGTTATTTCGACTGTCTTAAATTGAAATTAATAGTTGTAAGTTGACAAAGTTGAACAGGCTATGGGAACGAAGGGAGGGTATGTTAATTTCTAATTTTAAAAGTCTTGGAATTCATTGAAGTTTTAATTCAATGGTTTTTATGCTCCACTTTGCCAATTCGTCAATCTGAATACTTGATTCTCTTGTACGGCAGGTGGTGCTGCACTGGATCTGAACGCTGTGGAACCCAAACCAAAGAAGTGGATCTTGGACATGACTTGGCTGAATCTTGTGGCCCTCAGCAAACTTCCTCAGTTTACTCAGCTCCTGGGACAGGTCAGTACCTATGTTAGTTGATGTTTTTGTTATGGTTGGTGTCGTGATTGTGGTTGTTGTGTTCCCTTTGTTGTTGTGATGATTGTTTTGCGATCTCTTCGGCGACTTTGATGTAGCTTGCATTTTTGCTTTCGTGACCATCGTCATAGAGCAAGAAGTTGGTGAAAACTGTACAAATTTTGTAAGATACCCTGAAACGTGTTGGCAAATTGAAAGCCTAAAATTAAAATATTGTTAGAGTGTTAGATAATGTATCCTCTCGTAGAAATCTATGATTATATTCAATTCAGATGGAGGCTAACCCTTTGAAAATGCGCTTCAATTTTTTTTTCTTTTCTCTGGCTATAATGAACTCACAACTGGACCATGAATGTGAACGTATCTCCACAGGTTGCGAATAACGAGTCTGGTAAAGCCTGGAAGACCTGGTTTGACTCTGAAGCACCAGAAGATGCGCCAATACCAGATGGCTATCAGGGCTCTCTCGACACATTTAGGAAACTTCTACTTATAAGGGCCTGGTGCCCAGATCGTACCATAAACCAGGCTCGGCGTTATATCACTGATGCCATCGGGAAAGAGGTGAGTACTTTGCTAAGTAGTTATCATTTTATTTGTTTCACACTGGGGAAATGATTCTCACATAAGAAACTTCGAACTTCGTTTCTGGATTCCAAAGAAACATGCTGCTCGGGAATTTTATGCAGATGGTCACACCTATGGTCATTTGTTCGTAGTTTTAAAATAAGTGGGACATTGTGAAAGATACCAAACGTATTCACGGCCTCGAAAAAAATTTCCACAGTAAGGCTTTATCTGGGATATGGGTTTTTCTTACGGGACATAGCTACGATATATCCTTTAAGCATATTACTTGGTATTTTATATCATGTGTTACCCAGAATTCCAAGAGAGGTGTTGGGTGTGCTCAGAGTTAAACATGCTTCTCTTGTTCTCACAGTACGCTGAAGGAGTTATTCTGAACCTGGAAGTCATGTGGGAAGAGAGTGACATTAGGACACCAATGATTTGCTTCCTGTCGATGGGTTCTGATCCTACAGCGTCCATCGAGGCTTTGGCTAAGAAACAGAGATTAGGTAAGAACATTAATGTTCCTCCTTACCAAATGATCCATTGTAAGGATTGTGAATGATCGCCAGCTTAAAGATTTACTCCAAATTTACGTGTAGAGCTTAAGGCAACGTTTCCTAAATGCGTTGTATTGTTTTTTATCCAGCGAATTCGATTGTAAAGCTTTATTTTGAGACAAATCTTCTAGAAAATTCGAAGTCGAAAAATTTAGCCAGAAAAAGAATGCAGCACTATCATCTTTGAGCTCAGGATTGTATCGAAAGGGCAACCGCCCCGTTGAAAAGACGAAATCCTCGTTATTGATTCTTTAGAAGATATTGCTTTGTAATTCTTGGACTTAAGTGAAGTGTTCGTCTACCAAAGATAGTTAAACGGTGAAAATTTTATTGTTTCTCGCACAGACTGCCGGGCCATCTCCATGGGACAGGGACAAGAGGTACATGCACGGCGTCTATTGGCACAATTTATGAACGAGGGAGGCTGGGTACTACTGCAGAATTGTCATTTGGGACTCAACTTCATGGATGAGTTGTTGGAGACGGTATGTTTCGACTCGTTTTTATGTGTGTTTTTGTTGGTTTGTTTGAAGGTATTGATTAAAGTTTTTTATTTTCCGTAATCTCTTAGTGTTGGCATTATTGACCAAAGACTTGTTTAAGGAATTAAATTTTTCAGTATGAAATGAGATAAATTATATTTTGTCATATTTTGGATTAAATTTTGATTATTTGTTTTTTAGATCACCACAACAGAGAATGTCAACGAAAAGTTCCGTCTGTGGATCACGACAGAAGTTCATCCGAAATTCCCGATCACTCTTCTCCAGTCCTCTATCAAGTTTACTAATGAACCACCGCAAGGCATCAAGGCTGGTCTGAAGAGAACATACGCTGGAATCACACAGGTTTGAGAGGGAATTGAACGGGTTGCCAAATTGCATATTAAAGCCTTAGCCTCTATGATAAATTTTCAAATTACGAAGGAGAAGGGTGTGAATTTAATAAAAAATATTCAAAATTTCTCGTTTCATTGTTACTTTTCTGCAAAAGAGAGTAAGCGCTTGAAACGGTAGCGATTATGAAATTTAAGTGCGCTGACGAAACAAATTATACGAACAATGACCTTTGTTTCTGCTCTTTTAATCCACAAAATTATGGAAGAAATGGAATGATGTGAGAAAAAGTAATAGATCAATTGATTCAAGTTTGCAAATTTCAAATGGAGAGAGCACTGCTACTTTGAAAAGTCTAAATGACGGTCTTGTCAATTAGCTTTTATGAACCTTAAGGTTACAAGTAGTCGGCTGTTTCACTTAAGATGTCGACGACGAAGCGGGACTTTTATTCTAATAATCACCTATTTTCATCTATTTTTCCGTGGTAGAAAAACTCTCTCAAATTCTTTGATACACGTCTTGAAATGAGACTTGTTATAAGGTTTTCGTTACTAAATCTACTAACTTTACTCTACCGTAGGATCAACTTGATGTAACTAACATGCCACAGTGGAAACCAATGCTGTATGCAACAGCCTTCCTGCACACCATTGTTCAAGAGCGACGCAAATTTGGTCCATTAGGATGGAATATCCCGTATGAGTTTAACTCTGCTGATTTGACGGCCTCTGTGCAGTTCATTCAAAATCATCTTGATGATATTGATCCAAAGGCGGTAAGATTTTCTTTTTTTCTTCATTGTCTTGAAAGCAATATTTTTTTTCCTCCCTCTTTATTTTAAAGCTATTGGTAATATTGTCGTAAGCTCCTTGGCCCAAACTATGTTACCTGTAGACTTAGGGGTTTTTATGACTTTTACATTTGAAGCGGCTGCCGATGGTGTAATAGGCATCTGCCCGCAAGGCGAAAACCACTGAACACGAGAGCCTGTTCGGTGCAACAGACGATAGTGAGAGGTCCTGTAGGCGGCGGTAAACCGATGGTTACGGGGTTTTATTGAAACACCAGAGATTCGAAAAAATGTTGAGGCAATTTCTTTGAGTAATAATCATGCCCTCCAAATTTACTCCCACTTGACGTCTTCATTTCTCGTCCTTTTCTTGTTAAATGTCATTTATTACAGATCTACTTGTTTGATTTTCAGAATAGTTTTTTTTCTACCTCTCACTCAATGCTATTACAACGAAGGGTATATCTTTACTAACTGAAAATTAAATATTTAGTTGTTCATTGTTTAGTTTCTTTCACATGTTTTTTGTCTTTTTTTTTTTTTATCTCCTTCGTTGCAGATCTCATTAATTTCAATTGGCTATTTTAGTCCATAAGTAACATCAACTGTTCACTGATTTTAGTTAAACATTATTTTTCTGTATCAGTCGATCTGCGTGTCAACCTCTTGAATCCAACCGTTTTTCTCCTTTCCCTCTTCCCCCAGGGTGTTTCGTGGGTGACTGTTCATTACATGCTGGGTGAAGTTCAGTATGGCGGTCGTGTCACAGACGATTTTGACAAACGTCTGCTCAACACCTACGCTCGTGTTTGGTTCAGTCAGGAGATGTTTAAAGAAACCTTCAAGTTCTACCAAGGCTACAACATTCCTCGCTGCGCACAGATTGCAGATTTTAAGGCTCACATTGATGAGATGCCGTTGTCGGACACTCCAGAGGTAATTGATGTCTACCGCAATAGAGTTCTTTTCCATACATCACAAAGGTTTCCATAGGAACAAATAGGTTTGGTTATTTAATGTTTATGGTAGTTGCCTTTATACGTATGAATTCTTTATGAATTAACCACGCTAACAAACAGGCAACTCAGAGCGAACATTTAAAACCAGTTTAATGGAAATAAAAATTTTAGTATTCCAAAAAAAATTTAAAAGGAGCTCCTATAAACTTTTAAAAATCAATAATTATACAAGGCCCCCCTATTTGGAGGGAATAAGAGACAAGACTCCCCCGCCCATAACAAGTCCTCTTGTTTTTAAAAAGTGGTCCATTATTTGCAAAACGAGCGTAAATAAATGAGTGACGCGAATCACAGCAATTTCCAACTAGAGTTTCCAAATTACCAGTTTGAATTCGTAGCAGCCTTAGTCATTGTAAACAAAGAAGAAAAATTGCCAATGCTTGAAAATAATTTTTGTCGGCCTTGATTACTCCATTAGAATACTTTAATAACATTAGAAGTCCTCTTCATGTAGGTGTTCGGTCTTCACACAAATGCTGACATCACATATCAAACCAAGACCACCTCGGATGTTTTGGAGACCATTGTGAACATTCAGCCCAAGGACAGTTCTGGGGGGTCTGGGGAGACACGCGAATCACTTGTGGCGCGTCAAGCTACAGAAATGTTGGACAAGTTGCCTTCGGATTATGTTCCTTTTGAGGTAAAACTTGTAGTGTGATTTCACTCTCGTACTTTCAACATGATCAGCAAACCCGCTTTATATCATTATATCAAACTCTTTTTTTCTTTTGTACCCATTGTACAAGTCAGTGAAACGGAGTAGCAGGGGTTTTAATAACTTTTCCATAAGCGGCTGCGGATGACGTAATAGGTGGCTATGCCATTAGGCGAAACCCAAATACGAGGGTCTGCTCGCAGGCTCAACCGACGGCGGTGAGAGTTCTTATAGGCTTGGATGATAATTTAACTAGGGAGTCACTTAAATCTCGCCTAGCCATTAAAATATTCTAATCAATAGGTATGATTTTAAGATTTAGTCTCAACACTTTCTCTCAGCGTACTACATACCAAAATTATGCTTCCATGTCTTAATTATTGTAATTTAGTTTGGAAATATTACAAATATTGTGATATATTTTGTTTAAATTTGTTCCTTTTTTTCTTTCGAGGGAAGCCAAGTTTACAAGCCTTATTTTTTTTCCATTAAAGGCAAATTGAAACGAAAAGTAAATAAATGTCCATCAAATTTCAATGCACTGAAAGTGTAAGGAGACGTTACTCTTTGATCATGTCCGAGAGTATGTGAGTCAAAATCATGCAAGCTAAGAGTACAGATTGCTGACTGAATGTAATTTTCTCAGATGCCTCATTAATAATAATAATAATAATACTTTTGTCTATTAAATTACTACAGGTTAAAGCACGCCTGCAGAAAATGGGTGCTTTGACGTCCATGAACATTTTCCTCCGTCAAGAGATTGACAGAATGCAGAGGGTCATAACAGCTGTGAGGAACACACTTGTTGACCTTAAGCTGGCCATAGATGGTACGATCATTATGAGTGAAAACTTGAAGGATGCTTTGGACAACATCTATGATGCCCGTGTCCCTGCTCTTTGGAAAAAGGTATTTTTTTCTTTTTCCTCTTCAGCTTTGTTTGGTTGTTTTGTTTTGTATTTATGTTTGTTTGTCTTGTTTCGATTTGATCTATTTTTAAAATTTTGGAGTTTTTAAGCCTGGGAGCCTTAGTTCCAAAAACACTCACTTTCAGAAAGAGGCTGAGGGCAAAACCTTTAATGTGAAAAATTAATTCGTTTATTAAAAGACAATTTTCTCATGTAAACCTTTACACTCACCCTCGTTTAAGGCAGAGGCATTAAACACCTCAAAAATGGCTTATTACCTAAATTGGGTTTGTTTTAGACATTATCAACTGAGTAACAGACGGGTTTTTTCCATTCTCCTCCCCTGTTTTCACGATATATTCGGATATTTTGAAGAGAAGTTACGTTGTGTTGAAATGCCTTTCTTTCCTTATTGAAGATCTCGTGGGACTCGACGACTCTTGGATTTTGGTTTACTGAGCTGATCGAGCGCAACAATCAGTTCCATTCGTGGTTATTTGAAGGCAGACCTAGTGCGTTTTGGATGACGGGATTTTTCAACCCTCAGGTATGAAGCCAGCTGTTTGTTTGATGTTTGGTTGGCTTACTTGCTCGCTAAGAGTTCACATGAATAAAAGTCTTCTGGGAAAATTGTTCAAAATGCTTTGAAAGATTCTAAAGATACACTAAGAAACGTTGTAAACATGGGAATGGTTTTACTCTATCTTTGTGTTTGCTCGGGGAATTCCTTTAGGATCATATGCTCGTGAACTTGAATACTTGAAACGAACTTCACAGTGTATTATTTTTAGAGATTATATGGCTGCCAATCCAAGTTTAAAAGAGATTGAAAATTTCAGAATACGAGAAAATTTAGATTGTCTATTGATTCTAATGATGAACAACACTGTTCTTTCACAGCCAATATTCACTTCGCTTTGTTTACAATTAGGGTTTCCTGACCGCAATGAGACAAGAGATCACGCGTGCGCATAAAGGCTGGGCCCTCGATAACGTTGCACTTGCCAATGACGTTACTAAGATGATGAAAGAAGATGTGTCGTCATCGCCAGCGGAAGGAGTCTATGTGCATGGCCTGTTCCTGGATGGCGCTGGGTGGGATCGACGAAACTGCAGGCTCACGGAGCCTTCCCCTAAAGTTTTGTTTACTGCCCTCCCTGTGGTGCACATTTATGCGGTTAATACTGCCGCCTTGATTAAGGACCCCAAAAATAACCCAGACGCACTGAAATTTTACGAGTGTCCTGTGTACAAGAAGCCCAGACGTACTGACTTGACTTACATTTTCTGCTTGAACCTGAAGACTTCACAGCATCCTGATCACTGGATTCTTCGAGGTGTTGCTTTGCTGTGTGACACCAAGTAATGTTGCGTGACATTTATCTGCGCCCTGAACGTAACCTGGACGTTGCGTTACACACCGTTCGTGTTTTTTTTTTGGGGGGGGGGTAAAACTTTGTAAAACTCAACCAGAGGGAATGGCACATGTTTTAAGTGTTGTTTCTGCCTTTTTAAGTTCGGATTGTTTTTTTAAAGTTAAGTTTGGATTGCCTTTAAAGTTTTGGTATGGTCAGTGAGAAAAAGTTTGTTTAAGTCTATTTTTGGTGTTACAATGTAGAGATCGGTTATATTTTTTGATACATACTCAAAGTGTGATAAAGTAATGAATTAGTCGTGTGCGTTCTACGACAGTTGTACGCATTAGATGTTTTTATTGTTCTATGTAAGGAAGAGTGGATTTATTTATATTTATTCAAAAGAAGTGTGAATGGCAATAAAGTTAAGTGAGTAATCTTATATGCTTTTTGTTTTTGTGTGTAAGTTAGCTGGAAAAGCTGAGGTGGAATGCGGTGAAAGAGTTTTTTTTAATTTTTTTTTTTCGCTGAGGCTGTTTGTTATGAACTCTAAGTTCATTACAGAGTTTTAAAACTGACTTGTTCCTAATGGCATCCTTGAGTTCAATTTGTTCTGTGAATGATGGCCTCTCTCATAATCGAATCACGTGCAACATAGCACTTAAAAGACTGTTCTGTCGCAATAAATGTTTCCTCCCTTTCTGAAGTGGATTTACTGATCATCCAGCTAGACGGTTCTGGTAAATAAAGGAACCCTTTCATGAGTGGCCATAGCTTTGCCAGTGAGCCTATCATTTTCGTCATGGAAACTACAACACTGCTTCCTAAAGCCAAAATCCTCTCTGCAAGAGAGTTCACATTATTAGTCGTTTGTGACAAAGTAACAGTGCAGCCTTTCCTTACCTCGGCACGTTTTAAGTAAAACTCGGGCCAGTATGAACGGAAAAAAAGAAATATGTTCCAAAAAAACTGCCAGTAGATCCAATTACACGTCAGTTAGCTTCTACTATACTGTAGGATTGGTTAATTCAAGTGTGGAGTGTCTCTGTGGTTTTGGTTAGAACATCACTGAATAGGGCTACGCGAACGATGTTCAAAGGGAAGGAAAGAGGAAATAAGAGAAAGAAGGAGTTTACTTTTCTATGTGTGTCTGCATATCATCCACAGTAGCACGTGAAATAAAACGGCGATGAAAACGGAGGCTTTCGAAATGGCCTCAATATGGAGTATTTTGAAAACGCATCGTTTTTGGAACGCTCCGTTCCTTGTGCTAACGAGTTGAGTTAACGGAGGCTTTTAGCAACGACGACGAAGAGAGGATCATAAGTCACTTAACCTTGCATTGTCTTTTTGGTGATGTGAGGGTCAGGCGCACTTGGCTAACAAAATTTGTTTTGCTTTTGGTTAGATACAAAACTACCGGGCGCATTTTTCTCACTGAAGTGATGACAGATTTCCTTGCAAAATTAACAAAAATTCGACCAGTGCGCCCGGCTTCAAATGAGTAGAGAACTGAATTCGGAAAAACATAACAGCACCCACCTTACTCTAATTGATTTCTTTCCGTGACTTGTCATGGCAAACATCTTTCAGATTAGATGATGAGGTAAATTGGCAATCGGTTATAGTTTCTAAAGCTGACGTAATTTCTGATTAGTTACTTAAACTGCCAGCCATTTCCTAAGAAGGCGATTAAAAATCGTGCGTCATAATGACTGTACATGGTTGAACCACTCAGTTGTGCACGAAAATTTCCTGCTTCCAAACGCAAGCCAAGAAACTGCCAAGGACGAAAATCAACCTCACAGTACATTCACAAACATTCACGTTTCATTTTTTTAAGGAAAAGATAGCATCCAGAACTTTACGTGACAAGGTGTGAAAACAACAGGTAGACGCCCTACGTCACTGGATAGCAGGTAAGTGTGAATTTTTGTTACGTAACAACGAGGCACATGCTCTCATGGAGGTTGGGGCACCTGTGGTATAACTGTTATTGGAACCTTCCGTGTCAGAAAGTTAGACAACTTTAAATACCACAGGTAGCCCTGACTCACGTGAAACTTTGTTGTTGCGTAACATTCAGTTCAAGAAAGTGCGAGTAGTTGTTACGCAACATTAAATGTACTTTGGAACAACAAACTCGTTTAAGACGGTCGAACGCAAAAAAAAAAGAAAGAGCTCAGATGAAGGGCTAACGCTCGAAACTTCAGCTTTTAAACTCTTGACGGTGGCCAATTTACATGATCAGATCATTTGATAATGCTAAATTATCCTGTTAGACTCTCACACAGTTTCGTTAGAAACTTGCCCCCTTTATAGTTAATGTTACGTAACAATCATTTGTATTTATTGATAGACGGTTCCAAACGGTGTTCACAGATATAAATTGAATGCCGCGCACTCATTTTGATGATTTCCGACAGTTAACCGTTACGACGTGATATCAAGCTTGAGAGAGGACTCTGGGTTCGATCGCTTAGAAGAGAATATGATGACTGACTCGTGCGCTACTGGAATACACGCTCACCGTGATGAAAGCAAGCCCGAATTTTTTAAGGCTGGAAAACGACACCGAAAAAATGGAATATTCACACACAACACCCACGCTCAAGAAGACGAAGTTGGAGAGAATCTGTCGAGTTACTGTGGTGGAACCCTCCCTCAGCACCAAAAGTTGGCTCCAGGATGGTACAATCTGTCCAAAGAGGAAATGGCCCTATTAGAAATCGACATTTTCAAACCGTTGGATTTAATGGATATTTTATTGAAGAGAATCAAAGAAGACGACAACGGAAGGGTGATATCCAATATGAACGAACTGTGGAAGTAGGAAGTCAGCGAGCCTATAAGTTAACTTAAAAATGTATTTCATTCTTTTCGAACTTCTGTTATGTTACAGTACCCTTATTCAATTTCCAGTACAAAATTTTATTTCAGAGAGTTTGTTTTTCTACTTTTTTCTTTTTATTACAGAAGATTATCACTTAGTTAAGCTCTACTTTTTGTCAACGAGAGATTCGATTCTTTATCAAATGTAGTACACTTGTCTGATACGAACATGGCTCTTAGACCACTTTTATCCAACGACTTTCCTAGTTTCCTTGCAACTGACTGAGGTTAAGCATCGGAGCGCGAGGTTCAGAGGTCATTGTTCGACTCATGATAGGGGATTAAGATTTTATTTCTGTTTTATTAGATTCAAAATGAAACGAATTATTTTTTTTCGTTAATTAGCCTGGTTTTCCCCTCTGTTTCAGGAAATGACGCCCTCGCAATTTCAAGAAACAACAGTTTCAAAATTGGATGCAATTTTTTGACTAAATTAGTCTATTGTCTCTCGATAGTTATTGTAATGAGACGTTTTGAGATATTCTTTTTATTAAAAAAATTAATTACGATATGTTAGCGTATTGAGTGATATGTCGCACCAATTGGATCGGTGCATTAGGGTAAATATTTCGCACCTATCAGATCACAGCACTGGGGTATGCTTGAACCAATCAGAGCGTCAGAGTATCGTCTCTCATGCCAATCATGTCATGAAATTAGGGAACAGTAAAATGTTGCAATGGAATCAATCCAACATTGACACACCGCAAGAATGGCATTAACAAAGAATTGTGAGCTCATTAACCCAGTTCATGTCCTTCGTGAGGACTTCGTTGTCATGGTCTGTCTGGGCTAGAAAGGTCGTTAGGGTATTTTTCAACCACTTAGAGGTGTAAAAGTGTTTTGTGTACTGCTCCTTCACTTACAACGCACACACCGTCAGCTCAAGGCCTACCACGAAATTCAGAGCGTTTGTTTAGGAAGGGCTTGTTTTGCGTAAAGCATTTGCATGAGGCATATTTAATCAATAATTTTTATTTTGTCTTGTGATTGCTCTTTCGGCAAAGGTTGAAAATATTACCAATTCATATTTACTTTCTGCGTCTATATCCGTTTCTTGGCTCCTGGAATTTTCTACTTGTATTACATCTTGTTTTCATGTTACATTACATGTTTGTTTTCCGACATAATTACGTGTTTCTTTGTCACTATGGAGAAGAGTTTCTCAGATGAAATGCCATTTTCCAGTAAACAAACTATTTTTTATGACATAATCCTGTCCCGCTGAAAAAATTTCACATGAAACTAGATGCTACCGTTTGTTTGTCGTAATTCTCACGTGCCCAAACGTTTCCATCACGTGTCTTTCCTTGTAATCAACCAGCATGTTATCAAGTATTCCGAACGAAACGGAACAAAGCTGAGACAGGCAACAACCAAATAAGGAGCCCACGTTGTTAGGTCCATGTAAAAGCCTTTGAAATATGAACAGAGAGCGCACAGTATCTTTATTCAGAGGCTATTGTAGATAAAAAGAAAGAGTCTCGGTTTGCTTTCCAAAGCAAAATCTTGTAGAAGAATGTTTTTTTGGCAAAGAGCTGTAACCGGATAATTTTGAATTTGTTTCTGATAGAGGGAACGGCATTCAGCATTGTCTTAGCCTGGCAGCAATGCATATAATTTTTTCTTACAATTATTCAGACACCAGTAGTAATAGACCATAAAATACCTGTGCCTCAGTTTATTGAACGATATTTTTCATTGGAATCTTTTGAAAGTAAATGCTTTTTTCCTTTCATAAAAATGCAATCGTCAATTACTTAGTCTCCCGTCTCAACCCACCCATCCATAAAAAAAAATTACTCTTGCTTGCATTGCATGCCAATTTTTTCATCATTGATTGTAAAATTAATTCAGAACAGAAGAGTTTTAGAAAATTTAATAAACTACTGTACTGTACTGTACTGTACTGTACTGTACTGTACTGTACTGTACTGTACTGTACTGTACTGTACTGTACTGTACTGTACTGTACTGTACTGTACTGTACTGTACTGTACTGTACTGTACTACTTCTAAATATGATTTTTGATTCTGGGCCTTTCACTGTACATTACATAACACGACTAAATTGCTAAGTAACGCAGAAGAGAGAATCTAAAATTCCCAAATCGCTAAAACTATGTAGTTGTGATATATTCGCTTCCCTTTCGTGTTCGTTTCATGAACTTTTTATCATCTCTGAAGATCGAGTGATCACCAGTTTGTTTCAGTTCCAACTCTAGGTTGTCTTCATTCTCAATAACGAACTTAATTTCGATCGGCTACTATAAACCCCACCTAGTCGCCGTTTCTTTTTTACCGCAGTCTCTTGAGAGTCGATTTATCTGTGAATATGACAATTCCGGCAAGAGAAGGATAGATTTCGTCCGTAATATAACCGCAACATGAATTTGCTTGAGCAACCATTTGGAATAATTGTTTAACCATGTCAAGCTACGTGACCACAGAGCTAAAAGGTATATTTGGGTTTTATAAGAAATTTGTAAAAGCTTTTTTTCTTACCGCGCCAAGCGCCAGAATATTTGATATGATTCAAAGATATCAGAGCGCCACGGTTCCTCGCGCCGAATGAGATCTTTCCCATTTTTCGATGAGTTACGTTGTAAACTAACAACTCTTGGAGCGAATATTTAGGCCAGTTGTATCGAAAAATTGAATTTATCAATCGTAATGATATCGATAAATTCAATTTGATATAATATATATGACTTTCATATATTAAATATATGACTTTCATATATTCTTAACCAATAATTATTATTGTTAGAAATGGCAATGACGATGGTTGTGATGAAAAAAAAAAAAAACTAACACTATTTACGAAGTGTGAATATAAACATATTTATATATATATATATGACATCGGGAAGATTATTCAAGAATTACTTCATGTTTTAACAACTAAAATGGTCTCTTCAAAGGTCAACCGCTAACTCCTGTTTTCTGCAATAGCGCTCCAATTTAACAACCGACAGAACGCTTCGATGCTTTCATATGTGGTACGGTTCACTTTGCACTCAATCAGTGCAATCGCCTGTCGTTTGTTCTTGTTTAGAACATGACCAGCTCCTGAGTTCTGCCACCGCTCTCGCTGGTAATAATTCCAATCGCTCTCCTATTTCGCCTCAGAATGACATTCCTCATTGCATCCCTAAGACTTTGGTTTCTTAATGTGTAAATCAGGGGATTCAAAGCAGAGTTTGAAAACACCATTGCTATGGACCAAGGCTGCAAAAAAGAGTAAACTCTTGGGAAAGGAACCTGTGTCGGCTTGATCAAAATTGCCGGTACCAGACACAGCAGGAGAACCATAGTAATAACAAACATATCAATGGCAGTCTTCTTCTCCCTTCGTAACACAGTTGTCAGCCTCACTGATGCAACCGATCGTCTGAGCTCCTTATTGTGGCGGCGGATTGCTAGGTACATTCTTATGTGGTTTACAGTCGGGATGATTATGAACATGGCTATCAATGTCATGGAAAATACTAATTCCAGTATCGAGGATAGGAGTAATTGAGCTAAGATTGTTAGCAAAAACCAACTTACTCCAATAAAAGACATCGTCTTTACTGTCCCTAAGAGAATTAAGAACATCTATGTATCAGATAACTCGTGTGAGGTCTCTATCACATGGGCATGAAGTGTCACTTGATAACTGTACGAGTTAAGAAAAGAAAATTGCTTGCTTCACACTTACGGAAGAAAACTTGTCAAGTACACTTTTCAAGGAAACTTACTGCTGAAGAATTTCCCTTTAAGCTCATCCTTTTCATTTACATCTGTAAATTTCTTCTTCCTGGAGTTTTGCATCAATAATCTGACGAGTCCGCTTCTTATTCAAATACTAGCGAGTCAGTTTTTAGGGAAATTGTTTTATTTGAGTCTCCTAAAAGTTTTTCAGTGGAAGTTAAATCATTAGCAAAGTTTTCTACTGTAAGTCAGCTTGGATATTATACAACCTACATTCTGAGACCTTCTGAAGGTGCTGATGCTTAAGTTATAAATACGGAATAAAAGGAATGAAATACCTTCGACAGTTACACGCAGACGGTAGGAAATTGGTCTTGACAATGCATTGAGGCGATCAAAGCTGACGAAAGTTAAAAAAGCAAACGACCATCCAGATGTTAACATGATAGACGCATAGAAGGCGGTAAAAAGGTCTTCTTGATAACTGCATGTCGAGGGAACACGGTGAATTATCAACCTCAAAGCGGCGAACATTGGCATAGATGTTAGACCAGTAAGCCAATCTGCAGCAGCCAAGCTACACAGCAGAATATTGCATGGCTTCTGTAATGACGGAGTTTTCACAGTTGTCACAATAATGAGCAAGTTGCTACAGATTGCGAAACAACACAAGAGAGCTGTAAATACGGCGACGAAGATATCGTTTACGTACGAAGCTGTGCTGTTCTCTGGGAGTCCGAACCACTCAGGCACACCGCATAAGCTAACTTCGCTTTCTTTGTCACCCATGTGTCTATTAAAAAACAAAAAGACCAAATTGTCATGAGATGAAGATATATGTCAATCGCCTTTCAAGAAGTACGAAGCAAGGGAAAATCTGAGTCTCCATGAGGAATAAAGCTTAGTAAGTAAGTTAACGTAAAGGAAATTATTTCAAACACACTTTCCCCGTCAACAAAACTGGTTCCTGCGGAGGGCGTGGGGTTAGAGACAGTAAATTTAAAATTTAATAATTGCGCGAGTCTAAGATAGTGAGAGAGTGTGAGCGTTAAATTTGGTATTGAATAATGGTAACTAATGAATTCCAGAATCAAATGTCTAAAGGAGTGAGTTCCATAGTTTAGCACAACTGTAAAAAGCCTCTTTTTTTAGGTGTTTGATCTTGGGTAAGGGAAAATGCAGTAAGTCCGAGGAGCCCCTGAAATTTCATTCTTTCTCAAGAATAGGTCAGCGAGACAACTTGGAGACAAGCCCTTGAGCACTTTGAACATTTCCCTAGCTCTGGACTTTGCTTCGAGAACTTTACATTCCGATCTATTTCCACCCGTGACAATTTCGACATTGCTGATAAAGCAGTATGCAAGAAACATGTCTGAACCAAATAGTGGCTCAGTTCATTATTGACTTTTCCGTGGCTCAGTAGTAGAGCATTCAAGCACGAAATCTTAAGGTCTAGCGTTCGAATCCTCATGAAACTCAGAATCTTTCTTCCTTTACCTCGTATCATGCATCTTCGTTAGGTGGAGTACTGATGATCTTTAAATTATAAAATTTGCTACCGAAATAATGGCAATTATTTGGTCGCCACATGACTCAACATTCTTCTGAAGGTACACTGTAACTAAGTCATGGTGTGGAAAAGTAAACTCTTTCACACCCAAGTAGCGTTCACCATTTTGTTTTCCAAGATTCGCTTTGGGCATCGAAAATGCAAGAGTTAAAATATTGTTAGCAACCCTCTTTTCGACTAACAGACACTTAGTTTCATGGAAAAAAATTTCACTATGTCGGTAAAACATTTCTATAAACCCACAGCATTCGAGAGTTGAAATAATGTAAGCGATTCGATACTCCCTGTGTATTTTTCAGCTTTGTTATTTCGATAAAAAAGGAGTAACTACGTATTTTATCTATGATTGACAAAGGTAGCGATAAAAACCTATAAAAACAATGTCAAAAAACATTAAATAACTTGGAGCTTTGGAAAATAATGCTTACCTAGATTGAAAAAAATATTCTTGTTTTCGCTGACAGATGCGAGTCACGGTGAATTATTTTAAATATTGCAAACAAGCAAATCAAGCAGGGCGCGATGCTAAGTTTACATTGGGGCTCAGGTGAAACCTGTCAGCTTTTATTATAGATAACTTCAATAATCTTGTCAAAATATCATCGACAGATCTTTTGAAATTTTCAATATCCGGCTGCAAGATAATTTCCCTATTGATATAAATAATACATCATGAGCGGTGAACGAACATGATTTTAGTGAAAGTGTAAAACAGTTTTAAGTCAAGACTGACCAAGCCTTATTAATCCTTCACTGGAAAAAGCCTTTAAGGTGTTATCCTTGCTGACCTCAATTTTGATATTTGCTTACTATGTTTACCTTTTACTTTTAAAGGCAGGTATTCATTTGCCAACATCCCACGCATTAATCAGCCATTCAGTCGTAATCTTGTGACTCTTAGATGACACAATTCAATAAAGTCTAGTCACCTTGATTTGCTAAGTCATCTTGGTACAAGAGGCAATAAACAGGCCATGCCATTGGCTGAACCGGCCTGGCCTAGTTCTTTTAAAATATTAGATGGTGAGGTTCATTACAATATTCTTTGGCAGGTGTCTTTTACATTGTATAATAACTAATAAAGCCGAAAAGAAGGTTATCGACAGAAAGGCCGAGGAAAGCTTAGCCGTATAATTTACTACCAGCTTACAAACGTTTTTTGACAAATCACGACGACAAATGAGGCAGTTTGAATAAAAAGAAATGAATTTTCATCAAAAATAAGTTTAATTAAAAAATTTATAAAGTTAGAATTTAGGAAATTCATTACAACATTTTAAATCTTGAGTTTCTTCTTAGCATTGGCAATTCTTTTTGCCCCGCTTCAACGTGTTTTAGTCCAAACGCATATCAACAGATTTGTTTATTTGTGAAGAAATATATATCGTTTAAAATACAAAAATGAAACTGCAAGGTAGCTTGCATTTTCTGACAAAATAGCTTTTACGGTTTGCTACATAAGTATCTATTTATACGTATTTCCAAATTTTTAGAAGCTGAGATCAAATTTGCGCTCTTACAAATAATTTAAATAACACCTCTCTTCCTCCTGAGGGATATTTCGCTCTACAGTTGTTATCTTTGCGGATCCATTCTTCAATCCTATTCAGTGTTGTACAGCAAGGATAATAGATTTAAGCTAAAGAGTAAGATTCTAATGAGGGTCATCGAAGATCCAGCTGTGGTAAGAATTCGTGTTATGTGAAATGGAAACCTTTTATCAGATACCTTCCAAATTAACCCCATATTTGTTACTGATCTCTGACGAGGTCCCAAAAGAATTAGCATTCTTATTTTTCTGCGGATAATGCTGTTTCCGCGCTATAAACCTGATCATGACTCATTGAAGGAAGAGTTAAAATAACATCTGTCTAAAACTTCGAAATTACCAGAGTTTCTTACGTTTTCAAGCGATGCCAAATTCATCATTGAATCCCACCCTATTTTTTCTTTTTGCAGTCAAATAAAAGTGAAAAAGGGCATACAGTTCACTTACTAAGAAAGAATACCAAAATATGTCCTCTGCTACTGCCCGATTATAAAGATCAAGAAATATTTGTTATTTTTTTGCTACGTTTTTCGACAGACTAATCTCGATGCTTTCAGCCTGGCACTAGCCGCACAATCAGTAAGATAGCTTCTTTCCCTTTAGCGGATATATTCAATTAAAACTAGAAGGCGAACGCTTTGATGTTAAGAAATAAAATTGATCTCTTCTTCATGATGTTGAATCAAACTAAATTATGCGATTCTAAGAATTTATCTTGATCATTTAAATACGTGCCGCATCAGAAATGACAGCAAATGACAGCCTTGCTTCAATGAGGTGCGAGTGAGGTGGCTCCATGGTTCTACTTTGATTTTCAGTCCACAAATCTCATTTCTATAGCAAGGTAAAACATGTACCTCTTCTGATTCAAGTAATTCTTCAACCTGTTAGTTATGGAAGCTGGAAGTTATCGGCTAATATCTAATTCGAATCTTAGACGTAACGATACGTTTGCCGTGGTGGGTTTTTTTGGTATGTAATTTATATTTTTTGATAAATATTTTTCGAAAAGTCTCTTTGCTTTAGCTCTAACGAGTTTTCTAAAAACCTCTTGTGAACTATCTTGCTTCTTCAGTTGATACAAGTTATTTAGGCTTAAAACTAAAGTAGAGCGACAAGGCTTTTGTCCGAAGCAAAACTGGAAAAGCAGATTGACAAAGGAACGGATGCACGGATCGCATGAACGTATACGAAATTGTGATTTCAAAATACTGATATTTAAAAGTAAAGATGCAGTAAGTGATATGCTTGCTGAAGACTACTTACGATGCATGCAGCTTGTTTAAATTGGCGACACATTTAAAGATTGCCTAGAGGGTAGAAAAGGAGTAACAGATGGCAGTGTTCCTAGATGAAGGTTGTTTCAACGTTTTCATAAATAATGTATGTCAAAAATTCCAAAATAATTATGCAGACCGCGTCATCAGAAGACAGCTGAAGTAGAAGTAACGTCACTTGCACATTAAGCAATTTTTTTTTTCCGTTTCTTTGAAATGGTTTTCATGCCTTTTAAAATCCTTTTTTTTTTTTTGGTAATTTTAATATAAACGCGACTTGATTTAAATTTTAAATTACATTTAAATATGCATCATGATGTAGATCATAACTGGTAAATATCATGGAAAATCCCCTCATTTTGCATTTTTATATGTACATGATAATACTGGGCACCTTTTTTAAAACCCCAAGATTCTTTGGAACAATTAAGTTGTATGTTTTAACCAAACTTAATCAAGAAAACAAGTCACTGTTAGTTTAAAATTAAGTTAGAGCAGATTTCAACTGAGTGACAAAGACCAAATCTAAAGTAATCATAAGGGCGGCAAAATACAATGCATCTGATTGGTTGAGAGGGTGGCGCGGGTTTTCTAGAAGATACTCGTTTGGGAATTGCCAGAGAAACCTGGAGCGGAGGGATGGAGTGTATTTAGCCTTCAGTCCTAGCCTGGCCGCCTCAGATTGCCTCGCAGGAGTGGTTGCTAAGCCATTGTACATCACTTGTCGATTTTTTATTCCGTAAGTTTGCCAGTCGTGTTTAAATAAGCTATTGATCTTTAAAGTTTGTTCTACTTTTGGTGTGTTCGTGCTTGGCCTGTCGCTCACTAACCTTATGATTCTCAGCTTTAACATCCACTATGCTCTGTCCAAACCCTTGGAACACGAATCTTCTACCACCAAAAGAGAACTTAGAAATGTGGTAAAATTTATGCTCAAGAATTAGACCTAATTAACACTAAAAAAACTCATTATTTTTTGATGATGTTTTGCTTTTCTTTCGAATCAGAGGAATTTTCATTAGAGTGTGGGAAGTAAATCCGAGACTGCTTCAATTTGTTTTACTTTGCTGTGTAATTGGTCCAGAAACTTCGCGCCACCATCTTTCAACCAATCAGATTCAAACCTAAAACCAGTAACGACTTGGTGACTCGCGTCTTCCCGCGCTTGAAGCAGTTTGCATATTTTTACTTTGAATTATAATTAGCTTGGTTTCACATATTTCCTTTTGCTCTGATTGCCTGTTATAATTACTTTGGTTTTTCATACGCTGTTCTTGAGTCCTGATTGTAACAACTGTGCCATAAAAATAAAAACTTTTTCCTTCTATCATAAAGCTTTGCGTTGGATGTTAAAAAATGTTTTTAACCTCACAGTTTCGGTGGATAGCTATCT